ATGGCTGTGTAAAACTTAAAACCATATCTCAAAGTACAATGGAAAGGCATCAGAATTATTAAATATGATTTGCAACAACATAAATGTGACATGCAACAACACACCAAAAGCATTAATATTCCAAACTATGGTAATCTAAAATACGAAATCATAATTCAAAGTAAGTAGGAATGGCATCAGAATTATTAAATATGATTTGCAACAACATAAATGTGACATGCAACAACACACCAAAAGCATTAATATTTCAAGCTATGGTAATCTAAAATACGAAATCATATTTCAAAGTAAGAAGGAATGGCATCAGAATTATTAAATATGATTTGCAACAACATAAATGTGACATGCAACAACACACCAAAAGCATTAATATTCCAAACTATGGTAATCTAAAATACAAAACCATATTTCAAAGTAAGAAGGAATGGCATCAGAATTATTAAATATGATTTGCAACAACATAAATATAACATGCAACAACACACCAAAAGCATTAATATTCCAAACCATGGCAATTTAAAGCATGAAACCATATTTCAAAACAAAAAACAGATGTATAAGGATCATAAACGATGATATACAACAACATAAATGTGATATACAACTTCACCGATGGACCAAACAACACTGATCTATACGAATCTATGAAATATTTACACAAGTGGTACTAAAGATACGGTATTGGAAAATGTACGTCCCTCGAGAATGGTCAATCAATGATGGACCACTGGATTCATACAGTAAACAACACTAAAACATCGGACAGGATTAATCGTCAGGGAATAAGGGGTATACTCTGTCGATATCGGTAGAGAATTCGGAGATATAGAAATTTTGTCACAGGGTGAATGCATCGAACAAGGTGTAAGCAGGGAAAGTGTTCTGGCGAGAGGTGGGTAGAGTGCGCAGAATCCAGGGTAACGATTGCAGGAGCAGCCAGAGGCAGCCATCGTACCCACAGGTAAGACGAGACCGACTGATCTGGGTCACCACGACCTCGTCCCAAAGGCCAAACTTCCTAGAGGTTACGACCTCCTTAAATAATCGCTCGATTCTCATCGATCGATACGATGACAGAGACACTTTTATCCTACTCTCTTACGACACTCGATCAAATAGAAACGAGACCTCTCGTGTTACTGTTCGACGGGCAAATGCGTACTCATTCGCGTAAATGGGATTTTTAGATGGGGGGCAGGTCAAGTATCAAGTGGGGGAGAGGGGGCAGGGGGGATTCAATCTCAAAACTGCAGAAGCTGAGAATTTTTGAATCTTAGAATTCTGGAATTTTCAAGTTCTGGAATTTGTGAATCTTAGAATTCTGGACTTTTCGAATTATCGAATTCTAGAATTTCTGAATCTTAGAATTCTAGAATTTTCGAATTTTGGAATTCTGGAATTTGTGAATCTTAGAACCCTGGATTTTTCGAATTTTGGAATTCTGGAATTTTGGAATCTTAGAATTCTGGAATTTTCGAATTTTCGAATTCTAGAATTTTTGAATCTTAGAATTCTGGAATTTTGGAATTCTGGAATTTGTGAATCTTAGAACCCTGGACTTTTCGAATTTTGGAATTCTGGAATTTTTGAATCTTAGAATTCTGGAATTTTCGAATTTTCGAATTCTAGAATTTTGGAATCTTAGAATTCTGGAATTCTGGAATTTTCGAATTCTGGAATTCTGGAATTTGTGAATTTTTAAATCTTAGAATGATGACGGGGCCAGTCCACCCTGAGGGGTGGGGGCTCACCCCCTGTCCTACCAATTAGAAAAATAATTTAACATCTATTTAAAAATCATTCGATATTAATAAAAAGCAAATATGATAAATGTTCGTACCTGGATTTAAAATTAGCTATGGTTGGATTTGAATTACCTGGTCCCTGCGAGAAGAAGAAAAATTATCATACGGCTTCCCCGTTTCCCAGGCTTCCTGAGATTCGTCCGTCGAAGAGATCTGAAAGAAATTCGAACAATGTTAGAGGAGGGTTAGCAGCTTACAGTCAGGATAAATCCATGCGTTCCACGCGAAAACTTTTCATCTCTGGCATTATCCTATCTTATTGTCCGAGGGGGTAACTTTAATCCATTATGAATCTTGAAAAAATTCCTAATTTATATACATTTTTAACAATCATTATTTTCTACAATAGTGCAGCTATCTTTAAAAATAAATCTTTAAGTTGAATCTTTTCTGAGATTGAACCGCGAGAAGAAATCACACGAGGGTGGAGACGAAGGGGGAAATTAATTCGAGATTTTCGAAGGCCTTGGGGCTCGTCGAGATTGAACGTACGCTTAGTTAATCTCCGCGGATACGAGCTGCCAACGAAACGAGCAACTTCCTGATCCTGTTTTCCTCCTGGATCAACGGATCCCCGCTTGCCCGGCCTGTCGATGTCTCCTCGTCGAGGTCTCCGCAATCACGCTTCCTTTCAATCGATCGTTCTCCATCTCCGATTCATCGAGGTCACAAACGATCATCTCCATACATAGTCGTACCACGGTTAAAAATCCATGGAGGGGTCACCGCTGACCCCCACCTTGACATATATAAATTATGATACATTATAATTTTGCAATTTGTAAAAGTGTTGAAAGGAAACACCTTGGAAATGATTGCAACCAGTTCCCCCTATGGCACGTCAAACTGTTCCACCCCCATTGGGTCGAAGCTCTCTGTTGTTCATCAGAAGTCTCGATGCCACGGGGTGTCGAGTTTCCCGTTTAACGCGATACTTCATTAGCCACGGTGAAAACGACGGGTCGAGTTGTGTCGTTGAAAAGGTTTCGGTAAATCGATGGATCCAAACACGCCGAACCCTATCGAGGGCACGATGCATCATGCCATGGGGCTAGTACAGTGGAAAACCGATAGCCAAATATAGGCCCTTCGATTTACCGTTTTACTATGGTTACAATTTTATTTTAGAAATTTCTTGTTATAAAGAAAAAAAAATTTGTTCAGGAGTGACTGTGTGTTTAAAAAGGGCCACGCGTCATAAGACTTGAATGGATTACCAGAAAGCTTAGCTGTCCCCAAAGCTATTCGAGGTGCGTAAAGGTGTGCACAGGTATACCTTCGAAAGCATCGGCACGAGACACCCTAGCCCTCAGCGTGTGGTCGATAACGGGGAGTTTGCGCTGATAGAAATCCACACTGACAGTTAAATACATTCCGCACACTTGCATTCATATTTTTCGTTCCAAAAATTCCGGGACAATTGTCAAATGCAAGAGACATTTAAGATTTTACAAAGAGAACGAGTTTTCATTATTGGATAAGTAAGAAGGAGAATTTCATTTTTTCAATTATATAAAATCTAATTAAGAGGAAAATAGGAAATTGCTTCGAGAGAAGAAAAGTATTTCGAAACGGGAAGGGTGAGATATAAAAAGAGGGAAAAAAGAGAAACGGAAACGTGATGCTTGAAGAGAGGAAATGGTATTAGTACGAACAGCATCGTGTTCGAGCTTCTGTTGAAATCTCCGTAACCTGACACTCTGGAAACGAACATCAAGGCACAAGGTTGATGTTCCTGAGCTGTTTCAGAGTATTTTGTTCTTCCGAGTTACTACAATATCTCAAGTTCCATATCTATACTTTTAAAAACATCATAAAATTCTAAATTTAATATTAAATAGTAAAACTTTACAAGATAGTCTTCAGGATAGCATCTCTGGAAAATCATTTCACCCCTAAAAATGACTTTGATGTAAAATTCTCTTATACCAACGTATGCATACTTTAAAACAGTATAACTTTGTCCTTTGAAGATTTTTCATACAATAATTAATAACAGAGATATTTCAGAATTTCTATTTAACGATGTTGTTTGAAACAACATACATATACCTTCATATCTTCGCAACCGGTGCACCTATAATAAAACTGATTACATCAAATTATTCGTCTTTTAAGGCCACTTAAATTTTATTTGAAACATTTTTTGATACAATCAATGGTTTCAAAGATATTTTACATTTACTGTTCAAAATGGGACATCCTCTATTTTCCAAAAGCAAATTTATTAATCAGAAATTGTTTAATAGTGGTCCCCACACTGTTAAACGTAATATTTTTGCAATAAATTAAAATCAAATGTTTATTGAAGTGTTTAGAGAGCATCAAAGAATACAATGACGACAAACGCAGTTTCTTAATTCAGTTTCGATAAGAAAAGCACAGCCTTTCAAAGGCTTCGGAGCATACTAATTCTTACGGATTGCACACAAACGTTTTAATATTACCTCAGAACAGATTTCAAGACAAAAGTATTTTGCGTTATTATATGATCACCTGGCAAATGGATCAGAGAAGCTTTTGGGTATTTCTGTGAAAGGAAAATGGCTCGACAATGTTTAATTAGAGAAACGAAATCACTTTTATGAGACGATTACATTGTCATTTAAATTTGTTATGAGACGCGGTACACTGATTCCGAGATATCGTAATAGACGTAATCGTCGATTGATTGAATTTCCGTCTTTGTTGCCATTCAATGAACAATAGAAGATAAACAACAATGAAAATGTGCATACAATGCATTTGTTGTTACATAAGATCCATAAAGGTTCCATTTAAAAATACTCCAAACTCTCCTTTCCTTTTTTATTTAAAAAATCAACACCAAGTGCCTGACGAAAAATACTGCTTTAAGGTAAAAATGAAGGAGCCTGTAGCAGTACAGGGAGGTGATGAAAAAGATCAACGAAACAGCCAAGTCACTGTAATTTGTTATCCTGGATGACTAAGGAGGAGCTTCTATGCACACTCTATTCAATGAAAATTCACCTTTCATCGAGAAATATTTCCAGCAACGATCAATCTGACAATGAGATTTAAGGGAAATTAATTATATGCTCAACCCCCAGGGACGTATTTTAATCAAAGCAAAATAGGGTTAACTTCCAGTTAACATTTTTAATTTTTATAAATATATATTAATTATGTTAAATACACCTGACTCTTTTAAATACAATTTTAGGTTGTGTTGTCATACAATTAGCTCTTAGGTTATGTTGTCATACAATTAGCTCTTAGGTTATGTTGTCATACAATTAACTCTTAGGTTATGTTTCTCTGGAAGCTGTGGTGGTTAGAAGTGTCCCGACTAAATTGTCCGTTTCATTTGCAACGATCTAATAAATTACTGTAAATTATGTTCGAGACGGGGAACAGAAGATATCGAGGAAAATATCCTGATTATTTAGCATCGTTGCATTAGACGTTTCCTCACCACGTGAGACTCTTCTCGCAATTCCACCTGCGCTCGTTAAGCTACTTACAGAATACTAACTTGCGGTATCCATCAGCCGTGTGTACGATCCTTTCAGAATCTTCTCATGAGCCTGATGCATCTGATATACAAGGTGTTCCAGAAACAAGTTGTTCAGTTTTAATCCTCCTCCTTTTACACCCATCTTTCGTCATTGCAATATTTATCTAAAATAAATATTATATCATTTTATCTTGCTTTATGATCCTTAATTAGACGGTCAGAAGGTAAACAGTTGCAAAAGATGGTGAAATGGAATCGGTGATTTCGTTATTCAATTATATAAGTATCCCATTAAATTTATGGCTTCATTTATAGACCTCTTTGAACGGTTATAGAATATTTTATTGCCAGTGCTTATATCACGAAATATCCTCCATAAAATATAGCTGAAGATGTCCTAATTTTTTTTTTTTCAATAAAATATTAAATACTGAATCGCCCTATTTGTCACTAAAATGGTTGAACAATTTTTAGATAATTTTTATATGTTCGTTTCACTGTTTGTAATGAAAGCACCTAGGTGTGAAAGTAGGGTTAAAAAAAACGTGACAGTCATGATAATTAATGGCTCCCTGAGTCAATTCGCGTCCATGCAGAAGCAAGACAATCGGATATAATGCTATCAAGTACATCATCAAGCGTAAAGCACGTCTATTACTTCTATTACGTCCTCTTCAGTAGGCTGATTACACGAGCGCGTTTTACTCGTCCGTTTGCTAAGGCAATGCACGTGCTCCTGCTGATGTAACTCGTTACCAAAGATGGCACAACACGTGTTTTCCGTTCCAACATATTTAACGCGTCTTGCAGAAACGTAGGCTAATGGGAAAGGTTTACTATTAATTAAGAAGATATTGGCGCAGTCAAATTTCTTGGAATAATTTCATTTGATAAATTGTAATATTTTACTTGATTAAAATGTCTTTCTAGTATATTAAGATATTTCAGACATTAAGCTTCCATTTTGGATCAATCTAACCTAATCCAGTGGGTGTATCAGAGTTGAGGTTAGGTCAGCCAAAAAAAAACATTAATTAATAGATTGATTGTCCTCTTTGAAAGAAATGTCACCTTTGCCATTGTGGTAATCAATCAATCACTTCATCGACTTGCACACCTTTTTCCTGCACCGATAAATCTTCCTCCTGAACGAGCAAGAAACTCTTCCAATCATTTCCCCTAGATCCTCTTCGAGAGAAAAAATTCCCCAAAACGTGTCACAGATTATCAACCGACTCGTCAGCAGCACAGAAAAAGCACGTGTCGTAGGGTCATTAAAACCATCGAAGGATGCACAAAAGGAACTGGGCTACAGTCGCCGGTCCACATTGAATAAAAGACCTCAGATCAGACAAGATGATACGTGCGAAAGATCGTTATCGACCCCTCGGATACACAGGGACCCTACTCAATCCGTGTCTGTGTTATGCACTACAGTGCATACAGTGTAATGCCATTCTATTATAGACAGCTAACATTTACTGTAAATTTCAATTTTAGCAGGTTTAGCAACTGTTTTTAGTATTTTGTTTAACCTCCTTGGGCTGCTGGTAGTGATCTTCATTGTTGAGGGTTTTATGGTCCTTATTAGTAGGCTACGAGGAAAATAGCGATATAGGGGCAAGTGGTCCTATTCTCTACTGGGAAGGCTTACTGTACACTTTGGTGCAACGAGGGCTTCCTTTCCCTAAGAGTGGGGGTAGGCCCCTCCCACCACTTGCCTAAGAGTGGGAGGTAGGGCCCTCCCGCCGGTTGCCTAAAAGTGGGAGTAGGACCCTCCCACCACTTGCCTAAGGGTGGGGGTAGGGCCTTCCCGCCGGTTGCCTAAAAGTGGGAGTAGGACCCTCCCACCACTTGCCTAAGGGTGGGGGTAGGGCCTTCCCGCCGGTTGCCTAAAAGTGGGAGTAGGACCCTCCCACCACTTGCCTGCAGTTTTAGGAAGATCTACACCTAATATACAAATAAGGACCTATGTGCTTTCCTTAGTTCACCTCCGCCCCCAATGCCAACAGCCCCTCTTCCCATGCAGGTCAGCCATCTCTGAACAAATAGCGTCCAACATAGGTACCGGTAGAGCCTACCTGGCTAAAGTCATTGACCATTTTGTACTACGGAATAAAATGTTAAACCGACAGGGTGCGTAATCCTCAACTTTTGAACGACTATGTATAGAAATGCCGCAACGATGCTCACGATTCGACGATACTTTCGCGGTTCGGTTTATCGAGTTCACGGGAATCAAAGCAACCGAACCGCCGGAAAAAATCTTGCTCTACAAGCATGTTCCACTAAGTTTCGCGGGTCGATCTTGCGTTACAGCGCACAAAGCGTGTAACGTTGCGCACCGCTTGCACAATTCCGCTGCGATGTACCATCAGACACATAAAAAAGAGATGACTTCAGAGGGTTTCGACACGCGTAACAGAGTGTTTCTTTTAGTCTTATTTTATTTCTGTATCTCTGCAGCGAGGGAGCAAAAAGATCAGGTAACCCCCTATGGGGAAGGGGGGGGGGGGGATCAAAAGTTCCGGAGAAATCTGATCCATTTTTGAAACACACTGCTGATCTAAGGTCTCTACCGTTTACGTAATAGATCCGCATGACTATAGAAAGCAAACTGAAAGCGATGCTAAAAAAAAGAATCATGTCATTTCTCGTTGTTGTGACACGTATGCACTGCGTTAAAATAGAAAGCTATTCCTCGTATCACTGACTATTTTCATCGACGTACAACGGTACAATTATATTTCCATGCCTGCTCTGTTTCTGGTTTCAGAGCTATAACAATATCGATTTTGCAATCTGTCCAGAGTTTATGGCTAACTACAATTTCTTTGAATATTTATAATACCCTGACTGGCGCAATGAAAATGACTACATATATCCTTGGTTTTTTCATTTGCTTTTGAATTATTAATACATTTGCTACCAAAGCAGTGATATCAACGCCTCTGAAAGAACAGGAAGAAGTAATTCATATTTTTTGGACACAATTCCGAGAAAAATGTATAATAATTCCGATATTTGTATTCAGGGGAAATATATCTATGGATGTACAGAGAGCTTTTTCAAAAAAATTGTTATAAATGTCCTTTACTGCTAAATTGCTAAATTTTAGCTGTGGCTATTTGGCTATCATGCTGTCCTTGTCCCTCCAACAGAGGAACATGCAGGAGAGAGAAGGACCGACCGGAGCTTCTCAGTTTCGCCGCAAGAGACCCCCAAGATCGATTCGGACTTAACCCTTAATAAATATTTTCCATTAATTCTAATCTAATTTTCAACTAACTCATGTTTTAAAATAAATAATAATCCTTTGATCCCAAACTGTAATATCCTGGACACTTTTTTTTTTTAAACGACACAGGGATTACCGTGACACGTCATTAAATACGGATTAAACAGCCGAGTCTCGTTCGACCACCTCCCTTTCATTTTCGTTTTCCTCGTATCCACCAATTACCGGGTCGACTATGCTAACGCAGAGTTGTTTAAAAGATAGAACCATAAACAATTTGTTCCTCTTGTCTATTGACAGGCAACCGCATGGTGGCTAAACGACATGTACCTCTCTATCCCTCTGCCATTGCCGATCAACGTGAACCCTGGCCTCGTAACGAAACCAAAAACATTTTCCACTCAGAAAGGAGCCGCTGTGTTTCTGGCCCGATTTCTGACCGAGCTCCTCAACTATCAAGAATTATTGGATAGGTGAGTGTAATTTTTATAACGATACTTTTCGATCAAGCTACGACACCCCGAAGAAACCAACGAAAAATACAGAAGAAAGAAGTCGAAATGAAAGGATTCCAGTATTCGAATCCTCCCTGCTGAAACACTTTTTAACCCCGAACGGAAGCTGACTAAGCTAATCGCCGACGCGGGGCTTAGAAATCCCGGGGAGAGGAATTGGAGGTTCCCGAGGACGGGGGACATTCGTAAGAAGAACTGTTCCGTCATTCGAGCCAGTGATTCGTCGAAGGACAAAAAGAAGCCGCACTGAAATCAATTTAGCGAAGGAGCAGAAGGAAATCCGGGTTGTAAGATCCATAGGAGGCGTTTATAAAGGGACAGACTCGTCCTGAGAGAAATGTAAAGGATACTCCTACCCTTGGCTGGCTCGTATCCGCTTGCGAGCGAAGCATCCTGAACCTTTCCTTCTTTATTCTTGGGAATTAACGTAAATTCGTCGAGACGTACTGTATTATTGAGGGATCTATCGTCCTCCAACATTCCAGGCATCCTTTGTACCATCGCTAATTGCTGGTTAGGTTATCTTGGATCGTGACATTAATTTCTGTTGCTATAGCGGCGGTCTGGAGGTTCAACGAGTGAAATCCAAAGATGGAAAAGCGATGCAGCCTATGTGTATGGCCCAACATTATCAAATGTTCCGGATCTATAGAAGACCAGGAATAAATGGCGACGAACAAGTGATACTTGACAGAGCTACATCTGGCGATCATATCATTGTCGCTCATCATAATCAGGTAATATCACAATCACCCTTCCTGACTGTATCCTAAGCTCGAACAGCGACAGTAGCGCCATGCATCAAATATGGCCGCTCCTAGTACTGAGCAAACTGGTCCCATTCTTTAGGGGCAACTAAACTTAATTAAACAAGTTCTCGCTGTAACTCTATATTCTTTAACAGTTCTACAGTGTACCCGTAAGGGCTCCCGATCGCGGTAGGATAACCGAGGCAGAGTTGGTCCAACAAATTTTAAGCATCATGGAAACTAAAGCTGATCCTAGAACTCCACCGGTTGGTATCCTTACAACTGCCGAAAGGCCAATCTGGGCGAAAGCGAGGGAAGAATTGCTTAAGAGTATGTAACATTGAAAAATAATTTAAATTTCTCCGCTTCATTTTTTTGGTAACATTATTTTCGTATTTGATAAACTTTTCATCGAGAGGAAACACGAGCCACACCATTAGCGATGGTGTAATAATCTCGTAACAAGTTCTCCGGTAACCCTTGCTGCCACATGCCCTTCCACCCAGCCGCCATAATTAACCGGGCTGTACCGCGCTCACCGATATTCGCAATATCCCCATTAGCGCCCTAACTCGACCTTACCCAACGAGAATCTCCGACCTACGACTACAAATCGAATAAACGCTCGTTGTAATGAGTTAACGACGATCAGTGGTGAGGCTCGTTTAAGGAACTAAGAAATATTATCATCTTGACCAAATAGCAGTCAATACTAAACTGGGCCAAAACTTTTGAACGAGATTTTCTAATGAACAGCTGTCGACATTTTCATAAATTTATATCCGCCATTTTGAGGTTTGAAGTCACTGACCCTCCCTGTCTCTCCCTACCCCTCCTCCGCCTCTAGGACCAAAGGCCATATTAACATGTTCAAGCTCAGGGTAAGAATATAAATCTACCTTAGTGATCCTGAACATATCAACCTTGATATGACCAAGGTGGGCAATACTCATGTTTTATAGATGAACGAAATCGGCACAACTTGGAGCTGTTAGAAAAATGTCTTTGCGTGGTTTGCATCGATGACGACGTACTCCCAGCGACATTCAACAACCCCTACAACAAGGAGGATCGATGGATAGGCGATCGGGATTACGCCAACGTGCTCCACCATGCCCTCCACGGTGGAGGTTCCAGACATTTAGGGGCGAATCGCTGGTTCGACAAAACTGTCCATGCTATCCTTGGCAAAGTACGCGTAACTTTATTCCCAACTATCTCCTCGTCAGTAGAGATAACGATCATCACATGATCGTCTGTTCGTTAAAGGATGGCATGTGGGGTTTGACTTACGAGCACTCAGCAGGCGAAGCTGCATCCATATTCGACGCGTTCGAAGAGTTGACGGCCAAGGTGGACGCCATGCCACCTCCTGAAGAGAACACCATACCGTCTCATTTGCCAGCGCCAGAGAAACTCACGTGGCAGTTGTCTGAACAGAGTCTGAACGACATAAGGGATGCTATGACGTCCTTTGATGCGTGAGTGGCAATGAGAATGATCGATGAGTTCTTCTCAGGTATCCTGACTAGGTATCTTTCAATTGCAGCTTGGTGGAGGACTTGGACCTATGCATATTTTGGTTCAAGGATTACTCGAAAGAGTTCATCAAATCCAGCAGGATCAGCCCGGATGTTTATATACAGTTGGCGTTACAGTTCACACACTTCCGGTGAGTAAGTATACAGTCGATACTACAGTGCACTACTAGTGATGATAAGATTAGGTTAGGTTAGCTAGTCCTCCTCCAATCGGGCAGACCTCCTGGTAGTTTATTTACAAGGACTTAAGTGTTCCACGTGAAACGTATGATTTCGTATAGGTTACATGGAAATTTGGTCGCCACTTATGAGAGCGCAGGAATTCGAAGATTTGCACTTGGAAGGGTCGACTGCATCAGGGCAGCGAGTCCGGAGGTACTGAATTGGGCAAAGGCCATGTGCCAAGGGGATCCTGAAAGCCAAACGACGAACCAGCAGAACAGCGGCCCAGACGAAGGCACCAAAAGAGTTCAGTTCACCATTTACAGTGTAACTGAATCTTGCTTGTATTCCGTAGAGATTGATGTTTGTGTCCCATGGAAAGTTTTTCTGTTTTCCATCATCCGTTTGCATGTCTGTCTCTTTTGAGTGTTTTAGATTAATTGTTTAACGAAAAAATTTAATTTGCAGTCTAATATTTTAGACTGAACAAATACAGGAAGGAAAAGAACACCCCTGAAAAAGGGCAATCAATTAGGTCTAGTCTCTCTCTGTTGTTAGTTCTCTTTCCTGTTCAAGTGTTTGCCCGGCTCTCGAACAGCTTCGGGCGAGTTTCATGGGAATTCCCCGTTTGCTTTCTTTTCATGGTTCCCTCCAGCTCGAAGAACAGAGTGAGCTGTTGTTTCTCATTTATCACCCTGTTATTTCAGGCGTTCTGTTCTCCACAATTACACCAGTGTTCAACGAAAATGCACTGCAATGAAATGAATCCTCGTTGTTCCCATGATACTGTTCCGTTCAAAATAGACGTACCAAATTTTAAGTTAGCACCACTTATCACTAATTTTTAGGTTATGTACGAAACAATGATCCACAGCATTCGCTCCCTTTTGTTTACTGTCCATACCATATGTGATAGAAGTTATTTATTGGCAATTAAAACAGCGTCTCTCTGTGATTTTTCAGCAAGAAAGAATCAAGGAGCTGTTCGACTTGGCGGTACAGAGACAGACCAAAGAGATGACCGACAACATCACTGGCCAGGGAATCGACAACCATTTAATGGGTCTTCGTTACACTGCCAAAGAAGTCGGAGAACCGATTCCAGAGCTCTTCACGAATCAGGCTTACGAAATCATCAATCATTTCTCTCTTTCCACGTCACAGGTTGGTAACCATGCTTGCCACTCAATGGGGCCTCCCCTATTATTTTCCTACTAACTTCAGTCGTTTCCTTTTTCCAGGTGACCACGAAAAACGACGCCATCGTGGGTTACGGCCCAGTGGTACCTGATGGTTATGGCTGTGCTTACAACATCAGAAACAACGGCATCATATTCTCTGTGTCTGCTTTCCACAGCGACGGTAGGACAAACGCCACGCGCTTCGCCCGCACCTTGGAGCAGAGCCTGCGTGACATGTCGGCCATGTTGAAACAGGCTGGCCAACGATAAAGGAAAGTACTAGAATCAGCAGTCACAGGTAATAAGTAACGAATCGCCAACGAGACGAGTCGAGCTCGTCCATGAAAGTATTTATCGTAGTACGAATTAGTAGAAAGAAACGTTTGTCTACTTGCCATTGCAAGATGTTGTATATATGGACCTAGTTGCCATTAACTCACACAAGTTGGTAGGCATTGTTGGTTTGATATTCTCTCCCGGTCCGTTCGGGTTGACGCTATAGAACGGACCCTAGATAGCAATTTTACATATCGTAAGCATAGTTTTATTTCCGCCATGGTAGGTGGAAGCTTCTCCTAGGGCGGTCAATTTAACGACGACCACGTGAAACGTGAATCCATGATGATTTTTAGGGAATTATTCTTCCAGTTGTACTCGCATGCACGTACCGGTGCTTAGATACATTGTGCCATTTGGAAGAGAAGCTTTTTTCTATCGTTCTGCCAATTTAGATATCTATTCTTGTGAATTTGTCACAAGGCCATTGCAACCCTGTCGCTATTAATGCCGACTTAATCGGCCATGGCATTTTTATGACCAAAGAAAGCTCCAAGTATTCCGTTGGTATTTAAATAAGTTTTTGCATACTGGTGATGGTAAAAAGCTTATTTAAATATTGACAGAAAAGATGGTAAGCAATTTTAGTCTGTAGATCAGTCGATCATTGTTAAACGCTAGTCCTGTTATGTCCGAGCGCTGGAAGTTCCTTTCCTCTGAAAACGACTAGTCTTATCGTTATCGTATCGCTGTTGATTGTAATTGTTAATTAACGATAGTTCGTGTACAATTTATTAGTTGTAGCATACTGCGAGCTACGGTTGTTTAAACGAATTTGATCTCACCATTTTATGTGTTCTAGAGAACTGTAACCTTCGATGTAACCGAGAGATTAGACAAGTGATATTTTAGGGATACGGTTTAAGAACTACTTGTAACATCTGCCCGAGTAGCCTTCATTTTAGAATAAATCGTGAATAGGTTTACAAGCAATCAGATGTTTCTTTTTATAGTTGACGATTTTTATCGATTATATACGTCTATCTCGTTAGAAAGTTAATTGTACATTGACCATTTCGTTTAATTTAAAACAGGCGTTCAATAATTCTGAGCAGAAAATTTCTGGTCCAGTAGGGAATTTACATGAATCAATGAGTTGAAAATGCAGACTAACTTTTTTCCATAGAAGGCCTTGTTTCTGAATCAATAGGTATTGAAAGTTTATCGAAATTTCAAATATTTAAAAAAACCGCCATTTCTTCATAAAAGCGTCACCTAGTGATGAAAACGAGAACTAAGGTAAGAATAATTTTTGCGCCTTTATCGACGATATCAAAAAGCTCATTGCACCTACCAGTAGATGGCGCCACTTGTTTTGGCGGTTTTCTTTTTTTTAAATATAGAAATATCGATGAATTTTAAACATCCGTTTATTCAAATATGAAGCCTTCTATGAAAAAATATGATTCTACAATTTCGACTTATTTTTCCATGTTATTGTTGGATTTTAAATGGCATCGTCGATCAGAAAAGTGTTAACGTCCTTTTCATTTCCCATAATAAAGATAATATTGTCTGATCGTGTGAAATCCTTGATATATGGAACGAAAAGATAGAATACACGAGTAGGGACTGAGAAAATAAGTTGGTTAGGTAGAGAAAAAGATTTCTAGCGCACGGACTTCGTCTGTCGCAACACATTCTAAAAAACGTGGCCAATATTGGCGCCCGCACAGTAAACTCTTGTCCAATTCTTAGGTAGGTCGGCGGTTTGCCTTTCTCGATAGACCGGTGAACGTTGACGATAGCTCTCTATCTCACTATCGCGTTAATCTTCTACATCTAATCAACTATTCTAATTAAAATTACTTCCCCCCTCCTTGAGCACCGAGCTCTGAAGCGACGAATTCGAGGTAACTTTTTCCCTGAATATAAAAGTATTAACTCTCTAAACGGCATTGTTTATTTAGATGAGAAAGTGGTGGAAAAAAATATAACGTACTTTACGCAATTCATATGCGAATTGTACGGTGCCCGTACACTCCCTCCTGCCATTGGCTGCCATACAGGAGTGGGAAGAGACCGCTGCGTGACGGCCTTATATAACCTTCTCGGGGCGCGCATGCGCACTTGCGTATCAAGCGACGCAGCGTTGCGCGCGCAATCTGAACACTGCTATGCAGAAAAATATAAAATTTCCCAATTGCCAAGAGCTACGTTTTTCTTAATATAATACAAATTTATAAATACACGCACTTACCATATGCAGCGTCCTCTTTCTATTAATATATCACTTTCTCAGTTCACTAAAAATAATGTGCCACTTGGAGATGTGATACTGTAGTAAGTTTGTCGTTTAACGCTATACCCTAACACTAGCATTGTACGCTCTCGCCTTGTATCAAATTGTTATAGTTCCATTAATAATTTAGAAGCGAATAGAGAAACTATATGTGCACATCTATACATACAGCACAACACACGTGTTACATGAATACAAAGCACATCTGTTGACGTTATTCATATTTTATCAAGTTGTTTCTTAGGCTTCGTTAAAAACTAATTCTCCACTGTACAAACACACGTGTACGTTAGAATTGCCATTGAAAGAATATGCAGTTTTATCAATATATTATCTGTTACGCATCAGATCAGAGAGTTTAAAAGAATTTTCCTTCGTTTTTTCTACACACATGTGTGAATCTTTGACGAACGCGAGGAATTGTGCTAGTTCCTTTATACAGTTACTAAATAATAATATATCATATATATATATATATATATACGTTTACGCATACACATATATGTATACACATATCAAAGGCACACGTTTAATGCATAACAGAGAATGTACATCTGTTTTCGCGCATATCTTCGTGACATATTGAAAGTGTTCTATATTTAGTTTTAAGATACAAATACCTATTAAATTATAAGGTAAGGTGGAAAGTAAGATGTTGTTAAAGGTAATTCTAATCGCATAATCGTTGCGATCGCAACCCTGCGGCCAAGAATATCGCGCATATCAGGCGAAAGCCAACTATAGTGATAATTTTATCGAATAGGATACATCCCTGTAAATCGATAGAATTTAATGAAAATATCTCGTACGAAGACCACTATCGTTAATACGAAATTACTATACAGGGTGTCCCAGAAAGAGTGTTAGTCCTTTAAGGGGATGGTAGCTGGGGTGATTCTGAACAACATTTTCTTTGCAAAAATGTTATTTGAAGCTTCGTTTTTGAATTATTAAGGAAAAACCGCGGGCCAATCAGAGCGCGCGTGCCGCGCGGGCTCAGGGACGGCAGTTTCGACTCCTGCGCCCGCGCGCTACGCACGCTCTGATTCGCCAGTGTTTTTCCTTAATAATTCAAAAACGAAGCTTCAAATAACATTTTTGCAAAGGAAAATGTTGTTAAGAATCATCCCAGCTACCATTCCCTTAAAGGACTAACACTCTTTCTGGGACACCCTGTATAATAAAATGTGATAAAGTAATTGACCAGGTTTCAACGAAGACATGGCAAGAAAATGAGATAACTTTGAAATAGTCGTCTTCGTATGCGATACGTCTAATGTAATAAACTCGTTAGCACATTTCACTTTCTGTCCATGCAGAAAGCATACACAGCATACCTCTGTAATTAACTAATTTGCGGCAAGTATGTTGTATTATGTGTACGTTTTCCTGTGCAAGAATAAACACAACTGTGACACTAGCTGTTCCTTTTTATTGTAATCACAATCTAGTACAAATCTCCAATTAACTTTAGAAAATAATTTAAAGTATATTATAGAGAATGGAATGTTATAAGATTGCATGTAAAAACCTTAATTCAAGCACAACTGCAAATTACTTGATTTTTATACGCTTCTAGGAACTGGACAGTTATATAAATAAAAAAATAGAGACCTTTTACGATAATTGAGAAAATCAAGCATTATAAAAATAGCTTTTAAGTAACGAATTGCTAGTATATTTAACCTGATACAGGTAATAACATTGTTACAAGATTTCCGATGTTTCCTGATCGAAAGAATCGAGAATTTTACATTTACAATCATGTCTGATGACGAGCTACTACTAAGTCAGCATTTACATCCTCGTACGCTTGCGCGAATGGAAGTGTTAGTAAGGAATTAGCAGTTAATCTTCTCTTTGGGTCGTGTTGCAAACACTTTTTAATTAAGTCAATCCCCTCAGCTGACAAACTTTTTGGCAACGCTGGAGTCTCACCCATCCCTACCTACAATATTCAAAAATAACAGTAGATACAATTATTTATGCAATGCAATTGTTATAGCATACCTTAAACATAATTTGATAATTCGAATCATAGTCTGACCAAGGCCTTCGTCCACTGGCCATTTCTATCACGCAACAACCAACCGACCAAATATCAGCTGCTCTTCCATGACCACTGCTCTCTGACTTCATGAACACTTCCGGTGCCATGTAAGCTGTGTACAATTGGTTGATTTTAACGAGACGCTTTTAAACATACAGTCCCTGGGCACCGAATTAGGACCACATAGGAAAATTTCAGTTTTATAGCAATATATGTCATATATGGAAAATTGTCTTAGGTCATTCAAATTATTACTAAATACATTGATAACCAGGTATATATAGCAATAGATTTGTTAAAATTATTTGGCCGATGAGCGATTAAGGGCCATGCAAGTGTTTGTCTGGAGCCTACTAAAAAGAATGTTTACAACTCCCTAGGCACCACATTATCTGAGTTGAAAAGAAAGATTACAGATATTTGGGAAAATAACAAAGATATGATAAAGCTGTCATCAAAGTAAAGGGTGGATTATGTTAGTAGCTAATAAATTATGGCCTTTTAATTTTACGGAAAACGTGAGAAATGCTGACAATTTGTAGTGATCCTAATTCGATAGGCTGAGATTTTCCAGATTTTGCCAACCTTGAGTCCCAACGAATCCTTGCAATTCACCCGGCATCGTGGTGTGAGCTTTAATTTGTACCGCGCTTCCAAAGTCTCCAAGTTTCAGGCAATTACCCTCGTCGGTTAAAAAAATATTTGCAGCTGTAGAAAACAGAGACTGATTCAATGAGGCGAATATTCAGAAATCGATGGACTCGGTATAACATTTACATTTAATGTCGCGGTGTACTATTCCATGACAATGTAGCACTGCTACCGCTAAGAGTAGTTGATGAGTATATTTCCTGACTAATGATTCCGGTAGCCCATTCCCACTGCCAGCTACCAAACTTTCCAAGGTTCCTTCAGCACAAAATTCCATGAATATTAACATCTCTTCCTGTAATGAATAATATCGTTTAACGCTTGTTAGAAACAGAGTGATTGTTAAGAGGTGATGTGTTCGTACTCGATGGATTTCTAGGCCATAATATCTGACTAAGTGTTTGTGTTGAATCCCTTCGAATATCTGCAACTCCTCAGCTACTCTTCTGATAGCCCTGTGATCTCCAGGTTGCAGCTGTACCTCTTTCATGGCTAACAACTCGCCGGTTTGATTGTTCACCACGGTGTACACTTTGCCGAATCTTCCTTGACCTAGAACGAACGGTAATAAAGGGTTACGCCTAGTTGGGATGGGGTAATTTTCAAGATTTTCTTTGCCGTCCTAATAAACATTTATATTAAAAGTAAAGAAAAGTGATTCTCGAGATCACTTGCGGTGGCCATATCTTCCAAACCGCTTATTTGAAATGAAAACCAAAGAAGATTGAGTTAGTATATTGCATTGTCAAGGGCCTGAACGAAGGATTTTTAATTTCGTTGAAAGAATTTTATTTATCGCAATAAAAACGAAATTTGACCACTTCGAAAACCGGATTTTTCAGTAAAATTCTTGCCATTTTGGTGAAAATCAAAATTTCGCAAAACCCTTCGTCCAGGCCCTTAACAATACAATGTATTAACTTAATCTTCTTTGGTTTTGATTTCAAATAAGCAGTTTGGAAGATATCGTGGCCACCGTAAGAAAAGGGCGTTCCATGAGAAGAACTGTATTTCATTTTACTTCTTAAAAATCTTAAAACTACTTTAAAATTAGTTACATTTCCCTGATCCCAACTAATATTGACACAAATGCAAACTTTACCTATTTTAATACCCCTTTGCCAGGTAAACGTGACTCTTCTCGCTTTAATATGCACCCTATCTACAGCCTTTCTATCTGTAACTTGACCGATAAGTTCACGACTCTTTAGCCTCTCGTCAATATCACAGTCTACCTTTCTTATAGCCCGAACAATTCTCTCCTGACGGGATATACTACGATCGAACGTGTTCAACATTATATTTCCATCGACTATGCTCGGCGAAGGGGATTTCTTAGGATTCGACGGGACATCGGGAGATTTAAAAGCGTCTCTAGGCTTCTGGGATATACTCGCGGTTCTGCTTCTAGCGTGACAAGGCGACGAAGCTCTCGAATGAGATGACAATCTTCTTATACCTGCAATAAAGCATATTTCATGGAAATTAAACGAAAATATAAAGAAAGCGTGATTTGGTGCTATAAAACTGAAACTGTACTTTCTGTTTCCACGTTTGATGCTATGTTCGCGCTCCCAACGACGTGCGAAATGCAACGATCCATGCAGGTTTTCAACTCCTCGAATTCCTGGTCGCTCAGATGTTTAGTATTCTGCGGTTCGCACACCGTGATCAGAAACTCTAAACCTTGGTTCGCCCATCTGGGCCTCAAGCCCCGACCCCGCTCGCACCGTGTCCGTACGAATTCCATCCAGAGGAAAGCGAAAGATACCAAGCCCCGTGCTAAAACAGCTTTCTCCTCGAGAGAAAATAATTTACAGGTCTCCTTGTAGTAATCGAAACCCATCCGATACGCCTGATGAAGTATTTCCCTGACTCTGGAACGAAAAGCGAACCTGTCGCCCTCGGAATTTGGTTCTTCAGCCTTTTCAAGGTCCCGTTGGAAATTGGTGATTACCACTGTTATCTGGTGTCTCAAAGACATCACGGTTTCCTAAAATAAATGTACAAACATTGTTATGGAGAACCAGGATGGTAGAAAAGGAAGTTTACCTTCAAGATTGTTAATGATTCTTCCAAGTCCTTGTTAAAGAAAGCCCATTTTTCAATATCACGTTTCAAACACCTGGCCAGTGTGACACTCTTAACGACCTTCTCTCGAGACTCCACAAACATCCCTTGCCATTCTCGACCCACGAACATAAAATGAAATCTGAACCTTAAATGTATTAGGTTGTGTAATAAATTCCCGCCTTTTTTGAATTTTATTTTTTTCAGCAATATTGTGTTTTGTTAGGTAAAGTATACAAGTCTTTTTCTTGCTCTACAAACCTATCTGCTTCAATTTTTCAAATAAAATTAATTTGAATCAATTTTCAGGTTTTTGAAATGGAAGCTCCAGGAGGCAAAAAAATTCATTTTTCACATCTGAAAATATGCGAATGCATATATAAAAAATTTAAAGAAAATTTAAATTAAAAATATTTTTAAAACAATTTCTAATATACTTTACCTACCAAAACACAAAATAAAATACAAAAAACATGGAAATTTATTACAAAACCTAATACATTAGAAAGTATAATATCAATCTGTTCTTACTTGCATGACCAGTCGTCATCATCGCTCCAATCTTCAGTAGTCTCCTTGATCTCTCTTGGTCTCTCGTTAAGGAATTCTTTCACCTGCTTGATCATCGTCTTGGCGATTTCACTGCGAATAAAATAGTAGGATAAAATATGCGCAATAAATCAGTGGAATCTCTAAGCAGGATACTCTTACCAGAATTTAACTCCAGCTATCTTGTAACCGTTCAATATATTCCCAGCTATCGATTTTACAAATATCCACTCGTCCATGATTAAATTTTTATGGAAACTATCGTGTTGGACCATGTCCACCCACTGCTGCAAGTAGTCGAGGTACACCTCGAAGACGGCTTTCAAGCTATCGTCGAAGTCTTTCACGTCCTCTTGGAACAACAATTGATCGCAGCTTTCGTTGTCGCTGGCAACAGCCGCGCAAGAGTGGGCGGAAAATCTGTCGCGATGAATGCAAGCTATTCGAAGACCCTCCCTGAGTTCGCGCATCAATTGCCTAACGGACAAGGGGCTAGGCTGATCCGGCTTTTGTTCCAGCCTCATTCGCAGAAATTCGTGGACGACGTCCAATGGAACCCGGGACAAAAACACGAAAGCTGCTCTATAGGATGGAAGATTCAATTCTCTGGCCTCGGTGCTCCACACACCGTATCGACGTAGCTCTTCGTCCCCTTCGTACTCTTCGCTGGTAGCGTTACCACCTTCGCTCACGTCGCTCTTCTCCAACGTCAGTCTTGCTTTCCTTAGAACCGAGGTGTGCAGCCTCTCGAGGAAATTTAAACTCTTCCTCAGCCCTCTGGTCTTCAGCACATCCTCGATGTACTTTCTATAAGCCTGCCGGTCGAATTCTACTAAATAGAAATCAAGCCGCTCTGTTTTATCGTCGTCCAGACAGGTCAGAGATGTCTCAGGGGTGGAAGGCCACGACTGGGCGAAAGACAAGCCGACGGAAGAATTGTTGCTATTGTTGCTGTCGGAGGGACTGGAGCTTTCCTCCTGCGGATTTGACACCTCGAACCGTACCAAAGTACGCCTGTGCTCCGAGGAATCAACGGTATCCGAGGATCTCGAACTTATCCCTGAATCACCGTTATCGTCGTGCTTCTTCTTAGTGTGCAACATCATCAGTAATTTTCCCAATATTTGCAATTTCAGTCGATGATGTTTGGTCATGTTGTACCAGAGGCACATGGCCTTCACTCTGCCGGTAAATTCTGTGCTTTTGTATAACGGATATTGCACGGCCAAAGCCTGCGACGACGGGTATAGAGACTCAGCCACTTCTAATCTAGCTAATAAACCTTCTACTTGCTGCAACGCCTCGCCTTGGGCTCTCGCACATGCTCTACAGTACATAGAAAGACACCCCGGACAGATACCCAGCTCTATGTTCGGGCTTGATCCAGAATTCACAACTCGGTCCACGCATTTACCACTTATATTGATCCAGGGTGTATTACCGTTCTTTACACTGGCAATAGGATCGTATCTGTAAAGGAACAGCTTTGTTACAATACTTTGCTCTATTTTTAGAACATCAATAACCCCTTACATAATTCACCTGTACTCCATTATTTCTTTAAGCAAACCTTCCAGTGCCTCCCGCTGTTTGCACAAGTACTCGTCCTGAGCCATTGGATTGCGATCAGCGTGATGGGCTTGCAGTTCTAACCATATTAGGTCCTTCAGCTCGTTTTGCCAGCTGGTCTCCTCGTGGCTTATTTGACGCCTGCAGTTTCGTTCCGTACTTCCCTGGAAGATATTAAAAGAAAATAAACAATGAAGTAACATGAATTATTGATATAAAATAATAGTAAAATTATGGATTATTTATTCAAACTATATCCATTAAATATCTCGAAATTAACATTTTTTTTATGGTATTAAAATTATTAATATATATTTAGAGATTAAATATTGTTCAATTTTGAATTAAATTGAATTTATATATTTTCAACTGTACCAGTCTAATGAGAAAAGAAAAAGTATCGTGAAATATTTCTCGCTCTTTAAGGCTCAACGTTTTAGGAGACTGTGCCACTGATTCATTGTTATCAATGACCAGATTTGGTTCGTCGGTTTCAACCCTTCTCTCCTCAACGCCGACGGGCTTCGATCGGAGACAACGGAATCTGTTTTTAGTTTCTACTTTGATGTGATTAGGCGTCGACACTTGTCCGTGATCAAATTTCTCAGCATAATCGTACGCCGCCTTCATGTCGAGCTTCAAATCTCTCTCGCTGCCGCGCAATACTTTGAAAATTCTTTTACACTTCCGGCTTCCCTCTTTCACCATATCCTGATTCGCCTCGTTCTCGCAATCTCTGTCGGCCTTATCGCACATCTCGTTGAATATTATACTGTCCAGAGTGTTTCGTCTGCGAACCAGCAGTTTCGACGGTGTCTCCTTGTCTAACGATTTCGTATCTCTGAAAGCAAATAATACAATCAACGTTAAAATATTATAATTATTTTTCGATTCAAAATCATTCTTTTTTTTTTTTCGCCTGTGCAGAGGCATGGTGATTATACATGATTCCCTTTGTTTGAAATATTGTCGCAATATTTCTTCTACACCTGTAAAAACACCTCAAACGCTTTGTAATTTATATTGCGCTAATGACATTAATTTTTAATACAAATGGGTGCTTCTGGTTATAAATGATAATAGTAAAAATTTAAATTCAATTAATATTAAATTACAATATATAGAAATTAATGGATTGTTTATTCAAACTATATCCATTTATATGTTAATTAATTAAATATCTCGAGCAAAATATATACAATTTTTTTTATGGCATTAAAATTATTAATATGTATTTAGAGATTAAATTTTATTCAATTTTAATGATATCTAGTTTCTTTTTTAATTAAATTGATAAATTTTATTAAAAACAAAGTATTTTTGAAAATATAAATAATTTATGGGATAGACTATAAATTAATATATAATATTTTATTCTGTTTACATCAGAATTAAAAAATATCCAATGTTCGTTTCGCAATATAATTTTTTATCGTATAAAGTTCCTTTATCGGTCGCAAAAAATGGGGAAAAAAAGTGTAAACAATGTTCAAGGAAAAAGTAGAATAGTAAAGTGGGTATGAAAACAAAATGAACAAACTAATTAACTCACCCTCCATTAAGTTTCTGTTTCATATACCTCTTCTTGCGATTCAGACGGGTTCTCGGCGGTGTCTGTCCGTACATATCGCACATGGCTTGAATCGATTCATCGAATTCGTTCGTCGAACTGCCCGAACCTTTCTTACTGCAATAACAGAAACTTGTTAAAACGCAGGAATTCTAAAACTGTAACGTAAAACAGATACCTTCATGCCTAAAACATTATATAAGCAAAGGTAAAAATCTAAGCGTTACTCTTTAAACGTTCGTAAAAAACGGTAGTTCTAATTTATCGACATGTACATACACTGCCGTCCATAAGTCACACTGCGTAAGACTTAAAACAATATAATAGTGTAATGATATAATAATAATTAGATAATTATTATATAATTATAAATATAATTAGATAAATAGGAAATATAATTATAAATATAATTAGATAAATAGGAAATAATGATTAGATAATAGTTAGATAATAAAATAATGATTAGAAAATAATAATGCAAAATAAGATATGGTTAATCAATTTCAAAAGGACAAAAGCACATATCTTACAAGGGGAAGTACCCAAGTTAATGTCCTAGATAAAAAACATAATTGAAATTCTCTAAAAATTGCATTCCATAAAACATGCGATTAAAAAAAAAAAAAAACATTTGGGACCCATGGATTTGAACCGCGGACCTTCAGATTACGAGCCAAGCGTTTTACGACGGGGCTAACCGTTCATATGTGTGATTTTGTCATACTTCTCAATGTAAGTAGTAACTAATTTTAATTATTAATATCTTTTAAACAATTAGTCGTCTGCCCACAGAACGGAGTATAGGCGTGTTCAACTCGACGAGCTCTACAAGCTGGCAAAGTTTCATTAATAAGTGAGTGTAACACTTGGGTAGTTCTCCTTGTTAGTAAATTAATTTGTATAGCTTCTCGAGAAACCTCAAGTCATTTGTTCCAATTTTAAAAAGAGTATTTTGTTTTAAAGAGTGCCCGGTGACTTATGTACGGCAATATACATGAGTAGTTAGAAATTGAAACAGTACATCATGAGTACATTTAATCTAATTTTACATCGCGCTGAGACAGATCAATAATAAATTTTATTACGTTTCGTTACACTGAAATAGACCGAAGTACGAACGGAATACAATTGAATGTATATATTCGTTTTGAAAATTGAACGCGTAGAGTCGTCACTTGTGATTCGAACGTGTAAATGCATCCAGATATGTCAAGTATGAATAAATTGTACGTGTCACACGTGCGATCATATTAAATTTCGCTAAAATACATATGTGACAAACGTACGTTAGCGACGCAAGAAATCATGCTGAAGCAATAAAAAGCGTTGGTGACATGACGACAAATATCATCACTCTGACGACAGTCATTTCGCGTGACTGTTAAATTTTCCCTAACGGTTTCTAGTAACAATACACCGGTCTATCTTCGATTATTAAAAATCGAACAGCATGTAAACAAATGATGGAGATTGCACTAATCGAAAATCAGCCGGCAACTACTCTCGTGTTACTCCGAATCTCATGAATAGTCACGTGTTAATTCAAGAACACGAAAAACTTACCCAACGTAGTTGGTGTCATCATCGGAGGAACCTGAGAAAAGATTTTCAGCATCATGGCTTCGTTTATCGTAACCCAACATTCTTCTTACACACAAAGCGCATCGCAACCGAGACAACGCTGATGTTCGACGAGAAATTTGGCGCAGGTATTTATTTGCGCTGTTGCCGTTTAGAATGAAAACAGGTGTTTGATGGAGTAGCGATCATGTGACGGCGCGCGGGATTTTCAAAATGCTCAAGATTTCAATCCACCGTTCACTGTGTATGACAAAGAAACAGAAGCAATAATTAATGACAATTTAACGGATAAATAATAGGAACGCTAAAATCTAACGATTGGTTACATTACAAATTACAATGGGTACAATAATCGTGTATCCAAGAAGTGTGATATGATTTTTTTTATTTAAACAATGTCTAACTTTTTTCAGCAAAGTACAAGTGATTCTCATATATCCTCGCACCAACAAATAATGCTTTCAATAAAATACAATGTCTATGCGTCTTTGTGGTCGTATCTTGTGTTGTATTTTGTATGCGTTATTTTAATTAATCAATAATACTGCTACAAAGATCATTATTTCATTATAAAAAATGGAACATTCAAAAGTACTTTTGATTCAATTTGATTGTTTCGTCGGGAAATATCGTCAAGCATCAAGGGCTATAAATATTCTTTCAAGAGACAGTAGAAATGCACTTTTTCTTTTCTCTCCCTCTTTCTCCTACCATATTTTTACACGCTTGGATATGTAAAGAACGAAATTATAGCACCGTGTAACGTTGAACTCGATGCGCACCGTAGAATACATATGTAAATTAAATCCTTGATAATCACCTCATGAAGGTACATAATACCAATTTACATACATCATATTTCAAGCCAAAATTTAGCTAGGTAATTTACATATTTACAGTTAGTAATCATGCAGAAAAAAAAATGTTAAAATTGATCTCCTGTTTATTACCTTCACAAGGAAATCATTTATATAAAGTGTTTATAAATCCACGTTAGGGTTGTTCATTAATTTTCTTGTATATGAATAAATACAACGCTTATTCATAATGTTATAAGGAATATAGGCCTATTTAAGTACATTTAGAATGTGTATAGAAAAAAAAAGAAACCTTCCTTTACAATTGAAAATTCTTACAAATTTTATATAAATAGGTGAAGATCCCCAACGTAGATGAGAAATGTTTTACAAGAAATTTGTTTGGAATGTCTTAAGATTAGCTTTCGTGCCAAGCGTTTAATGGTTTAAGAATATTCAAATAAGGTTTTTATTTATAAAAATGCTGTCTGTTTATATTTTTTGAATATTAGAGCATGACGTTGTATCGTACTAAATACTTAGTTATTGCTATGCACATTCGACATCTTATTCTTTTTTTTAAGAGTACAAATAGACGACTATAAAATGCTTTGCTTCGATTTTCATTTAATATTATTTCAGTAATAACACTACTAGATTGTAAATATTAATAATAATAATATTAATAATAATAATAAAATAATATAATAATAATAACACTACTAATTTGTAAATTGTAATTATTAAATATAATCAAAAAATATTTATCATTATTTTTTTCCTGTACTTTCCCTTCGTATTAACCGTAATATATGATGGTGATAAATGTAATGAAGTATAAATTCCAATATAATGATCTGCTTTTTTTTTCTTTTTTTTCAATTTTCTTCATTTTCCTTATTCAATTAATGCAAAAAGAAAAAATTGTCTTGTTTCATGATAACGCTCTTTGTTTGCATTCCGTCAAAAAAAAACATTGGCAGCATTTAAAGGTTTTGTTGGATTTTAATCGTACCATACAGTTTTTCTTTTTTTCTTTCTTTAAAAAGGAGCTGTTTTAAAATTTCTATGGCGTACCAGACAGCCATATCTTATATATATGCTCTTCTAATATTTCACCTTTCGTACGTTATTCTTTATTGTCGCATTCTCTCTCACATTCACCCTTTCATACTTTCAAAATTCTTGATACCTATCCATTGTTTTTTTTTTCTTCATAGGAACCGCGCAATTACCTTATGTTGAAGGTATGCAATACAAAGAGTCGCGCAATATTCCTACGTCTCTCTACAGGGTGTCCCAGAAAGAGTGTTAGTCCTTTAAGGGGATGGTAGCTGGGATGATTCTGAACAACATTTTCCTTTGCAAAAATGTTGGTTGAAGATTCGTTTTTGAATTATTAAGGAAAAACACTGGCCAATCAGAGCGCGCGGGTTCAGAAGTCAAAGCCGCCGTCCCTGAGCCCGCGCGCTATCCGCGCTCTGATTGGCCAGTGGCTTTCCTTAATAATTCAAAAACGAAGCTTCAAACACTTTTGCAAAGGAAAATGTTGTTCAGAATTATCCCAGCTACCATCCCCTTAGAGGACTAACACTCTTTCTGGGACACCCTGTATATCATATTACTGATTATTAGTACTTCAATATATGTATATCAATAAAGGCCACAAGTGTGTTCAATATAAAATTACTAATCAGTAGTTGAAATTCGTTCGTACTAAAAGTATACATATATATACCTTTTCTTAAACAGTTCATACATCGTGCTTAACCTCTCTATATTTATTGTAAAGACGGATATCATTCGGGTTTCATAAATTAAGCGGTCGCGTGTACATTATCCAACCTATTTGAATATTACTTATAACTCACTAAATAATAATGGTGATTGCACCGTGCTGCTTTAAAAATATTAACTCATCTATCGTTCCGATTATATCTACCAAATCATAAATGATAAAACGACGAGTAAGAATAAAAGATGAAAACATTGTGATGGATGTAGGAGCGACCGCTATCGACAAAAAAAAAATTAATAATTATATTCGTTAACGAAAGCAAGCGATGACACAAATAACAATATAAAATATTTTTAGTCGGGCAAATCCTTATCAAGGACGGACAGTACGCGACGTGATAAGGACCGCGACGAAATAGGTAACCAGCGGAGAAGAGTCAACATGTGTGGCGTTACGCTCGGTGACCAACAGTAATACTTTGAGAAAGAAAATACTGGCGCGCCGGTGCTTAGAAACTGTGTATAATTGTTAGATAAAAATAAAATAATATTCACGCATTTTCTTGTTATTTTAGCAAAAAGATCTTTAATTAGAAAAAAAAAAAGAAAACAACATCAGCTAGCAACATCAGCTAAGATAACGAAGGTTATTACAATTCAACGTTAAATAAATTCGTAGCTAAAACAGCAAGAAAATTTACTTGTTATGAAAAAATATATAAACATTCTTCTTTCATTTTTTTCTTTCTTTCTTTCACGAAAAAACTTCTTTACAATGGAAGCAGATTATGGAAGACGGCGCAAGTTGGTCGCTCGTCGCGTTCCTTGCCAATCATGAGAGCTTTTATGCTTAAACTGTACTTCAGAGTATAGAATCAACGTCGAAAAATATTCTTACACGTATAAACTACGTAGATCGTTGTAAATTGGAAGCGACTTGTACCACAAAACATCTCGAAAAAAAAAAAAAAGGAAAATATTCTAAAACGATAACACGTTTGACGTTTCACAAAATTGTCTTTCTGTAGATCAATTCAGAGAATAATCCGTTATGTCTTTTTCATAAATTAGCGATTACCGAGTTCCATGTGTTCGCGAAAAAATTGGAAGAGAATTCAAAGTAGGATGAAACAGGCAGGCGAATAGGAGGCAAATGGATACATAATTTACATGTTCTCAAATTGATCGACGCGACGTTTAGTGTTGCCTTTGCGAATCTCACGGAGCGTCTTATATTTGTCACGGCCCTGACGAACGTTTTCCCTATGAATTTTATCCATAACAGTCTCCTTCGATTCGTCGCGTGACTGTGCAAGATCTTGCTTCAATGCCTGGAACATATAATTATCTTTATTCAAAACACGCCCACATGTTTGTTTCAGATATAATGGAAAATAAGTACCTTAAGCTGATCGTGAAGACGTTCGTTTCTTTCCGCTAAGGTGCGCCGTTCTTCGACTGGATCGATTATAGACTCGTCAGTTGCAAGATCTTTAGTAACGTCACCGTGAGGCACCTCGTCTTCACCCTCCTCCTCACCCTCGTCATTTTCTTCAACGTGATGATGGTGGGGAGTTGTATTAGCTTGATATGCCCGATCAGCTTCCTCTTGCCTCAATCTACTTATTCGGAATGATAAAAGTTAAAATACAGCTAGAAATTCGATGATAAACAAAAGAAAGAAAGCATAGAAATCATTTATACTTGGCAGCCTCAAATTCTTCTTGCAGTCTCCTTGCCTCTGCATCCTTAGCCTCCACTTCTGATTGTATACGTTGTACCTCTTCTTGCTTGGCTCTTATTTCTTGCTCGAGCTTAGCACGCTCTGCTGCTTCCATTTCATGAGAAAGTTCCAGTTTCTCCATCATAGCCGTGAGTTCCTTTGAAAGATGCGAGATACATAGAAAGGTGATTCATAAAAGGAATTTGAAATTTACGTACTTTCTGGCGATCCTCCAACTCTTCTTTCGCGGCCTGCAACTGTTTGAGTTGCTCTTCCAAACGTCGGATCATTTCCTGAGCTTCGTTCAATTCAGCTTGCCGCCTGTCCATCTCCTCTGCCATATTTCTAAGTCTCTCTTCGTATTCCTGTTGCTTCTTCTCCGCTCGTTCTCTCGCAGCAATCTCCAATTGCAACTTTTCTCTCTGTTGTTGCTTCGCGATCTTCTCTTCTCTTGCTTGAGCCTTTAAATTGTAAATGTGTAGTATTCGTCAGTTGTAACAGCAGCACAGTGGGCTTCCCTGGAGAAAATGACTTTATAGGGGAAACAGGAATTCTTGATACCCATGAAACGTTAATTTTGAAGATATTGATATTAAAAGTGATTTGGAAACAAATAATGTAAGTTTTACTTATTAAATATTATATGGTTTAGTATATTACTAAGAAATATCAATAATAACATAAACATCAATTCGAATTTCCCGCGTAAATGTTTGCATGCAAGTGGTGGGGAGTCACAGACTTCTTTATATTTGGAGCCACCTCCCCTGAATCGCCAGTCTCCCTCGGGAAGTGTACCGTGCCCGGTACAGTGTGTACCATTAAAAATAATGTACCTTCATTTGTTGGACATCAATTGTATCTGGTTTGCGTCTACGCATGTACAGTTCATGGTTCCCCATACAAAGGGCCAGGATTCGCTTATTAATCTTAACTCTAGTCGCAAAGAATACGAAGTCCGGCGCCTTTTTGTCGATCGGCTTAATAATGAATTTCTTATCGTTGAACGATATATTTCTGATCTCGGACCAGGGGAAACCGATTTTTGGCGTTAATTTATTGTCCTTCTCGTATATGTTCAATCCCAACGCGTCAACGCCTAGCCAAAGATCTGTGCCCTTTTTATTTCGGATCTCGAAATAGTTCACCCCGTACATTTCCAGATCCTACAAAGAAGAATAAGGTGTTAAATAATTGCATCGATGAGTTGAAATCAATATAAATTATTACCTGAGCAATTTTTAGATATTCCATCATAGCATCTTCGCGCAACATTCCACGATGCTCCTGCCACCAATTAGTGATCGAACTTTCCCATTCCTCTTTGCTCATCTTGTGTTGGTCCACGACACGTTGTGGTACCAAACGGTCGTTCATTAAGAAACCAGCGGTGTGTGTACCTTTTTGATAATCACCGTGCCTCGCTTGGACCGCATAGGAAGCTAATAGTACAGACGTTTCCGGAGGACAGTAGATTTCATCCGTAAGAATGGCGTTCTTCACCTAGATTCAATACAGAACAGCGTTAATTCACTATTTCATGATTTTCAAGTACAGTGGACTCTTGTTATATCGCCCATAATTGGTCGTAGTGTACTAACGACTCTCCTTATATTGCCACTCATGGGCAACATAGTGTACTAAGGACTCTCATTATATTGCCACTCAGGGGCAATATAACGAGAGACCTTAGTACACTAGACTCTCGTTATATTGCCCATAACTGGCCATAGTGTACTAAAGACTCTCCTTATATTGCCACTCAGGGGCAATATAACGAGAGACCTTAATACACTAGACTCTCGTTATATTGCCCATAACTGGCCATAGTGTACTAAAGACTCTCCTTTTATTGCCACTCAGGGGCAATATAACGAGAGACCTTAATACACTAGACTCTCATTATATTGCCCATAACTGACCATAGTGTACTAAAGACTCTCCTTATATTGCCATTTAGGGGCAATATAACGAGTCTAGTGTAATAAGGACTCTCCTTATATTGCCACTCAGGGGCAATATAACGAGAGACCACTGAACTAAGGACCCTCCTTATATTGCCACTCATGGGCAATATAACGAGAGTCTAGTATACTAAGGACTCTCCTTTTTTTTTAAATTTCTTGGAAAATATTAGATTATCAGAGTTTTAAAAGACCATGATAAATTGTTATTCAAGAATCGTTTTAAGTATGATATAACATGCGATTAAGTTTCCAGCGTATCACGATGATCCAAATGACAGACGAATTAAACGATAACACGCGGTTATATGTCCAGCCCCGTTTCTGCACAGGTGACTATACCTGAAGATAAAAAAGGCGCAGCGTGATGTCTTGGATGAGCTCCTCCGCAACATCTTCCGGATAGAACTTGGCGCGGAATTTGAATTGCAGTGGAGTCTCCTTCTTGACTTCCTGGTTCATCACCTAAAACGTTCGAATTAAATTAATAAACGAATCACGGTGCGACGTCGGGAAAGCTTCAAAAAACATAAATGACAAGCTGAAATAAAAATTTAACAAACCCATCGTTTTGAAAACGTGCAGAATGCAAAAAATCACGGGGCCATCTCGTTCAGATGTTATAATTTACGAGACAAATGGATTAATTTTTCTTCGACGATTAAAATTTCATGCAAAATAATGAGGTAATACGATGATCGATAGGTTTTCCCTAATCGCATCATCGATTAGTATCTTTAACCGGCTTTAGACGAAAACAATCGCGGGACGTGTATCGATGGGCGATAAAAGGTGCGCCTAAAATCATTGCTAAACCTCGCTTTTTCAAGATACGAACACGATATACAAAACAATATGTTTTATTAATTGAGAATGACTACTCGGTGACGTTTTTAATCGAATTACGCAATTGTTTGTTACCAGGAATATCTTATCTGAGGAGAAAAAATGGAGCTCGTGCAGTGAAATGGGAAATAAGAATTCGCCAAATCTCTTCAACAAACTATGTTTCCTTCTCCATTTATTTTAACTGCTATTGTAAATTTCAGTCGAATCGAATAATTTCTTCTAATTGTAATTTAAAAAAAAAAATTATTTTGCAAGTTGCAACGAGGCGGAAGTGCATCCGCACTTCTCCATTTATTTTAACTGTTACCGTTATTGTAAATTTCAGTCGAATCGAAGGGTATACTTCCGAAAGGCCCCCCACCCTAGGACAACCAAACTTCGGATTTATAGTAATTGAGGGACGAGAAATCGAATAAGACCATTTTCAGAACTGGCAAATAAACCGTTCTCAAGGTATTCTAAAAATGTGAGACCCCCCTATTATCTCGATAACAACGGATTTCCACGAAAAATGACTAACACAAAAGTTGTAGGGGTCGTAAAGTATTATCTTGTAGTGACCTTGAACTTAACCTTGCAGGTTATTTGTAGGTCAAATAGAATTTTTAAAAAGCCATTATTACCATTTACTCCGGGAGAAATTAGTTAGGTAAGTTAGGTTAGGTTTGGTTAGGTTTAGTTAGGTTTGGTTAGGTCAAATAGAATTTTTAAAAAGCCATTATTACCATTTACCTCGGGAGAAATTAGTTGGGTAGGTTAGGTTAGGTTTAGTTAGGTTTGGTTAGGTCAAATAGAATTTTTAAAAAGCCATTATTACCATTTACCCCGGGAGAAATTAGTTAGGTAGGTTAGGTTAGGTTTGGTTAGGTCAAATAGAATTTTTAAAAAGCCATTATTACCATTTAGCCCGGGAGAAATTAGTTAGGTAGGCTAGGTTAGGTTTGGTTAGGTTAGTCATCTTCCATGGAAATGCGTTCTTATCCAGATAATAGGGCGTCCGACACTTTTAGAATACCCTGTATATCTCGAGAACGGTTTATTTGCCAGTTCTGAAAATGGTCTGATTCGATTCCTCGTCCTTCAATTACTATAAATCCGAAGTATGGTTGTCCTAGGGTAGAGGGACCTTTCGGAAGTTTCCCCGAATCGAATATTAATTTCTTCTAATTATAATTTTAAAAAAAAAATTATTTTGCAAGTTGCAGCGAGGCGAAAGTGCATCCGCCCTTCTCCATTTATTTTTACCGTTACCGTTATTGTAAATTTCAGTCGAATCGAATAATTTCTTCTAATTGTAATTCAAAAAGAAAATGATTTTGCAAGTTGCAACGAGGCGGAAGTGCATCCGCAACTGCACCGGAAGTGTCAATCGGATCTTTGCACAGGATCGCCTTGACCGCGGTTGACATCTCGGTTCAATGCCAACGATACGGCTTTTCATGATGGTTTACTGATACCTGTACATGGTTACATAATTCCATGGACAAGGACGATTCGAAAAAAAAAAAAAAAAAAAAAAAAAAATAGAGGTGGACCAGGAGGCGTGGCGTGAGAATGCTGCAGGTGCGACAAGCATACAAACTTTTACGAGAGACACTGATGGACAGCGTACTATTTAAACTCGTTAAGACTAGAGTGACGCGTGTTCAGCTAATAATAGTAAATGAGAATTGAAATTAGACACTAATAGAAAAATTGTCTGTTTTTTCGACTCTCGTTATATTGCCAAAAATGTGGCCATATAAGAAGAGCCTACTGAACTATATTTTGTACCACCCTGTATGAAAACTTGGTGAAAATTTATATTAATTCTGAAATGAATTGCTGTTTCTATCAGAGTGTCTGATTCTCTCAAAACAGGTGGGTGATAAAAAAAGCGGTGATTGCAATATCGTGAAATGACGAAAAGAAAATAATTTTTCCAAGCGTCGAGATATCCATCCTCGAAAAATAATTAATAATTTGATGATGAGAAAAATATGAGGGTATTTCTGGCTGAGAAAATGAACGATTTCGTTTGAAAAATTGAAAGGGACGATATGATTTTTATTATGAAGTGTTCAACCCTCTCACGATGGACGCAGGGTCACTCTGACCCATAAAAAAAATGGAACATTAACTTAATTGCTATGACTTAAAGGGTTCGTTAATTATTCATAATGACGTTACTAATTAGGAATAAAAATGACTCTGCGTCCACCGAGGGTTAATTTATCGATGCTGACATTTCTCCCAAACAGAAACACATTTCAATTAAATGTTACGACAGAAAACTTGGGGGGTTGTTACACGGTTTAGTTCGAGGATTTAAATCCAGACGCTGAGGGGGAGGTGAGCTATTTCTCAATTCACGTCTACGGGATAGAAAATTTTTAATTACAGTCTTACGTGCCAGATTTTTCGAAGGCCACACGGTAGCACCTGCAATTTATTCGCCGATAAAAGTTCTTCCCGAAATTCAGGAACGTCGACAATGAGACCGATCGAAGATGATTTGAAAAAGAAATTTTTATTTTAATAAAAAGTATTCACAATCAAAAAAAAAATGTTTTTTTCTTTTTTAAATAAAATCATCCCAAATCGGCTCATTCAAGACACAAAATATTTAGCTACCAAAGGGTTATTTTTGACCCGTGTAATTAACTAAATAAATAAATAATAGGATGGCATTACTATATAGGGTATAACTATAAACTCTAAATTATTATTTACATCCAGTTCGAATAGGGCCATTTAAATTGCAATAATAAATTTATCTTGTAACTTGTAAATTATTTGAAATCAAAGTTCGTGATATGCTTCTCAAACACGTCCTCATTTCGTTCAGTACGATTGTGTCATTCCGCACGAATATTAAAGAAACGTGCTCCAAGGACGCTGATAAATCGAGTTAGTCATGATTCGAAAACGTTATACGTGAAATGTAGACGTTCGATCACTTTTATTAAACCTTACGCTTTAAATTGATATGCCGTTTAAATTAAGTGCCGTTTTATAGTATTTTTGTGTCATGAAATCATGTTACACTGTACAGTATCGAGTATGGTCAATTTCTTCGATTTAAATTTCCCCGCGTAAACGGTTACGCGCGAGTGGTGGGGAGGCGCAGACCCCTGCATATACGGCGCCTCCGCCCTTGCAGCGTCAGTGTCCGCGGGGCTGCCTACGTGCAGGGGCAGTACCCGGGAAAATCTAGGGAAAGGTTATTGCCCTGTTTTATTCTTCTTCCCAACCCCCCACAACAATCAACGTGCTAAAATATCTAATTATACACCAAACTACTGTATCACAGAATACTATAATATATGGTTGGCGCAACATAATACGTAACTAGACGTTTAGTAAAATATTAGTAACTTACCCTAGACAAGAATGAAAGTCCACTCTTCCAATTGTTAGTATTGCGGTTGGCATGCGTTCAAAGAATGAAAATACGATAAAGTTAAAGTATGCGAATAAGCAGTTTTAGGTTAGTTTTCGGCCAACCCGTAGCGCTTAAAATTATTCTCAAATTTAAAGTTTTAATAAATGAAACTAATGAACAAGAGATTCGTGTTGAATCTCCAAGGACACTATAATAATTTTAACGAGAGACTTGCACGTAATCTCACGTTACAGATAACGCGTGGACATTATGGAATGCATGATCAAACTTTCCCCGTGAATCAAGCACTTGTATACACCAAACGAGACGTTGCAAAATGTCAAACAGAAATGTAATTTAATGTTGAATAAAATTCGTGAAATCATCGATAAATAAATTCACTGTTGTGACGCAAAACTGGGTCTATACCTAAGTCTATTCATAGGAGACTTGAACAGTTTTGGATGCTTTGCCAAAATTACAGTATCATCAAAAATATTGAAATTTTAGTTGGAATGAAATTTAACGAAACAGTAGATAAATTATTCAAACCAATTCCTTAACAAAATCTTTGAACAATGAATAATCGATACTCTCTCGGAAACAATTAGCTAATAATTATTCACATGCTTGTTAAGGAAAGAACTAAGTTTTCGCATTAAACGTTGTGCAATTTCACCGGAATTATCAGGTATAAAGAATGGTAATTTATGAGTTGTTAACTTTTCGTTAAAGATAAGAGATTACATTGTGGCTATTTTTACATCTTTATAAACCTCTTCGCTGAGATACTTAACGATTAACAGTGAATATTTCTGAATAAAATTGCAATCTTTTTTTTTCCAATAAATCACTAATCAGTATTATTGTAATAATATTAGTAATACATTAATTAAGCAAAATGGTTGCTATAAAAAATGTCATCCCACATAATTAAAAAATTTTTCCAGAAATATTATTATAATAGCAAAGTAGTGTCTTTAAACTTTGCAAGAACTTTATTAGAGTCGATTAAAGATTTCTAGAAAATCGACCTCGTCCGAGAATAATGGCTGCTCGCAAGGAGCATGCGAATCGAACACAGCCTGCGCACAGGTGCGTTCCTTTACCTGTGGATCGTAGCTGTGATTACGTAACGCGTTGCAGGCATCGGTAATTGGCACGCGTTATTCCATCTACGATTGTACAGCCTGTTTTTCGACGTCTGCGTGACGTTTTTTCAATTCTTTTTTTTTTTTTTTCTTCTTCTCATTCCCATCAGCAAAGCTGTTTATGCTATCGGCACGATATTGCAAGGACGTTTCGATAGCCTGCACTTTTCGCAGTAATTCCTTCGAGATGCACTCACCGTACCATCTTGCGGTTGCAATTTAATTTCAGGAAAATTCTTTGGGTTTTTTTCTTCCCTGAATCATCGAACCTTCGACGAAATTTCATAGTGAAATTTTTTCCCCTATTATTTCCGTGTACAATATCGATCATAGTGTCCGTTCGTCTAGTGAAAAAGCACTGATTTTGGAGTCCAAGTTTAACCGCAGCAAATATCATAAATCTAATTATTTAACAAAAACGTTAAAATAATTATGGTAATCTGATAAAAGCTTTAGAATATTCAATAATTTATTTGAAATTACAAAATACACTAGACGAACGGACACTATGATTGATATTGTACTGATTGATTTCCCTAGGAATTCCCTAGGAATTCTTTTATCAACTACTATGCACTTCCAAAGTGCCATTGTAATTTCTTGGTTTCTTTTTTTTTTATGCTAGCGCCACATTTGTCCCTAACTTAATAATTAACTAGTAATTTAACATTAACCCCATTTTTCGTCTCGTGACCTAAAAAAATGGTACTTTTGTGTACAAAACGCGTACGTATCATAAATCCAAGGTAAATGATTGTTGCCTAACAATTTACCTCCCCGCTAGTGCGCTGCGTGGATTTTATCTATGATGACGCGTATTGGGCAACGAATTGTTGCCTTTAGATATACTCGAAATTCTTAGTAGATTCTATTTATGCATTTATGGGCCTCGATCACAACCATTATACAACATGAGCCGGCAATATTTGAAGAGGTTCGAAGAAAAAAAAATTACTCCCCGATCGATATTATTAATCTACAATGATTTACTTTACAGTTTTCCGAATTTATTTCGTGGATTAGTAAGTTCAGACGATAAGCGTTATCTCTGACATCAAAACAATCTTACGTTTTGATGTTTATAACCGTCTATAATCAAAATTTCTTTTACATTTATGAAGATAAATAACCGAGTAGCTTTCAAAATACCTGTATTTCTAAATAACAATAAATAATTCGTTCGTTGATGGTGACGCAGCAGGTGCGTCGTGCAATATGACGCACCGGGTGCGTCATTGTATTCCTACACAAAATGCTAAAGACGCACCCGGTGCGTCAAGAAAAGATATTTATATTATTTAACTACGGTCAAAATTTAAAATATATATAATAATTTTACTCGAATTATCGCTTTTATATTGTAAAAGAAAAGAAGAATACCATAGCGGTGTTTCGTTCAGAAAAATCGTTTAGCATGAAGCCATTGCAATGGCGCATGGTAGCCAAAGGGTTAATATAATTGTTCGCCTCGTAAAAGGCGTGCATCACAATCGAAATAAGTATAATGCATGTAACAAAAGACTCGTGATTCATACTGGTTGCATCTGAACGTGCGACCTCTTTCAAAGGGTTAATAAGTAGCGAAGAGAAACCATCATCTTGTATCCAAGTTTCAACGTAACCTAACACGCCAGAAGCTTAAGCTTCCACGAATATTTTCCTCCGCTGTTAAATACAATATTGAAATATACGATCGATATGAAAAAGTATCTAGTCCAACGTGTACTTTGCTGCAGAAACTAATCATAGCTGAAAGGGATAACAACGAAGCAGTAAGAACGCAAGTCAATTGAAAGCTTCCGCTTCATTATGACAGAAAATATTTTTTGTTCAACGAACCTGCTGAACGTATAGATAATCAGAATGGTAAGATTCTATTAAAACGAAGAAATCGATTGCTATTTTAATTAGAAATTTGTAAAAAATACGTTCATAAGGAATAGAAAGAGAACGCTGCGCAGTAGCCCTTGGCGTCCTTGTTTAACCGCGCATGCGCACTGGGTTATTGATCGGCGCGCCTATGCGCGCGAAATTTTGAATTACAAATACCTCAGAATTCACAAGGGTTACGTTTTCTTTATAAAATATAACTCGTATTTAACATTGTTTAACATAATATTATACTAATATTACTAAATCTTTACTGTACTGCGCGAGAGACTGTACACATGATAAAATATGGATTTTCTCAGACGAGAAAATCAAGTCTCTCCTTCTGGTCGTCGCTTACCAGGTCATCCTCAAACTCGTCGTCATCCGTGTCCGAGTCCGAGCAACCTCTCAGCTTTCGAACTTTCTTTTTCACCTCTTTCTTCACCACCCTCGTTATCGCGTTTTCCGGCTGCGTGTAATCGTTTTATTAAAGAAAAAGTCGTTATGAAACGTTAACGACCTGGAGTCAAGCTACTTAAGTGGATATTCTAGCGGTTCAAGAAATCAGCGACACATTAGTTTTTAATCTGTTAACTGGGTAGACGAGTATGTATGTTCCAGTTCTAATATCAGGTCATTGTATACCATTGACTTAATAGAAGAGTAACAAATCTACCAAATCATTGATTTCGAGATATCTACTGGGAAAGGGTTATCTGGTCTAAAAGGAAAAATAAAGAATTTAAACAGAGATGTATTTTGTCGTATCATAACTAGATGGTCAAAAATGCAATATCATTTAATTTAATACTATGTTTCGTAACGTGCACGTAACATAAAGATGCAGTTTTAATTAAAGAAAAGAAAAAGGAAGGTTCTCAGATACTTAGAGATTGAAATCTCTGAAACGCCTCCACTTCCGGAACGGATGCACGTATCACGTGACTCTCCGTTCAATACCATTTAATTTTGTCTAATTCAATTTTTCTCTACCTTCTAATATTTTAGAGGTAGATTTAAAATAAAATAACAGGAATTCGAAATTTTGACAGAAAAAAATAAAGATGAAATAATTGGATCACTTGGAATTTATTTAGATAATACTTTTAAAGGGCTTCCAAAGCAATCACCGATAACAGAAATGTATCGCTTTTTTCTTTTTTTCCGACACAATCATATTGATAAGATGACACGCGGCATTATAGATTATGCTTTCTGCTACGAATTCCACTTAGGAAAACTAACGTAATTTTACTGTGATTCTATTTATTGTTTATGTTAATACTAGGCAAGACTACGTACGACTTTGTCTACACTTGCAGATAATGCAATTACGTTATCTAATCTCAAATGTAAAAATAAATAAAAGGTCAAAGTGATTTTCTACGACAAAATAGTCCGTTATCTAGCAATTACTATTTCTAATTTGGAATAATTGTTCCTACCTTCATATTAGATAAATGTAATTTATTGCCGAAAAATCGTTATTGAAATATTTATTTTATTTTATTTTATAACACTCGTTAATACTTTAACGATAATACGATGATGTGTAACTCTATTTTTATATTGAAACTGCCGCCATTGATCAGTATCGAAAGATTATCGATAATTCGATACATCGTTATTGCGAATAGGAATCAGCCTTATCGATATATCGAGAGCGGCACTTCGAGTCTATATTTAGTCAAATCGAATTTTACCGAACAACCACGTGTTTCTGTTACGAACAATATAACTTTAACAAAAATGGAAGAAAATAAGTGTTTTTACAAGATTCGCTAAAGATGGTCACGTTTTTTAATCAATTCGCAAAAAATGTTGAAAGAGGGGCAGAAAGGAGTGAATAAAAATACAAACGCGACTGTGTCAAGGTGAAGGCGCGTCATCAACCGCTTGGTGAAAGCAAATGGAACATCAATTTGCTCGTAACTGTACCTTGAATCACGTATCGAAAGCTAACCCCCAAATCTATTTAAAAAGCTTAAAATTTGAATACAAATTATTCGATATCTAAGTGTAATCGGTAATAAATGATTATAACCTCACTTCTTCGATCCTCTATCCCTTAAGAACGAAAGTGTTGGAGGTTAAGTTTTGGGCATAAAATTTCAACCGACCGCCGGAACTAGAGTCAAATGCAAAATGAACGCGTAACCCAACGTGCGAACCTACGAAAGTCGATGACATCAGCATCCGTTAAGATCTCTCCCTAGGTCATTTTTTTATTGCGTTGACGCAAACGTCTGAATTCATCTCATCCATGACGTTTAAAATTTTCATAGACTCGGAAAAAAAAAGAAAAGAAACATTCCTATTTGCATAATTATTCGATGTTCAAGAAACCTTTCTTTTACTAAAGACTTATAATGTTAAAATATTTAAATAACTATGTCACATTAAATTGTATATACATCATTCTGCTTCACGTCTTACAATCAGTTATATCGTGAAAGCAATGACTTTTCCAAGTGATAATACCACTGGCGAGCGAATACGGGGCACAGTTTACATCGAAGCGTCTACCTAACCACTCGAGACGCTCCGGGCCGATTTTCAAAAAAGGGCCGCCTTGAGCGATTTAGGGGAATAATAAATAACCAATCATCTTACCTTCTTGTAAAGTTTAATCCACGTCAAGTCGCCCTTATTGTCCGTGTATTGAAGTCCGAAAAACCAGACCTCGCGTAGTCCGATCGTCTTTACAACTTGATCGAATAATTGCTTCCCGGTGGTCGTCTGCTGAATCGCAAACTCCAGCTCGGCGTCCATTGTCGTCACCCTGACGTTCATCTTCATACGCAAAAAGAAATAAAAGATCAGAAACTATGTAACGAAATAAACGATGTCATAGACAAAAGTTATGCCGCATGTAACAGCGTTCACTGAATATTCATTTTAATAACGCTTTCCGAAAAAAGGACAATGCCAAGGGGCACAAACGCTTACCATTTTAGCCCCGGCAACCATGGCTGCAACGATACGCGAATTTGCCCCGAGGAATTCAAACGCGACTCGTTAAATTAGATACACTGATAAACGACTAACGATTACGCGTCGCGATACGAATAATCTCTGCAATGCACTGAAAATTTATGTACTGTTTCAGAATGAATCAACACACGATATCACAAGGTTTAAACCATTCGACTGTTGGCGTTTGCCGGCTCTGAACGGACAATGGGCTCTAAGGGGCAAGTGCAACCGGCAGCGTCTTTCCCCCCCTACTTTTTCTCTCTCGCAACCAGTGCATTGTTATCCTTCTCTTTTTAACTTATAGGGAGGATCCTTAAGCGGAAGCGAGAGGGACAGAGGTGGTCACGTGAGAAAGCCGGTGCGTATAGCCATGACCAATCAGCGTTTAGTTAAAATACCGGGTGTACCGAAGTATCTCTTCAGCGATATATAACCGTTCGAAACCATTGACCAGTGATGGAAAGGTAAAAAAAAAAACTACACGGAGAAAACTAAGCTTTCTATATCTAGAAAACTGTGTAAATTATTTTTGAAATTTTCCATAATAAAAGCATTCAAATATTTTGTACAACCTAACCTAACCTCACAATTTCAAATTTGCGGATTCGTGAAAGGGGGGTGAATTGCAAGGAATTTTTTTACTAATTATTTTAAATAATTCCGTTTTTTAACCTTTCATGGGTTAAAAATTGCAGAGTTTTCTGTATTTAAAACGTTTCTTACATCCTTCCTATAATCTACGGTACAATACCAACGACTTCCGTCGGAAACTGCCACTGACCCGACCCACAGATTTTTAAAGAGATTTTCTGACCGTAGCAGAAGAACAAGAATTTATATTATATTTTTAAAATTCCTCTATGACCGTGAAAAAGCGAAATTTTAAATGTATTCATCTTAACACATTACCGACAGGATACGAGAATTCTAGTTTTATTGAAATATACGTTTAAAATGCCCCGTCGGTAATGTGTTAATATTCAAGCTACGCGGCGGCCCAAATTATACGGTCACATGGCGTGCTACTTGAAAATTGAATTTCAAAGAAAGATAATATTTTCTCAGGTTTAAGGTCCATTCCGTGTATTTTTCAAACAGTCACAAAATAAGAATGAATCTATGAGAATTTTGTAACCAGCGTCAAAATCATAACCTATAGAATAAGGAACAGGGAGTGGGGGGAAGTCCCGGACACGGAACCGTTTGAACACTTCAAAATATAAAACTTCAATGAAATTATTAAAAAGTACTATCCCTTATCTACTGTTATTTATTTAAGTAGAAAGCTGCTTAATTTTATGTCTTGTCCCTATGAATAATAATAGCACTTACCGTCTTCGGCATTGTGGCAGCTTTTGTCTTCCCGAGTTAAACAACAAAAATATTAATCTGTAATAAAAAAAAATGAATTACAATTAACAAAGCTTATGTAAGTGACAGACTGTGAGATTGATATTTTGAACAGCAACAGGTTGCAACGTTTTTCATAAGTATCATTAGGTAACATGTGGAACAAAGATGGTATTAAATTTATTCATAGCGATATAATGAAATGATATATTTTTTTTTTATAAAAAAAAAACGGAAATGACGCGTGTACATTAGGGAATTGCATCCATGTTGGAAGAAGAGACAGGTTATAATGTAAATTCGCGTGACCGACATCCGCTGGCAGTAAGGAGTGCCTGCATAGTATGTGTGTCTAGCATTCCCCTTTTTATCTAGGACCAGCGGGTCCGTTGAACCGTTGGTATCTTTCAACTTTTGTCAATGACAATCAAGAGGAAAAATGGGAACTTTCGCGCGACGTATCCGTCCAACTTTTCGCGATGCACGGAGATGGAAAGCATCTATTAATAAAGTCACCGTTTCCGACTACTGCGTCCGAAGTCCAAAATACTCGTCAGAAAACCACTGTTTACGCAAATGTCTAACCGCATCTTTCGATAACTCGACGAAGTAAAAGCTTCGATTTTCGATTCGAGTTCCCCATAAAACGACGGGGCACGTTCGAACGCGATGTTTGCGTTACGAAAGAGAAATTTGAAAAAAATGTAAATACGGAAGGCGTAAAAGTTTCCACGCATAAGAAGGGAATGAACGAGAAGAATGTCGCCGTGAGAAAAAAAAAACTAGTGTTTTGAAATATCCTTCAAGGTTTCTCATTGACTCAAAAATACATACTAACTTAACGACAAATAAGTCGTGAATTTGATTTCATCAAATTTTCTACACCGAAGGAATATTTACCTAGTTCGATCGGGACATAGTTGGAAACTGATGTACATACTTGAATGCTGAGCTTAGCTCGAAATGCGTAGGATTAACAGAAATGTAAGCATGTATCCTATCTCCCGACTCCTCTTGTCTCATTTTACGTTAAAGGAAAGAGACAACTACCAAACGATTCACTGGACACCAAGTATTTCACGTTACAATTAAAGCACACCGTACGCGCGGTTGATTATTGTAACGTTGTTTTACTCTACCGAACAATTAATTGTTCGTTCAAATTGATAAAATCTGATGTTTCAAGTGGTCCGTTCCTCTATGTGAATATTCTTTCATACAATGTGAAAAAAAAACGATTAGGATGTAAGATGTCACCTTGACAGAATAAAATGATCAGACAAGTAGCAGGATGATTTATAACTTCAAAGAAATAATCATTATGTAGGTTAGCAAGCGAGAGGTTAGTTTATTCGAACGAAATGTTGGAAATAAATGTATATATAATGTAGTAGAAAAACGTCTAACAATATTGGAACAGGTGATATTTCGAGAATGGTTATTAAAACTGATTTGTTCAAACAATTATAACGCTTAATACATTATCACGATTATTAAACATTTCAGTGTCCTGAACTTACATTATTGTGTTTATAAGATATGAATCCTATAACACATGTGCCACACATTCACGGTAGGCCGGTGGCACCTGCACTTGCACTATACCCGCGGCAGAAAACGACAGGAAATTGTATGATCCACACCCAAAAATCCCGTCACGTTCAGACAATACTGACACCTCACTGATAATATGGCTGCCGCCTGCCCACCCGCTCGCTAACCTCTCTTTAAGTGGGGGGATAAATCATGAACTATATTTATATAGATGTAACAATTCTTAACATAACTATTATCTCATTGTAAAATCATTTCTCAATAATATTTGTATAGCTCAACACTTAAAGGACCACATCTTAGCATTGAAACTCGAGAAATCTCGTGAGCGGTCGTTTAAGTGTTAATATACAAGTTATGGTTTGGGTTTAATTTTAATCTTAATTATAGTGTGTAAAATGTATGGCTTGAACACCTTTTGTATACGAAAAAAAAAAGAAAAGAAGTATAAAACTGTCAGGCAAACCTTGAAAAAATAAAAATAATGTATTGCGCATATGGTGCCGAATGAGCTAGAAATGAGAATCAAAGATTCAAGAATTCGCGCGGTTGACCACCATGCTACCAACTTAAAGATGGCCGCTAATTTTCGGTGGACATAGGGGAACTAATGTTCCCAGAATACGCCACCCCCGTGGATGATAAGAAGAGGCGCGAAATGCACCCTTAACCACCCCCTGAGGAAAATTATCAAGATATAAAATGTAATATTTGTATATTGTTGCATATGAATTTTGGTCTCGTTAAGAATTAGGTTATAATCTAGCATCATGGCAAATTTTGCGTTTAAAATTTCTCACCTAAGCGTATTGGCTTTATTATTACGTTTGCTTCAAAAGAGATCATTTAACGAAATTTGCTAAGATGTAACTGATAAATACAAGTGTTCTCGATATTCCAGAAAAGGGTTACAGCAAATCATTTTCTGTTGGAAAGTTTGTCCGCTCTTCTTTATTAATCCAGAATTTTCCATTGCTAATAAAATTCTTCAACATCATTTCTGGAATGTCATACACGTCTTTTTGCATAATTTGTACTTTTACTTTGTCCATTTAACGTTTTATTGCGATTTACATCCTGGGTTTTATTATTCTTCAGATTGCAATCTTAGGATACTAACTGTTCATTATACCCAAAGAGCGTTTTGTGTATATTGCAAGTTAAACTATACTGCATTAAAAAGTTTCTGTTCTTGTTAACGATAATTGTGTCTATAAGAAATGTAAGTAACGAGGAAAACTATCATAATGTGTGGATCTTACTACAAGGATAAATTGCTATTTACTTATAAGTGAAATTTGCTGCATTTCATTTTCCCGTTTACTTTTTCATTCTTAATTTGTTACTTTTTCGATTCATTAAATATTACCGTACTTTAAACTATTCAAATTTCTTGTGTTTCTCTTAACCTATATTGAACAAAATTCTATTTATGATAAAATAAGCAGGTACAATGATAAAAAACAATTTGTTCACGTGCATTGCGCTTAGAGCGTGGTAGGAACTTTTGCGCAATGTCATTCTTCGTGTAAATTAATATTTTTTAAATTTAATTACTGGTAATTAGAAGAAATGGTAATTGAATTAAATTTCGTGTGTCAAAACGTTTTATATTTATGTTTCTATTCAAACCAGAATCAAAATTAGAAATAATGTTTTACTAATGATATGTAACTTTTCTAGAGAAATACTGTCACTTACTAAAGTGTGTTTTTCTTATCATTAATGCTGTATTAAAAAGCTTTAATTATAGGAAAATTATAAGAAACGTTATTTCTAGGACATACCACATGTCTTTCATAAATAGCATGTCCCATCCACATCTCTGATGCTTTCAGTTTGAGAGAAACAGAAAAATATGGTTAGTTATTGATACCTGTTTCCATCTAAAAATTATCATAAGCATTTATTACCTTGCTGTATAATCCCCTAAAAGTATGTATTATCGAGCATGAGAAGTGTTAAACTACATTTCAATCATCCCTTACAGTTTAGTTATACTTTTATAATATAACAAAATAAAATAATAAACCACACGGCATGCAATGCAAATAATTTTTTTTAATTTCGTGTAATCCTAGATGTGGATATAGATTTAGTAAATCATAATCTTAGATTCATTCTCCTTCACTGTATTTGATGATTCTATATGTTGCGCATGCTTTTGGAACATCAGTGTTAATTTGAAAAAATGTTTTACTAAAATTTAATATTTACAATCCAATGAATCTAATATTATAGAGAATTTGGAAGGTTGCACCTGAGTGCTGTTGCTGTTATAATAACACAATAATAAAATGACCAATTATTACTTTGTTTATAATGTATTTAACAAAATAATATCTGTGTACCTTTCAGATACAACCTTCCAAGCTACCTCCAATAAAGTACTATTGTTTACCATAATATACCCATTATACTAAAGAAAGTAGAAATAACTGTATGTGATATAAAAATGAATGTAGATTTTAAATAAAAATATGGTAATTGTTACACATTATTTATATAATATTATGCAAACAGGCAAACTGGAATAAAAAACGACGTTTGGCCTATGAGCCTGTTATAGCAGTGGAATATACTTCATTCTCAGACAAAGATATGTTTTGTTGGGGTAGTACTATACACGGGGAATTGGGTTTGGGTGGTATAGAAGATGAAAATATTTTAGTTCCCCGTGAGGTTGATTTTAAAAAAGCCACAGAAATTGAACAAAGTAAGTATTCAATTATAAGATGAATCATTCATATGTAAAACAGTTGCATTGTATAATAATCATTTTGTAGTTGCATGTGGTGAAAACTACACTGTAGTTATTACTCAAGACGGTGAAGTATATTCATGCGGGAACAATGATTATGGACAACTTGGGCATGAAAAAGGAAGAAAAAGATTACGTATGTATATCTTGCAAAATAATTCTTATACTGTATTCATCTAATTTAACGAACTGTATTTTATATTTAGAATTGATACCTGGATTAGATGCATTTGTATTTAAAAAAATAGCCTGTGGAGCACGTCACACTTTAGCGGTAAATGAATGGGGCCAACTGTTTAGTTGGGGATCTAACGCGGAAGGCCAACTTGGTAATTATTGATACCAATGTTTCTAAATACTTTTATAACCATTAGCTTTTATCATTGTATTTTGATATAATTGTAGGTTTAAATTCCAAGAATTTAATCGAACCTGTTCCACGTATGGTAAAAACATTAGGAACAAGTATAGTTGTACAAGTAGCCTGTGGTATGAGCCATGTACTTGCATTAACAAACGATGGAAAATTATACAGTTGGGGTTCAAATAGCGAGGGACAGCTCGGATTAGGTACCGACGTTAGAAACGAAATAAAGCCTAAACTTATCAGCTGTTTAGCTGGTGTTCCTATTTCTTTGATTGCCTGTGGAGGTTACCACAGCTTGGCTATATCAAAATCAGGTAATGTTACAAGTAATGTAATAAATGAAGAATTGTTTCCATTGTATTAACTCTTCTACAGGGGCTGTATTTGGCTGGGGAAAGAATACATTTGGCCAGTTAGGATTAAATGACACGCGAAGTAGAAATTTACCATGTCAATTACAAACTCTACAAAATGCAAGGGTATGTTATGCTGCTTGTGGCGAAGAGTTTTCTGTCTTCTTGACAGTGGTAAGTATTATCATTTCTTTTAGTGATAGTTTCCCTTATAATATTACATAAGAATTACATTAGGACGGTGGAGTATTCACGTGTGGTGCTGGTATGTATGGCCAGTTGGGACATGGAAGCAATACCAATGAAATCTTACCACGTCAAGTTATGGAACTTATGGGCAGCACAGTTACACAGGTGCATTATAATTAGAAAATTAAATTTACTATATCATACAGGGTGTTGAATAAATATTTTATTTGTAGATTTCATGTGGTAAAAGACATACCTTGGGACTGGTACCATCACGAGGTAGAGTTTATGCATGGGGTTTAGGTGGTGCAGGACAACTAGGTAATAGTGTTACACGAAGTGTACCAGTTCCTCAAGTGGTACATGGTCCATGGGTTGCGCCAAATGGTTCCTCAATGATGGATCTCGATGGCCTCAATTCCTACAAAATAAACTATGTTGTCAAGCATATTTTCACTGGCGGAGATCATTGTTTCGCCACAGTGGTTCCACGAGATGTAGGTATACTTCAACTATGTAATATCTACGTTTCATTCGCATTCCTCAGTTACACGTTTTATTCATAGACAAACATAGAACCGGACGATTGTAGAATATTACAGCCATCTTCTCAGATCCTTGTAATAACCGAAGAAGAACTGATGGCGTGTCAACGAGTTCCTCCAAACTCACCTGTTGATCATGAACTTATGACGTGAGTAGCAAAGTTAGTACCTAAGTTAGTACACGTTCCAGATGTGTCTAATGTAGCTGATTTTTATATTCCTTCCTTTATTAATAATAAGGTTCATCAAATTTTCTGCATTAATATCCTAACAGGTATTTAGAGACGGTATTTAAAAGCGAGTCCTGCGTGACCGGATCATTTTTACTTAATAAAGATGCCCATTACGGATGCACAAAGAAGCATCATGGAGTGGATCTCGATGACGCAAGTCGGCTATTCGGGATTATTAGAGAATTGGTTAACGAAACCATTCAGGAATTGGTATATAAAAAGAGATAAAGAAAATTTCAAATGTTTCCAAGTTCTATGTTACAGGCAATTGATTATTCGTTTTCAGATATTTACCTGCATAACAGAGAGCTTAATCCCTTCTTTTACCTCATCTAATTATTTCACGTTGAAGGCTGTCTGTCCAGAAGCTTTAAGAATTTACTTGATATTACCGTTGTACCATGGTTTTGCGAATCCTCTTAATTGCACCGTTTTGCATACACCGTTTTGCAAAGCTGTCCTGTCGTTGAAACCAGAGATCCTTGAAATTATAACGAGTTGGTGGTTAGGAGCATCTACGCATTATTTTGAAAGATTAGTTAGAATTCATAAATTTATTGTTTTACATTACGTGAAGTCTAAAATAAACAAGGTAACAATCATTGTCAAGAGGAAACTTAAGCAACGTATTTATATATTATGTTAAAAATGTTGTGATACTTTTTATAGGAAGTAATATGGGATGATACGTTACAAGTTGTTTTAGACTTATTACACTTATTAAATAAATTAAATAACGAAGGCGATGCCGGGAACAAAGTACCTTATTCCACGTTTCACGTGCCAGAATTAATAGAATATATAGACATTAGAGGTGATTACATCAAGTGGACTTTAGGACCTTCTTCTGTATGTCAATGATACATCTATGAATAATATAAAATATCTGAGCTGCAAATTTGTCAAAACGGTTAACTCTAATATATGAATAGTTCAGAAGTGGAGTTAAACACTTTGGCCTGTGAACGGCTCGTATGTCATTTTAAATTCATGTTAATTTTAATAATTCATTTCAGTATCGCAGAGTCTTCTGCCATTACCCCTTTCTCCTCGATGCCCAAGCCAAAACCATTTTACTTGAAACGGACCAAGCTATACAGGTTAGAAACAAGCTATTCTGTGTGCAACATATTTTTGTATTATTATAGACATTTATCTGTATCAGATGCAATCAGCGATGAACGAAGCTGCAACCAGGGCTGTTATGAATCAAATGTTCTTTGACCCATTCTCCGTCGATTCACGGCAACATAATCAATTTGTGATGTTAAATGTTTCAAGAGAAAATATAGTCGCTGATACATTGATGGAATTGTCTCATTACGACTCCAGTGACCTGAAGAAACCTCTTCGAGTAAGTATAATCACGTCCATTGGTGTAATTAGACAGCAGGGTGGAGCTGAAAAATATAATTGTCAATTAATTTAAGGTAAAATTTCATGGTGAGGAAGCTGAAGATGCAGGTGGAGTTAAAAAAGAATTTTTCATGCTTCTGTTGAAAGAAATCCTTGATCCCAAGTATGGAATGTTTAAACAATATGAGGAATCCAGAATTATCTGGTTCAGCGAAGACTCTTTGGAAGATGAAAACATGTACTTCTTAATTGGAATTCTCTGCGGACTTGTCATTTACAATTTTATCATCATTGACTTACCATTTCCATTAGCCCTGTATAAAAAATTGTTACACGAACCAGTTGGACTGAATGACATCAAAGAAATGTCGCCGTTACTTGCTAAGTAAGTTATATTAACCCATTAATTGCCAAATTTTTATTTAACATTTTATTTAATATAATCCTATTGCAAGTGATAAAAATATATATATGTATATTCAAATCCCCTTTTGGGAATCGTGGTAGCAAATGGGTTAAATAAGAGCATAAAATACAATTTATAATTACCAATTAATTCTACTAATATCGTTTTAGGAGTATGCAAAATATACTTGACTATGAAGATGAAGATTTTGAGGAAATATTTTGCTTACACTTTGAGGTGGTTAGAGAGGTATTCGGTGAAAAGAGAATATTTGAACTTATACCAGGCGGTAGCAAAGTTCCTGTTACATTAAATAATAAGTATGTGCATACATTTCATCATATGTTTATTATCGCATACGTTCTAACAGATTTCCTTTTTTTAGAAAACAGTTTGTTGATTTATACGTAGATTATATATTAAATAAATCCGTGGAACCACATTTTGACAAATTTCATAAAGGTTTCCACAAAGTCTGTGGTGGAAGGGTGTTGGAGTTATTTCACAGTCACGAACTTATGGCTGTGGTGGTAGGGAACGAGGATTACGATTGGGAGGAATTGGAAAAGAATGCTACTTATAAAGAAGGATACACAAAGAGTGATCCTACTATTATAATGTTCTGGCAGGTGTTCCGTGAACTTACATTGGAAGAAAAGAAAAAGTTTTTACTATTTTTGACGGGAAGCGATAGAATACCTATCCAGGGTATGCAAGCAATCAAGGTTAGTTGTATAAATTTTCTATTCTTCTATCATTTGTTGTATCTTACATTTTTTACATTTCAGATTACAATACAACCAATGCACGACGAGCGTCTATTACCCGTTGCTCATACATGTTTTAATTTACTTGATCTGCCACGCTATCAAACCCGAGAAAGATTGCGATACAAGTTACTGCAGGCTATTCAACAAACCCATGGTTTTTCATTAGTATAATTTTATCGTTTTAGCTTTCTAACACGTGCATGGTCGATTCTTTATTGATTGAAAATTTAGCAAGATTTAAATAAAATCCGGGCATTTTATAGAAGCTTTATTATATCCGATGTTAAACGAATTTATATTATCGTTATTCTATTTTTCTAATATTGTATTTGATTGATACTGTGCGACTGAGTGTTAACACGGTTGTAAATATGAGGTTTATACCACTGCTATACTGTGTGCTGATATGAAAAAATGAACAATTAATTGTATTATGCACGTTAATCTGATAAAGCTTTCCTTACAAAAGTGCTATTTTGAATACAGTTTTTAAAATTTCAATTTTATAGATTTGTTAATGATTTATTTAAAATAAAATAGTGTTTGCAATTATTACAGTACACTTGAATTCCGAAAACAAGACGAACTCAGGGAACATTGTTAGCAAATAAATTATAATCAAATGTAATATTCCTCGGTAGGTTAACAAATGTGATTAAATTGTTTTAATGTATAGTGTTTTAACAAGAAAATGATTACTTCATAAACGCGAGTGTAGAAAAAAAAAAAATGAACGATAATAGTTGCTAATTTGCATTTATTTAAATAACTTATTATATTTCTGATTCCCAACAGCAAGTTTATGAATAAATAAAAAATATAATTTATTGTATATCATTGAAAATATAATTTATTCTAGCAGTCGTACAAAATATATATTACACATTATTCATAAATAAACACGTATTTTGTACGATTATTCATAAAAGCGACATCGTGACATTATACTCTAATTTTATACCAAAATAAATTTTATTTAAACAAACAAAATTCACGCTTCACTATTTCAATTTATAAATATATTTTTATTTATACACATCAATATATTACATTATTAAAAAGTTCCCGTTAGTTGTTTAATAGACATATGGTCATTAAAACTTTTCATTTTTTTTATAAAATCTATCTCGATATTAACAATTTTAGTTTATCAAACTTCTTTCGCTTTTTATTCGACATTCGTTCATCGATTTTCGTTATTCGTTGGGTTCTTTTATACCAACCCATTTATCACCTTATTTTGTCAGAACTCATATTTCAATTAATTTTGATTTATATTAGGGTAACAGCTAGGGCCGTCTCTAATGGGTTCTGGGCACTTGTTCAAGCCCCACGTGAAAGACTTTCGCATTTCTATTTCACAATTTTATCAGAATAGATCTCTGCTTGTACCCAATTGTACCGAATTTTACCCCGGGCCCCGCGAACTCTAAAGACGGCCCTGACGATGGCACTGAAAAGCAATTATTTCATCAATCTCGATATATACAAGTCTCTACATGCCAATTTTGAACAAAGAACTGAAAGAGCAGAACACGTGACCCGTGTACAGTTCTAAGTCCCATTGAAAACCAACATTTGTCCTAACTATTGTTTAAATAAATTTTGAAATCCAACGACAGCAGACCTGAGCAAATTTTCACAAAGTATTTACGCAGCTCTCGTATTTGGGTTAATTTGATTAGCGCGTTATGGTTGTGCAGGTAATAATGAAACATCGAGCTCAGGAGACGGTTAGGAGCAAAGTAAACGATCGTCAAAATAGAATTTAGCTAATGTTGATAGGCAGGAGTGAAGTATTGAGTTCCTGGTGGAGCTCGGTAACCCGGGTACGTGTTGGTCAAAGCGTGTTGAGCGAAGAAACCGGTGTAGTCCTTGCGCACCCGACGAGGCCTGACCGCTGGACCTTTCGCCAATTCCATCCTGGCTCTGTTCTCGGCCTCTGTTTGGGCTTTCACCGATGGCGGCGGCCATTTTAGGTCTCCCCTCATGTTGCCGCTTACTGGAGCCTTTGTCGCGGCCGGTTGTGCTTGGTAAACTGGTGCTGGCGCCTGAACGAACGTTTCAATTCTTACTAGATTTCAATTAACATTGCTACGAACAGGTTATGGAATACTCTGATGGTAGAGAAACCTGTGAAATTGGAGGCTCCGGGCGAAGTGTGATGGTGGAGGGTGGCGCTTCGAACGCTGTAGGTGCTTGGATCGGTGTCTGTCGCGGCGAGTAACTATTCTGAGGCTGTTGCTGCAATCAACAACGGTATTTAATCAATTCAACGAATTTTATGATCCTAATGGAACAGAGATCCTTCAACTATAATTGCATTCCATAGGGGGAGCATATCCTTGGATATGTACAGCTGTTGACTACACGCTTGTTTCTCAGAAGATAAGGAGACATTTTATCACACACAGAACACTGGAGGGTACACCTTTCCTGTCAAGTGATCCAGCTGTCGAGGTTCTACATTGCGCATAGGTGTCAACTCCTCTTAATTATCTAAACTAAGAGAGCGTCTTGGAGGAGAGCTTCCCAACTTTATCTAAGATCCTCTGACACCAAGTGATCAGCTAAAGATGCTCATCAGGTGATACTGAGACTGCAAGTCGACACCTATGCATTGCCCACTTACCTGAGGACGTTGATTCTGCTGCTGTGGCGGCTGTCGTTGCTGCTGCTGCTGCTGCTGGTGGGGCCAATAGGCAGGCTGAGATACCGGGGACGTTGCCGGCGGTGTGACCGGTGCCCAGCCCTTAGGCACGGGTTGGTGTTGGAAGTGCGATGGTTGCCGAAGAGTTCCACCAGGGCTAACCGGCGACGGGGACGAGGGGGCACCGCTCTGGGCCGAGGTACGTGCGATCGACGGTGGCTGAGGCGAGGAACCTGACGAAGGACTGCTCTGGTACGAGGCGCGCTCACCGATTCCACGGGTCTTTCGGAAAACAGAGGCATTTTTCAAAGGCACTGCCGCCGCGACAACTGGCGAATTCTGTTTCCCCGACTTCGGTGGAGAGAATTGTCTCGGTACATCCGCCTCGACAGCCACAGTGGTGTAGTCAACCGCAATGAGATGTCGTGGGTATAACGTGATTTGGGAACATGTAGCCACAGCCAGAATACAGTGAGGCCGTTATTTAAACTTCAAAGATCATTCAAGAGTTTTCCCTCAGTCTAGGGACCCTATCACTATGTCCTGTTTTAGGGTCCCTATGACTTCTGAAGAAATTCATGATCTCACTATATTGTGGAGGCGACTATGCTACATCTTGACAGCGTGCTACAGCTACTTGCAACGTATACACGTAATAGTAAGGTCCAAAAGTTTATTGACAGCCTTTCAGGTCGTGTTAGGAATAAGGGAGGATCTTGAACCAAAGCAAAATAATGAATATTCCTACTTGGCTGTTTACAGATAACTGTACCAAGTACTTAAAAGTATAGTTAACTGAAGGAACTGAATAAAATACACCCTGGTACAATATAGAATTATTTTAAGTTCATCTTAGGCTTATGATAAAAAAACCATATTGGACCTTACTATGTAACAGCAGGCAAGTAACCAGGGGAAGATTTGTTAAAAAAAAAGGATGAAAAAACGTGACAGGGGTGGTTGATGCAGATGCACGAGCAGACAACGAAGAGGCAGGTACAAAATAATACAAAAATCACAGGTAACTCGTTCAAAAATGCAGAAAACTAGGGTCTTCATGGTGTCGCTATCGTTTCAAAGGTGTGCTAAGTTTGACTTTTCAATTGTGTCACCGTTATACACACACAGGTAACCAGTTCTAATCATTTCAATAGAAATTATGTGTGTGTACAAAAGAAAATTTCGGTGGAGGATTTACCTTCGCTTGGACAGGTCCTTGTTCTACAAAATCAAAGTCCTGGTCTTCCGGGGGTGGTGGCCAAGCTACGCGTTTAAGACCTGCAATAAATCATTCTTAATTAAATAAAAAAAAAAAAAATACAATAACTGGAGGATAAGAAGCATGCTAGAAACATGAATGTTTGTAAAACCTTGATAATTAATAAATTTGAATTTTTCTATGACATTAAGTGGCCCTAACTCGCTGGATACATGGGCTACGTCACTGAACCAACAAATTGTTTTCTATTTCTGTGTGTTCATGGTTGATATCCAATATCCGAGGTTCCAAAACGAAAGAATCTAAGAATATACCAGCAAGGTCGTACCGAAATCATGTGAATTCTTCAGCAATAATCGCGTAAATATAAACTTGGCCGCCAGCATCATGTTGTACAGCGGTGTGAATAATAATTCGTTTTATTGACGCAATAACTACACTTTTCCACGATTCTTTTTATCAAACACGAGGAACGTAACACGGTCCAACGATGCTGGCCAACTGCGTTCATTAATACATAGAAAAAGCATGAAATTTGTTATCCTTGGACATATTTGTATCAAGTTAATGGATAGTGATCTATACAGAATGTATCAAACTTGAGGTGATCAAGTGTTCAACTCTTGGAAGATGAATGCTGGGTCATTTTCACTCCTAACTGGGTCTGAGAACTTAATTTTGTTGAAAATTGAAAATATATTTTATGCTTTGATTGAAACTGATCTCTTAGAAATAAGAGTAGTTCACTTTTAAATGCCAATGGCACTCAACTCTCTTTCTAGAACTTAAGTACCATTATTTTTCTAAATAATGTCCTGAAGATCATGGTAACTATAATTTTTATAACACAATAATTATTCAAAAGAAGCACCCTGCACAAATTGTTCTGATGGATTAGTGCAACACAATGTCACGTACATAAATACTATTCTGAAGGAAAGCAGGAAAATTGCACCATTTGTATGAAATATGCTTCCTCTTATTACTTATACATACACTTTCTATACGTTTGCCAAGGAACAAATCGGTGCCTTATTCTGCCCAAAATTGTATCGTTGTTTCCATAAAACAAGTCACTCGGTTAACGAAGAAGAGGCACGACTTTGCCAAAACGGACACTGGCCAACAACTGATGCTACCTCGAAGTCACCTGTACCTTTCGTTATCGACCTGGCCACCGATTTTAGAGCTCTCCTGGTAACTGGCCAATAAGGAGGATCCTCGAGCAAAGAATGACACAGCATTATCTATTAATTTTGTTCACGTCATGTTTTCTAGTTACAATTTTCCCACTGGGTTACCCTACACCTCTATACAAATTGCAAGTAATTTTCTGTTCTGTTAAAGACGATGACCTGGTCAACAAATACGTCCAATGGCTATAACAAATGAATGTTCGAATTAGTCGTTAATTGTGGAAATTGAAGGGTGTAAAGCAAAATTAATTACCCCATAAAGCTTCATGCACAAGTAACATTGTTAGTGTTCACCTCTGCTGGCATGTGATGTTAGTCTCCCTTCCACTTGCAGTCATTTGCTTCTTGTTAGTTGCGTGACTCTGTGCTTCCAAAGCTGAAATCTTTCCATCAAATTCTTTTATACTTTACAGAGATAACTGAAGGGTGTAAATATATGCAGAGAAAATACAAGTACAGTCGCTTGCAACCTAGGCTTCTGTTAGTCAAGAGGAAGGCAAATAGTGGGAGGCTTCAAACTCTATCTTTTTCATTCTTCTTAGACTTCTTTCCAGGTCCTCCCAGAGTTCTCTCAAAACTGAAGCTTACGTTGCGACTAAACTGTACAATTGCAAGGGGTTTGAAGCGGTGTCTGTTGTTAAAAGCGTGTGTTAAATATTCCTGAAGCGAAAAGTCCAAATAATAGCAAGAAACGACACTTTTGAAGGCACAATCTGGTTCACTTACTGGGCTGACCAGCTCGTTGCCTCGCTTCTTCCTCCTCAAGCATTCGTAGAACCGCGCTGTTTTGTAAATTCGACGGCTTGGCCAGCTGATTGAAATCGATCCTGGAAAGATAAGTCACCGATTTTAGTTGAGGCACCGTGTTCGTTTGGTAGGTCTGGGTCAAGATTCACCCCTTCGACGATGAACGTATTAAAACAAACGTCTTCATGGATAAACCAATTGAAAATAAAATAATGAAGAAGAAGTTCAGGAGCAAGTATCACCTTGTTTGAGCGAGCATGTTGATAGAGAGGAGACAGGGTGTACGACGCGAGAGAGAACCGGTGGCGAACCATGCACCCTGAGGCCACCATGCACGAAACTAAGTCAAGTACGACAGTGTTCGCGGCTTTGCGCAACGGTTTGCCTGAGACCGAAGTTTATTTCTAACCCGTGTGATTCGGCCCTCTGAAAATAACAGTCGACTCGCCAATGACGATGGGATGGCTGATTCATCGACCCGCGACCGGACAAAACAATGGGATACAGATCTGTAGGAGGACACGTGGAGCTACAGCTGTAGCGTCCACTATGATTGACGCAAGGTGGTTCATGTCTCTCATATGCTTTTAACTACCTCATTAGCGACTTACTCTGGGACATCCTAGCATTTTGGAATAAATTTGGATTCCGTTGGAGAGCTTAGGAGCTTAAGAGGTGCCCAGGATTCAAGGAGAACCTAGGTTCTAGAAGAAGCCTAAGGAGAACTTAAGAAGTGCCTAGGGTCTAGAGAAAACCTAGGTCCTGGAAGCAGCCTAAGGAGAATTTAAGAAGTGCCCAGGATTCAGGGAGAGCCTAGGTCCTAGGAGAAGCCTAAGGAAAACTTAAGAAGTGCCCAAGGTCTAGAGAGAGCTTAGGTCCTGGAAGCAGCATAAGGAGAATTTAAGAAGTGCCGTGGATTTAGGGAGAGCCTAGGTCCTAGAAGAAGCCTAAGGAGAACTTAAGGAGTGCCCAGGGTTTAGAGAAAACCTAGGTCCTGGAAGCAGCCTAAGGAGAATTTAAGAAGTGCCCAGGATTCAGGGAGAGCCTAGGTCCTAGGTGAAGCCTAAGGAAGACTTAAGGAATGCCCAGGGTCCAAGGAGAGCCTAGGTCCTAGGAGAAGCTTGAGAAGAACTTAAGGAGTGCCCAGGAATCAGGGAGAGCCTAGGTCCTAGGAGCAATCTAAGGAAAACTTAAGGAGTGCCCAGGATCCAGAGAGAGCCAAGGTCCTAGGAGCAGTCTAAGGAGAACTTAAGGAGTACTCTGGGTCCAGGGACAGACTAGGTCCTAGGAGCAGTCTAAGAAGAACTTAAGGAGTGCCCAGTGTCCAGAGAGAGTCTAGGTCCTAGGAGCAGCCTAAGGAGAACTTAAGGAGTACTCTAGGTCGAGGGACAGCCTATGTCCTAGGAGCAGTCTGAGGAGAACTTAAGGAGTACTCTGGGTCCAGGGACAGCCTATGTCCTAGGAGCAGTCTAAGGAGAACTTAAGGAGTACTCTGGGTCCAGGGACAGCCTAGGTCCTAGGAGCAGTCTAAGGAGAACTTAAGAAGTGCCTCTGGACTAACAGCATTAATGAAACATTCACTTACCCAACTGCCCCATTAGCTAATACTTGGGTCTGTCTATCCAGCGTTTCCTGTATCGCTTGCGGTGAATACAAGTTGATAGGAGAGTTGAATTGTTTGTTCACAAACATTGCCCTCTGCGTGGACATACTCGCTTTTCTCTACGAACGATTTTCAATCACTGAAATATAATAGAGAATAATAAATGTAATTTGGCAATTAATTTGAACATCTACTGTGAAGATGTTTCTAAGGAATAAAAAATCAGTATCCTTCGAGGAATTGGGTCAGATTAATTAAAACAAATAAGAAGTTAGTATAATTACCGATTTGGCAAGTGAACACGGGTATGAATCTACGGTAAATTATTCGGCTAATCGAACATTAATTAAACGTCCACGACTAGCAACATCGAAAATTCAACAAATCTGCCTTGTGTTAGCAGTTCCGTTGTTTTCGAGACTCTGGCCAAAGATTAATTACGAGCTTAGAAAACGGGATTGGCACGCGAATATGTTGGTCGTAAGAACAGGATCGAACAGAAGGCGATCTCGTAACAGAAATCAACTATAAAGCCAACAACGATGATTCATCGTTAGCTTGAAATTTTCATCCGATGGATCGTGGGCATATAGAAGCATCGAAAGGCTGAAACAATTTCGTAGAGGCAAGTGGGTCACGAATTACCGCGATCCATCGCGAATCTGTTTGGATATTCGATATTCCATGCCGATGGCGATCGCTTTAACGGAAACAGGCTCCCTTGTTCCGGACTACGTGCCAACATGCAAGAGATTGGCTATTGAGAAACGAATACTGTCAAAACTGCGGGCTTTTAACTCCGCCACGTTATTGCTGGCTCCGTCTCAGCACTTCTCATCGTCAGACATACTTTGAGTTCACTGACATACAACCGCTGAATCATTGCAACTTTTCATCTTAAATAACCTGCTTACATATTCATATTAGGAATCTTGAGTGTTCGGGAAAGTAAGCATTGCTTTTTATAGAATCCTTGGAGTACACTTGGTAACACAACCTTTTCTTGGTTCAGAGGAGCTGGAAGCCTCCCACCTTTGATTTCTGGAGAAACTTAGGAAGGTTCTAGGGAGAACCTGAGGAGAGTTCAAGGATAGTCTAAGGAGGATCCAAGGAGGACCCAACAAGGACCCAAGGAGTATTTAAGGAGAGCCTAGACAGTATCCAAGAAGAACCCAAGGAGTATTTATGGAGAGGCTAGACTGTATCCAAGGAGAACTCAAGGAGAGCCTAGACAGTATCCAAAGAGATCCCAAGGAGTATTTAGGGAGAGCCTAGACACTATCCAAAGAGATCCCAAGGAGTATTTAGGGAGAGCCTAAACTGTATCCAAGGAGAACCCAAGGAGAACCCAAGGAGAGCCTAGACAGTATCCAAGGAGGACCCAAGGAGTATTTAGGGAGAGCCTAGACAGTATCCAAAGAGATCCCAAGGAGTATTTAGGGAGAGCCTAGACACTATCCAAAGAGATCCCAAAGAGTATTTAGGGAGAGCCTAGACTGTATCCAAGGAGAACCCAAGGAGAGCCTAGATAGTATCCAAGGAGGACCCAAGGAGTATTTAGGGAGAGCCTAGACAGTATCCAAAGAGATCCCAAGGAGTATTTAGGGAGAGCCTAGACAGTATCCAAGAAGAACCCAAGGAGAATCCAAGGCAAACTTAGGCATATCCTGAGGAGGACCAAAAACCCAAGGAGAGCCTAAGGAGGACCCAAAGGAGTATCTAAAGAGAGCCCAATGCCAACTTAGGGAAAGCCTAACCTAGAACCTCCCATCCTCATATCTAAAGAAACATACCCAAATAAGACATCTGACATACTTAATACAATAAAACAAAACAGTGTACCAAATACGTGACATTGATCAGAGCATACTTTTCTCTAAGACACTTTTTTCCTAATGTCAATAGCGAAGCAGTTTATTTAAGGCACAAAGTTATAGTGACTCACCCTGTATACGAGCTTTAGAAATAGAAACGTCTTGTTTACCGTGTACACAACCACTTGCGGGAGGCGTTGTAATGTCAGGCACGACGTGTACGAAAAGAAAGTCTAAAAAAAATAGATGAACAGAATGTTTTCTTTTCTAAAATATATTACACTTGGTTTATAAATAGAAATTTAATGAAACGATTAATCGATCGGTATCAAGTTACCAACCAGGCATCACCAAGAATTACAATTTACTATTTTCCAATTTTATGTTTCAAACATTACCACCAACGTTTAATGGTAGCAAAGGTGCTTTTAAATGAGTCAGTTACGTATATACATCCATTTGTGATAAGATTCTTTTGTATTCTTATCGCAGATGAATGGCGTAACGCGCGATAACTAAACCGTACAGTGAGTCACATAAGTATATGCAATTAATAACTACAAGTACATGATACTTTTCTGCACAAAAATAAAGGCAATGCAACATATTGCTTGTCTTGAAACGAAAATAAAAATAATTGCATCTTGTGTGTTGCATCAATTGGTAGGGTGTAAGTCGGTTACGCTGGCAGGAAACTCGGGCGAAACGGCGAAGAATTGAAAAAGGAAGGTAATACATCCTCGCATAAGCGAGATGGGGCAAAGCGCGCGTTTATCTTATGAAAGTTTCGGATTCTCTCTGACGCGTCCCTGGTGAGCAGCCACCGGTAGTCTACCGCAGTTATTTTTGCTGCGAAATTCCTCCGAATATATCTACATCGTCCGCAAAATCTCTACATCTCTCCCTCTTCCACCTCATGACCCGAGGCATCCGATGGTATATACTTCTGGGTCGTATTGGATTACAAGTGAATTCGCGGATTCGACAGACCGTCGAAGAAAAAACGTGACCAGACCATCCAGCAAACGATTACTCTTCTGATAAGCATAAGGAGCCTACATCTAACCTGCAAAATCAGAGCTATCTGTGATAATTTTTTGAGGAAAAACCATCAAGTAAATAGGAAATCTGTTATACATCATTTATTGTACATATCTTAAGGAATATCAAAATATTTTTTTTATTTTTCTTATGTAATAAAATGGCGGCACTGGAGCTGCCTCACAGTGGATGTTTCTGATAGGATGTGCAGGATAACTGCATCAGTAAGGCAGCCTCAGTACCGCCATTTTGTTACAGAAAAAAAATATAAAAATATTTTGATATTACTTAAGATATATTTAACAACAGACTTATAACAGATTTTCCATATTCCTGATAATTTTTTCAAAAATAATTATCAAAGATAAGTTTGGTTACTTAAGTCCAGATTGCTGTTTTCCGAGACAATTTCTACGCTCCGTACCCTTTACATAACTCATATCTATTCCAAGATTTCATTCGTTGGTATTCGGATGATGCTTATGTTGCAAGTTTGTCGGAAATACGACTCTGCTGTGCCAATCCGAAAAAATCCGTATATAAAATAACCTATATGCACAGAATTAAGTAAAGTAGACTTCTGACTTCTCTAAGGAAAATGGCGCTATTGGGATAGCAGGGATTCTCAAAATATTAATTTTGAGGATATTAATATTAAGAGTAATTTAATACATAAGTAAAAGATATGAATAATGATATAAATATCAAATCAAATTTTCCCGCGTAAACGTTTCTCGCAAGTGAAAGGACCACGAATTCTTATACTATATTATTTGCTACCGCGATCCCCAAATGGGGATTTGAATATATATATATATATTTTTATCACTTGCAATAGGATTACATTAAATATCAAAAATAAAAATAAAAATAAAAATTTGGGGCCACTTTAGCTGCATTGGCATTTTCCTTCCGGAAGTTAACCTGTTTCAAAAACCACCTGGACGTTTCCTCTTGTTTGCTATTGATACATAATCGTAACAGGTGCCAATAAAAACTTGTTGGCCACGATTTGCATATTATATGAATAACGTTTTCAAGTATCAAGCTGTATCAAGTACTTTCGTCACTTCGTGCTCGAAATAGGAGCACGTTAAAAAACATTGAAATCCGATACCGATCTTCCGTCCAGGGGAGAAAGAATGCGACTGATAATTCGGGAAATCCTGTTTTCATGGAGCTACAATAGGTGTCGCGTTCATTTCGCATCGATACAGAAAAAAAGTATCGTCGATTCTGGTTACGCTGAAACGTTAACGTCGATAATCGTTACCAACAATCGCTTTCACCCGAATTCGCGATTGTAGATACGTTTCGTAATCGCTCGTTACCGACGCGGCTTTTTTTTTCGCCGGAAGTGACACTCCGCGGGAAGCCGCGCATTCTCGAGGAAATACAAGCGGAACGCGGCGAAGGGGAAACGAATTTTCTTCGAATCGCCGAAGCATTTGGAAAAACAAACGAACCACACTTTTCGAATTCTCCCGCGCTTAAAGCAAATATTTGAATATTCATTGTGTCGTGCGATAACAAACGGTTCGATCGGATACCGGAAACGAAAATCGCGCGAAAAGAGGTTAAAATGTTCGGTTTTTTTTTATAATCTTTAAATTTTAATTATAAGCTAAAAATATATGTAACCATTTTCAAAATATAAAGCGATAATAACTGCAGGATTTGTAGAGAACCAAAATAAATTGATTAGATAAATAATTGTATACTAATTAGTAGTATGACGTCACATGGTAAGGTAAAAATGTTCTATCAACGTGAATCACTTCAAGATACTAAAGAAAGGTTATAAATTTATTTTCGCGCTGATGCTAATTTTTTAGCGATTTAAAAAATGGCGCGAATTTCAAATAATTTACGAAAGAGCAAATGGAAATGATTTAATAACAGAGAAAGAATAAATTCAAAATACCAACTAGATCATCTGAATCGTCTGAAAATACACATTACAGTTTCATCAAGCTATAAAGCTTGAAACGTTAATAAATCTAACATTTTATGGCGGGCAATTGACCTTTGGGCGAAAACGTATCTGTGAAGAAGGTATGAGTGTGAGGGTAATTGGTCGAGAGGAGGCTCGTGAAACGTTATCCGTATAAAATTGCACTGTTAAACAGTGCTCTGTCTTTGACGCCCGATAGAATTGGCCGATTACGAGGGCACAAAAGTGATTCATCATTGTCATAAACGAAAATATAAAGATACTGAAAACGACCTGTTACCGTTTCACACTGGTATCAGAGTGACGCTAATGTACCCTCGCGAAATATTACATCCGTAGGAAATTTATCTTCGTTCCACCCCTCGAGTCACTTGAGGGGCGATATTCGTTGGGATCACGATCACGGGCACCTACCTTCGCGTTCGAACGCAACGCACGCGGGTTTCTCGGGTGGCGAAACACACTGGACTCGTAAAAGCAAAAGCACCGGGAGAAGTAGCGAGAACCCACCCCCACCTCCGAATCGGAAGAGCCGTCGAATCGTTCCTCCTTCCTTCTCCCGCTTATTGTTGGTTATTTTCGAGGCCCGTTCCCCGCCAATCTCAACATCCGACAGCTCTCACCTAGCAAGCGTGGGAAACCGTTTTCCGTTTCCTGAAATTCTCCCCGAAGAGAACAATCAACCACCCTCCGATCACTTCGCCCCGCGCCATCGCGATGTCCCCTTCTTCGAAATTTTTTTGATTTATCTTTTGTTTATAGAGATCCAGCAATTGTTATCTCGTTGAGATTCAAACAGAATAGAAGGGCCTATTTTTAGACACCTATGTATACACCAGCCTGTTGATGTATTGAGGAAACATCAAACGTTGTGAAACTTTTTGAATGTTTAAATTTATACTTTGTATAGGGTTAAAAATAATTTCCTAGAAGATTGTAATAATTCTACGTGTCTGCAAATAGATTTCATATAAACCATCAGCTTTTTTACCAAGAGAGCTAATTGAATCACAGTGTTTATATTTCTTCATATGTTAAAATCAATTTACACAATAGTTACAACAGTTTCTTTTTTCATATGTTATACTTAATCTTATTACCTGTTACAATAATGATAAAAGAAGTATCGAACGTGTTACTTCTGAACGGTCGATATCCTGTTAAGGTTATTTTTGGGGTAAAGTGTGTTGTTCGAGATAATTTCATCAATTATTATTGCAAAAGCAAGAAAATTGTGGTTATCGTTCTTCCACGGTCCATTACAATCACCTGAAACAATTATTAACAATTAAATATAGAGTATGATAACGTTAAGTGATAAAAAAGTAGAATAGTATAAAAAGAAATTCGAATACGCCTGAACGAGCGCGTACAGTAGATCGTTTCCCGCCGTTGGGAAGAATGGAAAATCAATAATAGTTACCGGCTTTACCGACTTTCCGATGACGAACGCTACGGAAATGATACTTTCTCCTTGTCCAACCAGATAACCTTTCTCTTTCACGCGCGTTAGAAATCCTATCGAAGCTGCGTCCGCCATTTTTGTTGAACGACAGCGCCGTGTGTCCGCCATTGGCCAACCGTCGCCGCAGCCGCCGCCATTATAGATTCCGTTGTGTGTGACCGAGTCTTCTTCTCCGGAGCCTTCCAAAGGAAACTTGTTTCTCTACGACACCAACGGTGCAGTATCGCCTGAATAACCTGTCAAATAACCCGGTGAACGTTAAAATGAAAACGTACAGCAGAAAAAAGGGCGATAGCCCGAGCAACGTAATAATTCATGTGAACGAGCTGTGCCGACTGTGCTTGGCAAAGGAGGAGGAGATGGTGCCGATTTACGACGACGAAACTATCCCTTTATCTCTGCGAATAATGGCTTGCGTTAATCTCGAGGTAAGTTTCGTTGTTTCCACGAACTGGCCGGATACGTTTTACAGAGTCGTCAATTATCCTTGCTACGCACATTACGTTTGAAAGCTTATCGAAAAATAGGAATCTAGTTTATCTTTCTACGTGTAAGTCTCTCCTTCTCTCTTTCTCTCCCGGACTACCGATCGCTCCGTCTTTTTCTATCTTATGTATCCCCCCCCACTCGGAGATTTTCATTCCTATTCGGAAGCGTCACTCATACATCGCTGTGCGAGCGCAAGGAACGCGTCAACTGTAGCTCCCTTGCAACGCGCGATCACGCTGCGCAAAGCAACTACCGGCTTTACCGAGTTATCGACTTTGCGTTTCACGCCACCTTCTCCTCTCTTTCATTACAGGAATCTAGACGAGACGTATCGTTCCATTACATTATCGTTTACCCTATGAATTTATAGAGACCTGCAATTGTTAAGCCTTTTCCATTAATATTGACCACCTTACATTAACTCAATCTTCCATGCAGAGGCATAATTATGATGAATTCAGAAGTATAAGCTCACATCCTTCCCTGATGCTGTATTCTGAAATTTCAAATTGATAGCTCCTTTATTAATTGACTCCAAGGACATACGGTTCATTAAGTTTACATGTATGTACTTACAGCGAACCTATGATATTTCTTGTTGCCAGGTTTACGAAGAAGACGGTCTTCCAAACATGATTTGTCATCCCTGTAAGTATCAGTTGGAGAAATCCTATCAGTTTAAGAAGAAATGCGAAGCTGCGGATGCTAAACTCCGCAAACACATGAAACTGATACAACAGTTGACTGGTCAGAGCGAAGAAGGGGAGAAGCAAGATAGCAACAGGGAGGAACTAGCGGATTCATCCAACAGTGGGAAATCTAAACAGGTTAAACAACTGTTAGCTGATCTGGTATCCACCAAAGGAGACAGTGGACAAGCTGACGGTGACCCAATTGAAGTAACGGAAGAAGAGCTTGTTGGTGGTTACATTTTAGGAATGAACTCGGAGAACTTAGAAATGGAAGAAACTATGTCGGAGGACCCAGAAAATATCACCTTAGTCCCAGCAGAGGAGCGTGCTGCTAAAGCTCATTGTACCATCCGTACAACTCGTATTAAACAAGAACAAGAATCTGAGGACGAAGCTGAAGAAGTACAAAGAGCAATTGCAAATGCTGATCACAAGAATGTTTACGTGATGGAGCTAACGAGTAACAGTTCTGGTCAAGGAGAATCCTTGAAATTGCAACCCATAACTAATACCATAGGTAAATAATAGAGAATTTGTACAGTGACAAATATAGTCTACGTAAGATGTATAATGACCATTTTTGTTACAGTCGAGCCTAACCAGGAGTTGAAGGTATTTCAATGCGACAAATGTCCAAAAGCGTTCACTCGAAGAATAATGTTGAAGAGTCATCAGTCTGTTCATTCTACGCAAAGAGGTTTCACCTGTCAGGCTTGCGAGAAATGGTTCCCAACTAGGTCCGCATTGGTGAGACACGAACGTACTCATACAGGTATGTTCCAAGAATCAGATGAGAAGACAAGTTCTTGACCATTCACGATTATTCCCTTTCTAGGCGAGAAACCGTTCGGTTGTAACATTTGTCATCGTGCCTTTGCGCAAAAGGAGATTCTACTTCGTCATCTAATGACTCATTCTGGGCAAAAACCATTCCAATGTCAGCACTGCGAGAAGAGCTTCACTCAACGCGAAGCGTTGAAAGTCCATATGCGAAGACATCAGAAATTGGACCCGAATGACATTCAGTTGCATCATTGTCAACTTTGTCCAAAAGCATTTTGCCATGCTTCGGGGCTTAGCAGACATTTAGTTACACACACTGGGAGAACGTACAAATGCGTGGAGTGTGAGAAATCTTTCACGGATAAAAGTTCGTTGCTGAGGCATAGTCGTATTCACGCGCCTAAAAAACAAATCTTAACAAATTAGATTTAAGCGACGATTGAAAATCGCGATAACAGTATCACCCGACGTTAAATTAAAAATCACAGATTACATTTTTTGAACGAATTAGTTCTAAGTCATAGATTTTTTTTTTCTATTTTTTAGTGATATAGTTTACATAAATATGCAATATGTAAATGATAATCATAGTAAACTCTTGCTTCATTGCCGGTAGAGCAAATTCCCCATTACGCCCTTTCTATATTGTCAATTCCAAGAATTTTTCCTCCTGCATCCCCCCTACCGGCAATATAACGAGAGTTTACCGTACACACGAACAGTTTATTCAATAATTTGAAACATATCTAAAGTATTTTATGTTATATATCTTTGATTTCAATTTCCAGCACAAAACATCACAACATATTTGATACTATCATTCTACATTTTCATTCTGTTCAAATTGTATATAAAATTCAGCAAAATTATATTTGCATCCTGCAATTAGATTTGTTTATGCGTCTAGTTCGATGTGTAAATATATTATACGATGTTACATGATTCGGTAACCTTACGTTTTATTGAAATTAGAAAGTAGCGATAATGTTCTTCAAACATATATTTTTTTTTTTAATACAAAATTATTTTCTTATACGTACTTTCATGACATTTATATTATACATAATTTTAATGTACTTCTATGTATATATATTAAACACGTTATATATACTTTTGTATTTTTTTGATTATTCCCACTGAAATTTTTAATATAAGAAAAATACAATTTTATATGTAAATAATGATCGTACGTGTAATGTTGATATATAGTCTGAAAATTTGAAGAATAAAATATACTTTAATGAAAAATTTAACGATTCTTTTATTTATTACGTTTAAACGTATGGTATTACGAATATTATAAATACAGTGTGCACTAAACAATTTATATAATAGATAAAATTATTATAAAGGCAGCTAAAGATTACATAGGATTAATTTCTAAATAATATTACAGTTTATTGTAAAAAGGATGAAAGTTTCAGATAATTGTATTTCTTCTGCCAATATATATTTTATATACCAGGGACATAAATTTGTACAACAGTTTATCATTTCATTACTTATTATACTAAAAATTATGTCGCTGGGATTCATTCTGCTTTTTAGGCAGTGCATTGGAACATTAGGTAGCCTGATAATATTATTAAGGATTTATTACAATATAATAATACACGTAATGTATGTACACGGTACATCAGTTAATTAAAATTACTATGTCCACGGATAAAAAAAAAGAAGAAATTCCTGCTATACGTTTATATACCATTTACTATTTTCATTATACATCCATTCAACTAGCTAAATACAGAAGTAACTCCATACTTAATTTCTTTGATCAATTAAAATATATAAACAATAACACACGTAAAGGATTCTTTATACGTAAAATAAGTTATTATGAAAATGCGTATAAAAATGATTTATTAATATTTCGTTTACAACTAATTCGCAGTTTATTTGTGTAACAGAGCTCTATGAAACTTTGAAAAGTCTGTAAAGCGATTAATGTAATAGTACGCTTACTTATTTTCTAAATTATCAATTGCTATTACGAAGGAACTTCAAGGGTCATTTACTAACTATGTAATAAATATCTTGGAACAAAAAGAAGTAAAATAAATAACGATTTGGTATTTTTATTAAAAAATCCTTTTTATTATGACTTGCATACGGATGATCTTGTGCATCTTTTTTTTTTTTCTTTTACACACTGCCAATATCATTACATCAATCTAACAGAAGGAAATTACTAAATTTCATTGTACCATCTTTGTTGATGCAATTTTTGTTAAAACGTTATAGTGTCACAGGATCTTCACACTACAAATTGAAAAAATAACTTTCGAGCTCCGCCACACGATCTGTACTAGACCTCTATAAAATAAGGTCTCATATTTAGTTTTACATTATTATTTGCTATACATTGCAAGATCGACAATGTCTATTACAATTATCTATTCAAACAGAGCAAAGAGGGAAACGTGTTGTGTGTGTGTATGTGTGTGAGTCGTGTGTATATATATAAATATACGAGTTGATAGTACCGTAATTATTTAAATGGTAAACATATAATTAAAAAGACTGGTAATAAATTCGAATTAACAAACGTATTTAAATAAATGCGATACTATTAACCTCTGATCAATATATTATATTGCATTGTAGGCATAGAGAGATAGATAGAGAGAGAAAGGTTATAAACAATATGAAAACTAATCGTAAGTTCATTTCATCTAATTGGTCACTTCAATTGTTTCACTTTTCCCACTTTGCTAAAAAAAATTAATGTACAATAATTATTACCAGTTTACATTTGCACTCGAACGATTAATAATTCTAATAAAGAAAACGTACATGAGAGCACCATTTATTATCGTTATTGACTAAAATTGCTGGGAAAGGTAAACACAAGGTTATTAAAATATTACATTCACACTTTAAAAGCAGATCTGGGTGAAACTTTCATGTACGTTTACAATAAAGTACTAATACCGCTAAAAATTTGAGAGAACGTTTCATTTCATTTAGTCGTTACTTTTCATCTCAAATGTTTTTTACTTAGAGGCACCGCAATACGTTGCCAATTTTTATGTATTTATCAATTATGGAACATTTTTTTTCTCGTCCTTTGATAATTTGTTCTTCCTTTAATCATTTCTACTTCCAACACACATCACTTACAAGCCACAGTAATGAGTCATGCTACTGGCAAATAAAATATGGTACGTGATTAACAAACGCACGTATGGGGCCACAGACTCACAACCGACAGGCTGATATATATTTTTCTTTTTTATTCACCTTTCCCTTTGTCGAGTAGTTTCATTTACACCTAATGATCGATAAACTATTCCTCATTCATTTTCCAAATATTTCAAGGAAAAATGATGACCGTTTCTGTGTCTTCGTCTGCGTACTGGGACAACGAAATTTGTACTATAACCACATAATACCAAATATATCTGATGATGTGGAAAAATCTAGTGTCATTATTCCTGCTAGTATTCTAGGTTGGCAAAAGGAATCGCGATAGACTTGGCGAATGTAGCGCGGAAGTTGGAAAATCTCGGAAAACAATTTTACGAGATATTAAGATTATTCAGAGCGAGCTTTTTCATCGACGTTTTTCTAATAAGCAAAACGTCAAACCGATTTAAAGTTTACACTCTCATCAATCGAGGATTAAAGCTTTTGGTTGTTCCCAAGTAAATCCCTCTCGACCAAAGTGACCGTACGTACTGGTTTGTTGATAAATTGGATTACGAAGATTCAATTCCCTAGAAAAAGAAAAGAAAATTACCAAATTTTTATTTCTTAATCAGACATGAATTTAAAACATCCGGTGATACATACTTTACAATCTTTCCAGGTCGTAAGTCAAAATTTTTATTAACTATATTTAAAAGCTCATTTTGAGATAATTTTGATGTACCATAATCAAATACTGTGATTGAAAGAGGTTCCGCTACTCCAATCGCGTAAGAAACCTGGGGAATTCAAACATATTTAATTCTAGTAACAAATGTTTTATTAACCCATTAACTGCCAATTTTTTTTTTTTTTTTAATTTTTGACCAGATAAGTTATATATATGCATATTTTTGGCGCAAAGTGGTGTACATAAAATTCCAAAATCCCCAAATGGGGATCGTGGGAGCTAATGGGTTAAGAATAATCATTGACGTTATTATTTATACCTGTACGAGACAACGTCTGCATAGACCAGCTTTTACTAGAGATTTGGCAACCCATCTCGCAGCGTAAGCAGCAGATCTATCAACTTTTGTGAAATCTTTACCAGAAAATGCACCACCACCATGAGCACCCCACCCTCCATAAGTGTCAACTATGATTTTGCGACCTGTAAGACCTGCATCACTCTGCAAGTAAAAGGAGATACCTTGCTAGAAAACATTCATTGAAATGTAACATGAAAAATCTGTATAATTTACCTGTGGTCCACCTATAATAAATAACCCACATGGATTAACATGGAAAATTGTTCGGTCATCAAGGTACCTTGCTGGGATTACCTCTTTGATAACCTTCTCCATAACTGCCTTACGTAATTCTTCTAAACCAATTTTTTCACTGTGTTGCAACGATACCACCACTGTATGCACTCTTATAGGTACACAGGCACCATGATCCATCACGTACTCACAAGTAACCTGATTTAAAAATTTGAATGATATTAGAGATAACAAAGTACATTTAAAAAAAAGAATAATGCAATTACAATGTGATTATTCTCAGTGATTTTGTTCACATCATGGCAATCAAGAGTAGCAAATACTATAAGAGCATCATTGAATAATCTTGATATTTTAATATATTTATTTAAAGAGAAATATTTCTGTATTACGTACTTGCGTTTTTGAATCTGGTCTCGCCCACCATAGTTCACCGCTTCGCCTTAATTTCGCGATTTTCTGATTTAACTTGTGCGCCAACACAACAGTCAGCGGCATACATTCGTCGGTTTCATCTGTTGCATATCCAAACATCAGACCCTGATAGAAGAATTTGAGTTATTCCAGCTAAAATTTATGAGATTTATACTTGAAGCAGGAGACAGATTTAATCGGTGTCTTTAATTAATTTGCGTTTATGTGAGTTTAAAGTAAAAGGTATTAAGCGTTAATAAAGGGACAGTGCACACACAGCAATATCAAAAAATACTACAGTGGGATATTTTGTAATATGCAAAAATAAAAACGTGTTACACAGAGCAGAATTGTTAAGAAAGACGGAGTGAATATGTTAAGTAATTTGGGAATTTATCATTAACACACACTCCAATAATATCAGTTTAAAAAAAGAAAACCTTAAGAACAATCACACAAAAATTTTGTACACATAAAATTGAAATGCGATGAAAAAAGAATGAATTTTTCTATTAACGATACCTACAAACTTGATAACTCATTTATTGGTAATGAAAATAAAATGATGCCAATGATTTTAATAAATAATTACACTAATTCAAATATTCTGAAGACAGAATGAACCATACTGGGACAGCAGATGAAACAAAAATGGAAAAAAAGAAGAAGATTGAAAATCAAACGTAATACAGATTCTAAAGAAATATTTGTACCTCCACCATAATCAACTATAGGCGAGAAACTATTATATAAAACAGTCTATGCTCAGCACACAAATGCATGATGTAAATATGAAGAAACAATAGAAAAGAAATTAGTTACAAGATAATAACATAGTATCTACATTACTACAATAGGAATGCAAAAGCATTGCATTTAAAGATAACAGAGAAATCTGGAAACAGAAAGAATACAGCTAATAAAATGTTAATTAAAAAGCTATAAAGGAGTGTCTATATAATAGCATTAGATACAACAGAACAAAAAAAAATAAGAAGAAAAAGTTCGAGTGTACGATCAGAATGCTAAATGACCTGATCTCCTGCGCCCACTTCTTCGTCACTACGGTTTTCATGAACTCCTGCTGCAATATTTGGTGACTGGGCATCAAGCGCCAATAGAACACTGCAGAGCTTGTAGTCAAAACCTGTAGAAATTACACGAATAAGATAAAATTGTTCGTTCCCATGAATATGAACACTGGTTTCATGGAATCTGTGCTTCAATGTCTCATATCCCAGCTTACTGTGCTTTTCTCAGATAATTTTCAATGGAATTTCAATATTATGAAAGAGATATAAATAATCATTCCTACCTAATTCTTTAATATCATTTTTTTTTTTTTTTTTTGGTTATCACATTACGTAACATCAAAGCCTGATTAAAATTGTACTTTTTGAAACAAGTCATGGACACTTATTTAATGATCGGATTAAAAGTTACATGTTAAATATGTGTAACAACATGAATTTGTTTTTTTGTTTTTTAATTGTATAATATAGAGTAAGTATTTGGATAACGGTAGCACTCATTTACATACATAGATTCACACATTCACACATAACACGGAGAGGTACATGTTATAAAAACTCTATCAAAATATGGTATAAGAAGGAAGGGAAAGGGTGTAAGGAGAAAAAAATTAAAAAAAAAAAAATAATAAAAAAAATTTTTTTAAATAAAAAGAACGTTATTGAATTATGTGGCTGCTCTGCGGCACGGGCTGAGAATGGGTTATGTACCTGATCACCTGCACCCACGTCCTTCTCTTCCCTGTCCACATGAACACCATCAGCGATATTTGGAGATTGTTGTTCGATCGCCACCAAAAGGTTCAACGTACGCCAATCGAATCCTGCCACGATCATGATATGCTTACGTTACATATTCATATGTGTCCTTTTACTTATTCTTTTCCGAAAGATAATGAACAGGATATTGGTCACCCAATCTCGATCGAGTCATGGAATATTCTCCAACATTTTGTTAAAAAGTTTATGTAGCGTAAAGCACATCCTCTCATTACATGAATATACACGCTTACATTAAAAAAACAACAAAGTAGATAAATATAAGAAAGAGATGGTAAAAGTTTTGTACATAGTGCTGGAAGCTTTCGTGCCATGATTCGACCGTGTATTTGCAAAATCAAATTCAATAGAACCAAATGAGGCGAATTTGATGAGGGATTAAGATAATAAAGTTTTCATCCGGCCACAGGGCATGCGTACGCCATAGAAGGAGAAAATTTCATAATGTTAGCAAGGAAAATATTTCAACGTTTCAAATGTACAGATAAAATAAATTTAACAAAATTTCAAGGGTATGTCAAAGGGTTTGTCAAACATACATCACTGAAAATAAACAGCGCAAAGAACGAAGAAAAGGTTTGTTACCTTTCGAGGAATCATCGTATCCGATGTGTTTAACTGTATCCCGCACAATTTTTTGGTAGTCCACCACAGCCTTTGATGTAATTTCACCACATAAAAGTACCATTCCTGTTTTTGTCACAGTCTCTGGAAAATACATAAGTTAACGAAGTTAGAAAAATTTTGATACTATCCAATTTATAAATAGAGATTACAGCAGAAGTTAGCTTGAATCATTTGAAAATTAAGATTATCTTGATACTCACCACAAGCCACTTTTGCATCAGGATCTTGCTGCAAATGTGCATCTAAAATAGCATCACTTATTTGATCGCACATTTTATCTAGAAGCAAAATATGAACACATGATTATAAAATTATTGAAAACTCATTTTCAGAGTGCCATATAACAATAATAGGTTTAGGTTAGGGTTTGGGTTAGGTTTATGGGACTTGGGGATTGTCTGATATAAGTCCCATAAACCTAACCTTAACCTAAATCTATTATTATTATTATTATTTATTATTATATGGCACTCTAATATGCATGGGACCCATATCAGATAATACCCCAAATAATTAATTACATCTGTTTTTTAACTATTCATTAACACATGGTGCACTACTGGCGGATCAGTTTCCCTAAGAAGGCATCTATGCTTGCCGATGTACACACGCACGCAACCTCCAAAAATAATTGCATAATCAAATAGACAGCACATTGTTAATTTAAGGAGGTTTTAAAATATTCTATCACAATGGTTATTCGATACAACAGATTTATTTCTACACTAAGTTTAAGCTGCGTGAAATCATTTTAATATTTGAGGTTATATCGGTTGAAAAATCTTGGCTTAAAATGTATCGACCAGAGGAAGGATTTATTATGTCTATACAAGAAAAGCATAAATATAAAAATTGAACATGTGATTCATGGAAACAATGAAAAAATTGTTAATCGATAACGTGGATGGAAGGAAAGGTCGGGAATAAAGGGAAAAGTTGAATGATACTGGTGAGCTGCAAATTACAATGTAAGAGCACATGGCGACGCCGGAGGTATACTCGCTTCCTGCTGTCGAGCGATTAATCGAGAATAACGTGCGAGAATTATTTCTCGTACGTACGATATTCGTGATAAGACTGTGCGAGTAACGAACTCGCCGCAAATGTAATACAATCCCTGGGGTTACGAATCTTTTAAGGAAAGTAAGAGAAGAATACGCGAAAGGAAGGGTAGGAATCGCGGCGTGCGCACGCATTACATATGTGTGGCTCTCTGTTCATCGAGTTTCATGGCGGCACATGCGACTCACCGACACGTAAAGTCAAGACGATGTCGCGCGAGATAGGAACGAAATACGTGTTAGTGATGAAACGAACGGACGGTTTTTCGTGTATCTACCTGGATGTCCTTCGCCGACGGATTCTGACGTGAAGAGAAAACTTGTATCCTGTTGCAGCTCGGGCGGCGTGTGCCCGTTCGCGTATCCGTTCATGTGATGAGCAGTCTCCGGCATTTTCCTTCTTTTCGTGCTCGTCGTTGACCAGTTATCTCCTATTTTGTCCCCGGTCGAATAATCGGTCCACGTGTCGCGAGTCGTTTCACGGTTACGTCGTAGTGGAACAATGAAAACGAAGACGAAGAAAAATTCGGTCCGACCTCTACACCCTACTTTTAGCCTCGCACGAGAGCAAACCCTAACACAATCACAGCACAGAACGTAATAGTCGGCCGAGCGCGGAGCAAATGCACTATGATCCACTATGGAAAGTAAAAGAGACTGCCCGCTCCCTGGTGGCCGCTATTTATAACCTCGGTACCTTCGTTGCCTGCTTCGGCTAATCTCGTGTCACGTGACGCTCGATTACCCGGGAGACGAAGATCGGCGCGGAATTTGATTAGAATTCACGCGAATTCCACGTTGGTTTCCTCCTCGAAACTCGTCCACGTGTTCTCTCCACCTTTTAAATAAAATGTTCACCGTTATTTTTAGACGTACAACATTTCGTTCGAAGAATGAAATTGATTCAATGGTATCCATTACCGTTTATCGCTGATACGAGAAGCGGTTATGAGATAAAATTACAGTAGTGTTCCAAACAATATACTATTATACATCTTATTGTTAGTTTCGGAGAGATTTTAATATGCAATAATAACTAGTTTTGATAGTAAAATGAATTCGAAAAATTGTTACATAAAACACCAAATATGTTGTAATCGTGTAATATTTTTACCGATAACGAGTTTCTATCTGTACCAACCTCTTTAATTCAAATTATTTTCCTTGTCGGTTCTTCGGAAAATCGTCAGAACGTTTTCCAAGCACGGCTGTCTGTTGAACTTTGAACTTAGCGAACAGATAAACACACGTTTCATACGAAAGAAGAGAATCTACAGTGAATAGACGTTCACGTATCTCTCAGACTTTTATATGTATGTCGAACGATCTCCCTCCATGATTAAGGAAACAGTTGAGTGGGGTTGAAACGGTGCTCGTTTCAAGCGTAAAGGGAACTATGGGGTAAAATATTGGTCAGATAAGCAGTCTTTTCATGCAAATTCAATGAAACAACAGCTTTGTGCGACCAGTTTAACGGTGGGGATGCCGAGGAATATTTGTACTTGTGATGAAAAATAGCTGATCTGAAGCACTCGCAATGAACTCCGTTTATTAACAGGGACGATACGAGATAAAAGCGCGCGAGTTTAATATTATTTCAGTGCGCGGTCATTTTCGGTAAATTTTATTAAAATAGTAATGAAATAATTGTAAATCAATTTTGGTAAATTTAATTTTTTTACCAATTAAGTATTTTATATAATAAAATATTTAGGGTAAATAGTTGCTTATTTTATTAACCAGGCTCTTTAAAAATGGCGACGGTTTTGGAGAAATAAAATGGAGGAGAGGTTATAGGTGAAAAGATGAAAATATTCATTCAAATTCTTCTCGTCGTTGTATTTCAATACAAATTTATTTCTGTTGCAAAGCAAATCGGTTTCTGATACTATCATCTCACAGTAATGACGTAGATTTTGAAAATATGTAACATAGATTTCCATTTTGTGTAATACATCAAAACTTCACTAATATTTTAGGAATATTTTAGGAATAATATTTTCTTATTTAGGGAGAAATGTGTGTCATTGCTGTTGAAACATGCGTTTTCCATTGAAAGACTTAAGTATGTCATTTCGATGATATTATATATTTACGTTTTCTGATAATATCATATGGTAACAATGACGTAGATGCTGTTCAACATGATGCAACTTTCCTTGGACGTTTCTCTCTTTTTTTTTTGGCAGAGAAATTATCAGTTTCTACAAAATAGGAGACGAAGAAAGAAGAAAAGAACACGATCTTGTGTAATCTTTGCAGGGTGTGCGAACGCGTAACTATAGAACAGTCTGATACAATGTCACTGACACAGCAGAACATGAGATACATGTGATCTGTGAGTAAGCTCTAGTTTTGCAATTGAATGATTTTCATGTTTTCTTTTTTTTTTGCAACTTATAAACTTCTACTGTTACCATTTCTATATACGTTTTTACATTTTCTAGTATCGTTTTACATTATTTACAACATTTCTGAATTTTGGTTTAAGTTCTGGTTAACAAATGTTTTAAGGTTATGTCCTACATTACGAAATTCTTCTGTAATTATAAATCAGTATAATTTAGCAAATCCTGCTTGTATTTATACAAAATGGAAAAATTTGCAATAAAAATTGCTTTTGATACAATTATTTTTATCATTTTGTGCATAAGTAGATAATATTATTATGTTTTTTACCTTGTATGGCACATATCAACAGATAAAGTATAGCACCATTCATAACGTGATTTTTCACACAATCTGTTTTTTTTTTACAATTCCACAACTGTGGAATTTTTTACAATTCCACAGCTATTAGTCTCCTAGGAGACTAACTTCCTTGGAAACATGCATATTTTTTATTTATGTACATTGTCAGATAATATATAACGTCATGCGTATTAGTTTGAAAGATAAATATTCTATCTTTAGAAAATTTAACTATGATACCTACATTTTATCAAGAAAGCATATCAATCTTCGGGCATACGTTACGGAATTTCGAAATCAAGAGATTAATGTTGCATCAGTATTATGAAAAAGTGAAATATTTGTTATGATATTATTTTCATTTTAAAATTGGGCTCTTTGATAAATACCGGAGTAATCATTGGTGTGACTAGGGATCAGGGGCCCCCTGCCCCTGTATGTAGACCGACCTCCATGTCATTTTAACCTTCTAAAAATCTAAAATCCCAAATTCTAGTATTTTTAAATCTTCTAACCCCACTCCCCAATAAAAATCGTAATTACCAGCATTTACCATTTTATGGTTAGACATCCTATACAACATTTATATTGTTACATAATTATTGTACAATTGCCTATATAATAAAACTTGATAATTCTCTCATAAAATTTCTTATCTCCGTAGCGTTCGCTTGCGTACTTTGTTTAGGTATTGAAATAAAATGACGAGGGTATGATTTTTTATTTGTTATTTTTCAAATGAAATGTAAGTCGTGCAGGTCGATGACACTCATTTATGATCACTCGTGACTGCTACTGTTCTATAAAAATCACACCACTGATTTTTGTTTTTATATTCTGCATCGATGCCGATATTAATGCATTAATCAGTAGTAGTAATTGTTCACATTCTTTAGTAGAGTACATTGTTACTGATAAGTTTTTTCTGTTACATCCATTTATAGGTTAGAGTTACAATTAACCCATTAGCTGCCATGATCCCCATTTGGGGATTTTTGAATTTTATGTACACCACTCGGCGCCAAAAATATTATATATAACTTATCCGGCCAAAAATTTCAAAATTTGGCAGTTAATGGGTTAACAACGAAACTTGCATCAGCGTTTACAGAAATAAGAAAAAGTTGCATTATAAATTATCTAGTCATAGTATCGGGAAGAATGAGTTGACACAAATGAAGAAATAGGAGTTACAAGATTGTTGTATATCTCGGTCCAGTCATGCGATTATCAGCCATTAACTGGACCACGTGTCGAAAACAAATCTCAAGGTTAAATTATATTCTCCATAACCATGTTACATTAAGTCATCATGCATTCTATGAAATTTTCTTGTTAGGCTCCTGAAAATGGGAACCCAATACTATACTTTGTAAGTGATTCCAACGAGACCTTATCGCCTTATCACCGCTCATTCTTTTAATATAATAGTATCGGTCGTTTATTCGGTTGATTGTACGGTTCAACGAATATGAATTGAACATGTGCTTTTCTGATGCAATATCTTTCCCGTAAATGATAGTTATTTGCTGAAAAATCGATGCGGGGAGAAAAATTATTCAAAGCAACGATATGAAAGATATTCGAAAAAGTTGCTGAGTTGAACATGTTTATATTGTAAATATACTTGGTTTTGTCATTGAAATAAATTGATCCGTTACTTCAGTCTTTTATTTATTTTCCAGTTAAGCAAATACCCTATCAGTGAAACGTTTTTGTTTTCACCTTCCACCTAAATGTATGTAAAAGATAAGTACGTACTATCTTTTAATTTTACAATGAAAAAACTGTGTCAAAATGCAATAATTTATTTGAAATACATTCACCATATATACAAATTATTTACATAGTGATAAGCATTTGCTTACATATCTGGAATATCTTTTACACTTAAGGTACGAATAAAAATGAAGTTTGTTTATCTTTATTGTCGTTTTATAGATTTTACAGTTTCGTGTTCATTGTTTCCACTATCGTTCGCGATCGGTAGACAAGTTTGAATTTCCCGCGCAAAGTTTGAATAGTGGCTCGAATCAGGCAAGGGTTCGCTGACCCTTGACACTGACTCGCGTAAGTACACGACACGAGCGTAGAAACAACAGAATGGAGAATGACAGAGAAAGGGAAGAGTGGGTTGCCTTAACCTTGACCCTGACAACCTTTTACTCCCCTTACTCCTCCTTGTGTCACAAAAAGATATACGCGCTTACTGTCTCTTTCACATCTTCGCTAAACTGGCTCGAATTTCGTTTCTTTCTGAGCCGTTTTCTCACTACTATGTACAGGCCGCTTCAAAAAAGTCGTACATCAGCAAAATGACAGTTTTTTTTATGATTGAAAGGTTCTATACCATTTAAAATGTGTATAGACGATTCAAATTTGAATTGGGGGTACTCTGAGTAAATTGTTACGCTTCATCCTTTTAGGAATAATAGAAGTTCAAGAGTTTTTATTTTCTATTCTATCATAGTTTTTACGGTGTTGAACAATAGCAATCAGTATTTTAAAATACTTTCTGCGAAGATTATTTGTTGCTGCGTCACGTAGCGATGGCAAGGTTACCAACTTCGCCAATGTGACGCCATGGTCTAATTACGTAGTGAGGGGTCAGCATGGGCGTGGCCCCTTCAAAATCTTATCTTAATAAATATTTGCGTCGCAACGCAAAATGATGATATATCTATATATACTTATCGATTTTTCTTATCACGAAGTGTACATCTGTTTTGAGACGACCTGTATACATATATAAACTCCTCTCTTTTATACGGAAAAAGCCAAGCACACGATCGATGTTGAACGAGGAGGTAGCTACTCGAAATAGACGAGAGCCTCCTAAATATTAAAGGAGCTTTCGCTTCGGTTGAGTTACCCTTCATTTTCGCAATCAAGGGACAAAGGGTCGCCTTTTCTCTTATTAAATATTTCTCACTTGCCTCCTTACTGACCTCTTGTTTCATTATTCTTGCTTGTTGTAAACATTCGACAGCTTATCGTACTGGATTTCCTATCCACTGGTTTTCTTTTTCGTTTATTTAATACTCGTTCCAATTACACGATTTGATTTCGTAAACTCCTTGATTGATTGAAAGTGGAATTTTCGTAATTGATTACTGTGGTTAAATAACAGTAGCACTTTATAAATTAAATGATATAATTGATACTTCATAATTCATGATATATAATATCTGACAATTTCTAATTGCATCACCTAATCTAATTTAATTTGTATATAAAGCTGAGATTATCATGGCAGTGATAGAAAATAGAAATGTAGGTAAAGATAAAATGTAAGTAGGTGACCACAATTTTGACTCCTTGTAACTTTATTTTTTTAGATGTTAGTAGCAAGATCGAAAAATTATTAAAATAATTGTTAACAAACTTGTATTTTAAAAAGACCGCTATAAATTATTTTCGAAATTCAATCCTGGCGCCATCTATACAAAAACGGCTGAAACTATTCGACAACTTACCGATCGATTTTTCGGTAGGCGCCACTAGCGTTGCCTATCTGAAAGTTAGGGAAACTAAAATATAATACCAGACGGGTGTTGCTAAAAAAAGTACATTGTTCGATTTTTTCGCTGATATTTATTGTATGAACGATTCTATTACGATTAACATTACAGTTTCGAAACTTCTACCAATGGCTGTGATTGGTTGTTTCATTCGGCATCCTTTCATTTCGACCAATCAGACACGTCGCTTGTGACGCAGTAGAGTATTCCTCTTCGAAGCTTCGTTCGTCTTGCACGTGTCTGCAACAGGTAAGATTAAATTATCTTCAAATATTAAATTAAATTGTCTTTCGGGTGTTGAAAATACAAAAAACAGAAAGAATAGCTGTAGAGAAGTCTACATTCCTGATTATAGACATTAATTCGAGGTTATCTTTAAAAATACGTGAATTGACATTTGTTGCTTTTGCTGTGAATTCACAATGGAATTAAAACAGCAGAATCTGAATTATTTTCCCTTTATATCAGTAATTTCTTCAACATTATTCAATGTTTTTCGTATTGTTTCACACAATTTGCTGTTTTTAATTTAATAAAGTTTTTTCTTGAGCATCGTAATATTATTTCTGTTTAGACCTGTTCGTGTAATTCGTTAGGTATCGGCCGATAGCAGAATACACCGAACATTGCCGAGCGTTGCCGAAGTGCCGACCGGTCTACGATGGGAAGGAAGGTCTCGCCATTGCTCTCTCGAGCGTCGAACTGATAAGACGTGTTTCGAGCATCCTTCCGCATAAGTAATGGGTACACATTGTATACATTAAAATATTTTGTATCAATTATAGTTCGATCGTTTATTAATAATAACTTTATTATTCTTTTTTATTACAGATATCTGATAGATTTTGAAAGGACACCATGACACCTGATATGGGTTTGACATAGAATTTCATAAGAATTTATTGTTTTAATTTATTCTAATCAATTATTAACGTTTATTATTACTTATTTTTTCATTGAGTCGTTGTTAATTGTAAGCATTTTTGATAATTAATTGGTACCAAGGTACCAAGAAAGAAAAGAATAGAGATATTTTTTTTCTTTAATCAATTCATAGAAAAAGAATAATTAATTTTTCATTTTATTAAATAGTTTCGTCTAGTATTTTAATACATTTGTTTTAAATTAGAACAAAATTGAAATAATTCGTATTTTACTGCAAATGATTGCTTCTCTTCTGCAATTATAAATTATTTTAAACAATCTATTTTTGTTAAATCGTAGTAATTATATTACAATATCCATCTTTCAATGCAAGTTTAAATTAAAATAGAATCACGTTTTTAAATCACATGCTGTTTAATCATGACTAATTATTGGACTTTGTTTATCGAAAAGAATTTATACAATTTATAAATCACGACGTAATAGAATGTTCAACAATTTTTAATGTGCTTACAATTTTAACAACAGAAATCCACTACTTTAATAAAATAGTCTATTATATTTATTTAACTATGATTTTCTATCCATATAATATTCATTGAAATAATTATCAACAATTATTTAAAACATTTCATTATTACAATATAATCTAGGATCAATTATTCAACTTGAATAATATTCGTTGAAAATATTTCACGAACACTGATATTTTCATTTACACGTAATAACGAATGCTCAATAAGAAGAATGTTTGTTTTGTTTTGTATATTTCCACCCATCCCCAACCTCCTCCCTAATCTTTTCTTCCAGGAATTGTTGTGGCCGCGCGCAAGGCGGTCGGTAGAGTCAGTGTTTGTACGAACACGTTTCCAATGTTTTGATTTTTTCAAGGGTGAACTGGCCCTGAATAGAGTTGCGTTTGTACAACTAGGGGCTGAACTTCGTCTTGGGGGACCAAAAATTTCTGGATGAAAAGTATCAAATCTTATACTTTTTGACCTGAAACATTCGAAAATGCAAGTTAAAAGTCCAGGAAACCAATAGTTTAAAAGATATGAGTACATGAAAATGTGTGTACTTGGCGTACTTTGACAGGTCAGTACGACGCCATTTGGTCCAATGAGTGGAGTCGCCGTCGGTAAAACAGAATTATATAAGTGGTGGCCTAAACCCGGTATACCTAAGGTTAAGTTTTTTTTTTTATAAACAATATCCCCTCGGATTTGATAGGAACTGAAGGTACTCACACCCAACAAATAGAGTCCAAACAAAGGATTGGATGCGGGGAAGAGTCAATGTGACATCGTACTGTCCTGTCAAAGTACGCCAAGTACACACATTTTTATATACTCGTATCTTTTAAACTATTGGTTTCCTGGACTTTTAACTTGCATTTTCGGACTTTTCAGGTCAAAAACTACAAGAACACATATTTTGGACTCGTTAATTTTTGGTCCCCTAAGACGAAGTTTAACCCAACTAGGAATCACGCGAAAGTAGAGTCAGTGTTTGCTGCGTATTATAAAATATTTTCTAGAGCATCGCGGCTCTGATTTTTCTTTTTCCATCGTGAAAGTAGAATCTCTACAATTGTTCGCCGGAAATTATTCACGGTCGCGTTACTAGTATTATATACATATAGCATAGTACATGCGTCATTTAGGTATTTGCGAAAGGTAACGTAGTATAGCATGCCGTTAGTTGGATGCAATAATTCAGGTGGTGCTTAAATCAGTTTCTGTTTTACCGATGCGGAATTCGGAGTTAATCATTTTTCGACGCCATATTGTCTTAGATGTATAACCTGATTGATCCTCGTATAACCTAGAACTAAACTTCCGCTACCTTAATGAAAAACATATTGTCGCCGAATCGCCTCCATCATAGATCTCATCAGATCTATTTTATTATGACGGCAAAACCGTCGCCACAGAAATTCTCATAAACGATGAGCAAATTCGTCGTCCTGTAAACGATTCCTCTCCCTCAACCAATGCTTTGCCCGGCGCCAATTCGATTCTATTTGTTGTGTATGGGTCCCATCAGTAGCTGTATTTAAATTATTCATAAAATTGAATTCTCTCTCTCTCTTTAAAAAAATATACACCTAACTAACTCAAAGAGTATCAAATTTATTTACTACGGCTCGATTAGACCCGCCAAAGTAGTCGGCACCCACGTGAAGCTGCCTGCAGCTAGCGACACCGTTCATTGGACAAGAAGCCAATATGGCGTCACAGTAACGTAGCAAATGCGCTAAAAATATCAAATTTTATATACTTATAACTTTTGAACCATTTGATTCCTAAAGTTGAGACTTGCATTTTGGGATTCTCCGCATCAAAAACTATAGATTCCAAAAAAAAAAAAGTCCAAAATTTTTGGTCCGGTAAAGTAAAGTTCATTCATTTTTCATAATGATATTTTATCACAGCTCTTTTTGATAAATAAATTATATTGAAAAACTCTTATAAGATGATGGCACTTGCATACATCAACTCAATACCTTCGATAATCAATGATTAATTACCGATACCGTTTGATTGGTTGATTCAAATAGTATCAAAAATTGTAAATGGAATCTAAGAATATCCCGTCGTAAGCTCCATCATGGAGTTATTTAGTTGCTTGCTACGTCCCCTTCCTATTGATGTATATTTTTAGATATATTGCATAGAAAAACTTCATTACAAACAGACAGTTATTGCATTTTAATATATTATTGGTAACAGTTTAGAATAAAAATGAATAAAGGTTGTTGGAAATTCGATGAAGAAGATAAAGGTGAGCATTAAAATATTGTAGGTTATCAAACAGTAAATGTCAGAGAAATATTGTAAAAAGTAAAGAAGTATGAATTGTTATACAATCTTAGGCTATAAACATTATTTCAGAATATTTACAAAAGCGATTACTGTATAGTTACCTCTCCTATATTTTTAATTTACTCGTTTGCTTCTGCTTTATGGAGAAGAATTTTGTTTGTATTTAATATATCAATCATAATCAGATTTTTGTTCATTTTATAGCATTGTATATAGACATGGAGGATGAAGATACAGAAGAGGATAAACTGACTAAAGTGTACAGCCATTGGGATCAATTGCCCGATATACTTCTAGAGGAAATTTTTTCTTATCTAACTATGCGCGAACGTTACTATGCATCTCTGGTGTGCAGGTCATGGTATCGTGCCTTTCACCTGCAAAATGTGTGGGCTACGTTCACGTTAGAGGATTGCACTCTCACCAGGGGAAAATTTAACTATTATAGCGGATGGCAATACGTTCTGGATCACTTAAGAACGTCTACGTGTTTAAACAAAGTTGGAAAGAATTTTAGATGCTTGATTTTCGAGCCCATGTTAAATTTTTATAATCTCTACGAATTTATGAATATGATATCTTGGTACACGGAAAGGCAAGGATCGGATAACACCTCGGTAGCAGGAGTCGGTACTTACATTCGACGGCTTAAATTCACGTTTCCATGTAACATGGCAAACAGGGACGATCCTGACCGTATTAGACTTTTCGGTACCGGGGGAAAATTGTTAGAGGCGTTGAAAAGGCTGATGCGAAATTTGCGTAATTTAAGATGTTTAGAATTAATAGATCTCATGTTAGACAGTAAAGAAGCTCTACATTTAATGGATGATATTTGTTCAAATTGTACTCAAACTCTATCAAAATTAGTATTAATTAATACTACAAGATATTATTGTCCCCTGTTGCACGTAGGAGTATTTATTAATTTAAACGTAAGTTTGATTTGCCAAAAGCATAGTTAAAATTTATACATATTCTGTTTTAAAATATTTCCTTTTTATTTATATAGGTACTAGTCGTTAGCCCTCAGAATCTTCACGAAGATATAATAGATTTAATTGGTTATACTAAATTGCAACATCTTCACATTGTTCAAAATCGCTATAGTCCCAAGGATACAACTATGAGATTGGTAATGTATTCATATTAATTTATGATATTATTTGGAATATGTTGATTTTATTCTGAAAACTATTGATTCAGCCTAAAAGATCTTCCTGGGTGAAGATGAGAGTAAATAATCCATACATTAAAGTACATTTTGAAGTGGAGAGTTATAAACCCACCGATATACTTTTGCCAATTGATTTATTGGAACACGGTGGTATTCCTTGTCACAGTATTGTTTTAGACAATCCAAATACCGAGGTCAGTGTTAATTATAAAATTCGAAGATTAATTAATTGCTTGAAATATCATTACATAAAGGAAATGTTTCAGATTTCAGCCTCCACTATTCTTACCCATGGCACATTTTTCGAATCGACGATAAGGGTATACGCGTTTAAAGGTCTGACGAGATACTTTTTGCACAGAAATTTCGCGCAGAGATTGGACGAGGCCCTAGTGCAATTCTGCAGAATGTGCCCGAACCTTCACACACTGGTAGCATTTTGTATTTGAACAAACATTCTGATGTTGTATATCACAGCTTTCTTTTAAACACTGTGGCTTTAACAAACTCCTTACGGTGTGATGGCATGTGTTCATCCTTGTTGTAGAAAAGGCTTTAATACTATTCGTGTAAGTTTTATCTAACTAAACAATATCCCCCATATAAAATTATTATACGTATAACAGGCTCTGAAAATCACATTAAAACATCTCTTAGAGCTTTTAAAGATCTATTTTTATGTACATATGTTGTGTGGCAATATATCATTGGTTTGTCAATGGTATACAAGGCAACAGGTTTAAATACAGATCAATTCTTATACCGATGACTTGGTAGCCTGTGAAAGAAACGTTTTACCATGACACGTTTGATAACTTGGCTGAAGCTCTTATGACAGAAAGCCAAATGTTTTGTTCAAAAGACACACAAGTTATTGTTATAAAAATTCCTATCAATTTCACAGAATTAATATTTTATACTGTTTTTCTTTTCAAGCTAATATGCTTATGGTATGCTAGTATCATAATTAGTATAGTGATAAATTTTTACATTGGATAAATATTTTTCTACAGATGATCCGTGATAAAATATCGACAGCCACGATTTTAGAAATCGTATCCACCGCAAAGGCATTGCGTTGTTTGTACGTTCGACGAAATGTGATTTTAAAAAGGTGCGACAAAGATTGGGTAAGGCTCATGAATTGGTCGCCGGAACATTATCACTGGATCAAAGAGAATAGCCGCAGTTATGAGAGCACTGAGAAGGAGGTATCAAAAATACTTAAGTACAGATGGCATATGTTATCTGAGAAGGAATTTAAAAATCAAACGGTGACGCTACACCTATAATTGAAATGTTAAAAAAATTATACAATCTTTTAATAGCATAAATTTTTTATATCCGTTAACGTTTCTAATCTATTTTCATACAATGAAGAAAAAAGAAAAAACATTTTTAAAATGCATACTCCATACAACAAACAATGCCTTTATGAAGTACATGCGTATACAAATTAATATTTTAACTACCTGTGATGTCAAAGTTGAGATTAATTATTTAAAGATGTGTGCACGTTGGATTGTTACATACAGAGATCTACTATTAAAGGTATAGTACAATAAAATCGTTAGGTATCGCAAGTATCTTTATTTTATTGTATGATATAACGAAGATACCTATAATTATACTATAACTCATGTAATTATGTACAATGCCAGTATATACGTGCAATTCTTAATTAAGTATTTTATTTAAATAGTTACATGTAGCATATAAGACGATCAAATACTGTATACGATTCAACGTATACTTTAAATAAAACACTTATGAAGGTTAAAATATTGTAAATACTCGATCATTAAAAATAACAAGCTTCATTCGCGTATACTATAAACAATGATTTTTTTTTTTTTTTTAAATACGTATATATATATTATATATCGCTTATAGCGGAACATTTACAACATTAAACTTTACAAAATTGTTAACTGACAGTAGTAGTTTGATTTGACAAAGAAACAATGACAATCATCACCAAGCGCTTATCGTATATACATATTTTTTTAGTTGAGTATATACAAAACGTAAGTGGTATTAACTAACATTATACAACAATAATGGTTTTCGGCTAATTAGGATAGAGTTAGAAAAATTTCAACTAACAAATGAAATCAAATTTGACTATAATTTCTCGTTCATGTTCATTTTCTATTTACAATTTAAGCTAGATCATTTATGGAAAATATATTTAAGTTTCATATTCGAATGGGGTTGTAATAAATAAAAATTTGAATCGAGTTTACATTATTTTAAAAGAAGAAAGACGTCATCATCTAACGTATAAAAGCAGAAAATTGAAGAATTACGGTGCCAAGGCTGCTGATCGTTTATCTCTGTTTTTATTACGTTGAATAGTACGGGCTTTAAACGCGGCTGCGTTCATTAAAGTCTATAAAAGAAAAGGATAATTAGCCTCGCATTAATAACGATTGTAAATTTTTTTTTATAAACAACTTACTCTTTCCAATTTGCTTGTTTTCTGATTTAATGGTAACGGCACGACTTTGTTACCAAGGTGGAAAATTTCGCGGAGAAGTTGATTCACGGCCAGATGAATATTTATACCAGGACCCAGTAGTCTGCAGCATGCATTGTATTGAATTCGTGTGCACCATCCTTCCAAATAGAGAACTTCTTGGCCGAATTTCACGTGCATCTCCGGTACAGTATCCTCCTAATATTACAAATTAGCGATCAGTTATATAATTATTGGGCCGGCCCTGGGCGTAGACAGATTAAGCAGTCCCCTAGGGCCCCCAAGGTTCAGGGACCCCATAAGATCAAATCTAAATTAGGTATACAAGTTTTAATGTTAATTTTATAAATTTTATTTAGGGTACTTTTATGTGAAGGGCCCCCATAAGACCAAATCTAAATTAGGTACACAAGCTTTAATGTTAATTTTATAAATTTTATTTGAGGTACTTTTTTTTATGTCATATATCTAAAGGGGCCCCCGAAATCTCAGAGCCGGTCCTGTATAAATTCAAAACAATTTCAATATCGTCATTACGAAAACTTACCTCTATGTAACGAAGTATATCTCTGAAATTGGCTCTCTGTTGCTTACGATCTTTCTTTGCTCTGTACTTATTAGAATCTGTAGCCAGTTCTTTTAATACCTCAGTCAAGTCCAATGCCCAGTCTTGCTCATAATCTGAAGAGAAATCTCGACCGAGTTCGAATATAACAGCCAGAGCTTCTCCAGCCGACAATCTTATATCCAAATGCGGTGATTCTAATAATTCTGACAATTTATTCAGGGACCTAAAATAATCATTATTTTATATTACCCTTCGCATATATGTGTATGTATTAGGGATGTGCGGATATCCGATATTACTGGCTCGGGCGGACTCGGAAAAAATCGGGCGGGCTCGGGCGGCCGTCCAATACTCGCGCGCAGTCGGACAGCCCGTCTATTTCGGGCGCGTTCGGGTGCAGTCGGACAGACTCGGACGAGCTCCCGCGGCCCGTGACCCAACTCTCATGTACTTGTTAATACTTGCAATTCGTTACAAGTATTATTTTTCCACAATAATAAAAATTATCTTACTTCAAAATTCTATATAAAATCAATTTTGCGCATGCGCATTGCAAGTATTAACAAGTACACGAGAGTTGGGCCGCGGGAGCTCGTCCGACTCTGCCCGACTGTATCCGACCGAACCCGAAGTAGCCTGCCCGATGTTTTCCGAACCGACCCGACTAGTCGGGCCGCGCATCACTAGTACGTGTGCTAAGAAATAATACTCACGGCATGTAACTATTTGTTTTATTACTTGTAAGCAAATTATAGATATCAGCTGGTGCCATGACTGTTAAAAGAAGAGTCCAGGATGATATAGCTGCCGCGTGTAATGCTGCCACTTCTGTTGTAATATTTGCAAGAGCACCATTTCCTTTTAAGTAAGAACCAGAAAAAATATTTGATAATAACTGAACGATCTCGATGGTGTCCGCCGCATCGTTTCCTGACAGAAATTGATTCATGCTCAGAGCCCAGCAACACTGCGAACACATGATTAATTATTAATGTAATGAATTTAACCGTCGCTTAATTCTATCTTTACCTCTGCTCGAGCTTGAGTCGAGGCTGTTGGGTCGCTCGCAATGAAGGTCAGGATACTTTTCAAATCACGGCATACCGTCTCGGCACTCTCGAAGGCTCCCAGTTGAACGCAGAGCAAAGTGCTCAATCTAGCGGCTGTCGACTGTTCCTCGCTACGTCCCTTCTTCAATCCCCGTTCTATGGAATCTGTGATAGTCATTTTTCTATCCTCCACGAAATCCGGGACGTATTTAATGGCAAAGATCTTCTCAATTCCATTGAAGCAAATAGTTCTCCCTTTTGCGCTCTTCTGGGTTAAACCGTCTATAGCTTCCTTCAATTTCTCTTCGAAGGCCTCTTGCTGGGAAATTTCATCTACCTCGTTGTCGTTCACGTCGTCTAACATGCTGCGATTATCAGACTGGCTACTGGTCACACTGCATGCATCATTAACAGAGTCCTCGTCGGATGTTAATTCAGCTCTTTTTCCACCATGACCTACGAACATGTATTTCCCTTATTATTGTTATATTCGAATACAAATAGAGTTTAATTTAATTACTGCCTGTCAACCAGTAGCTTACAAATCTAATTTACAAAGGTAATTAAAAGGAAAAGTAACAGCTGTTAGGAGCGAATCTTGTGTTACATAATGCAAAGCCTTAACAGCTGTTACAACATTTCCTGTAATCGCATTATAAGTGTAAAATAGTTATAATTCATGAAAAATGTGTGAAACAGCAGAACTGTAATATTTTTATTTATAAAAATCAGACCACTCCCCTGTCATGTTTTATGATACGCATGGGTGCACATTTGATCTCATTAATATTCAAAATGCTAAAACTGCATACGCCAAATTAAGCAAACATTTTCAATTGATTATATTAATAAAATGCAATTTATAGACAAATCTTCCATAAATTGTATTCTTTGAAAGTAGAATTTTAACTTTATTGTTGCTTCAAATAAAACGTAAAATCAACATTTACAATAATTATAACAAAATTGTTGGGATATTTGAGTGACAATAATTATATAAATATCTAACCTAATATTGCAAAAGTTAATCTAAATTTAGTAAAAAACGATTACGGAAAAGCATAGTCATCCTAGTGGAAAGTACTATTTTCGTAAGCTTACGAAACGCAATAACGAAAATGCACGAAATAGATTTTTCTTGATCCGATCTGGGAAATTCGATCTTAGAATTGAACGTATTTTTACGATATACCTCCGTACATATCTCGAGGCAAATGATAATTTGCTTTCCTTTTATTAACGAATATTGTATTTTCTGGATGCATTTCGCTAACCCATCTCCATGTGCGAAAAGCATGAAAGTCACATGGAGATGAATAGTGGTGGTATGACGTTAGCTTATTTTACGATACTGCCAGAATTTCGTAGATCGATACAGTGTTCAGTACGTCAGAGAATTAGGAAACCATGAATAAAACGGTAATGAAAATTAAATGCGATTATTGTAACGCAGCCGTGACGTAAAATAAAATAAACAAGATTTATATGCACGATGAGTCATTCGAGGGGAATGCTGATAATTTAGCGAGGATCGATCAACGCATTCCGAACCAGGATGATCTGTTGAAGCGATAGAAAAAAATATTAAAAATGTTAGATTCGATAAATAATGATTAATATTAAGGGAGATAAGAATTTAGAGTAGATTTTACCGGATTTTCCTCTTCTCTTTCCTTTGCCTGGCATCGTTCTTCACTTTCCTTATTGCACAATTGATACTAAGAAAAATACTTGATCAAGAGGGTAAATGTCTTGCACTATTAATTTTCTTTCGTATACTGAACACACTGCATGAATTTTTAATAAGAATTTGATAAAAACTCATTAACATGTTGCGAACTGTTCAAAACATACACGTCGAGACAGCCTACGATGGGCTTTCTCAAGTGCACTGTCTTCTACGATCAGCGAACCTACCCGAACATCAGCGAAACTACCCGAAGCGTCGATTGCGCATGCGCGACATTTTTATGTACAATATCAATCAAAAGCACTGACCTTGGAGTCCAAGTTTAACAGCAGCAAATATCATAAATCTAATTATTTAATAAAAGCGTTAAATTAATTAACATAATCGTCTGACAAAGGCTTTAGAATATTTATTTGCTGCGGTTAAACTTAAACTCCAAGGTCAGTGATTTTTTACTAGACGAACGGATACTATGATTGATACTATACCGTGTTGACCAATGAGCTTTCAGCATTTCCGATCTAGTGGAAAGCAAGTGCACGTATACCAGAGTCCATAACTGCGAAAAGACCAGTTTTCGTTCTTCACGCATCTCTAGTACGCATCTTCGCCCTGATTGGCGATATTCCCAAACGAAGTGGAAAGCGATTAGTAGAGAGCTCGCTGCGTTCCCCCACCATCTTCCAACCTGCGCGTCACAGTTATGGACTCTGGTGAACTGCGGTATACATACATATGTGAATTTGTAAAAATTGTATACGCGCCTTAATAAATGGCGCGGTTAATGTAAAGTTAGAATAATTTTAAATCGACAGAAGTACAGTGTTTTAATGTTCAGTAAGTATGTTTAATGATCCAAATATTAATATTTATTAATATAGAATGCAGTAGAGTCTGAAGAACCATTTTAAATTATATTTATAGCAGTTATTATGTATATTTTGTTTTATTAAATGGAGAAATTAAGATAGGGTTTTCGAGGTTGGATACATTAGGTATAAATAGAAATTTAAATTAGATACACAAATGTTAAAGGAATGAGGCACAATTTTCGTTGCAATTATCTGTTACTTTGTATTTTTTAAATACAGAAACAATATTAAAAAATATAAATATTAACTTTTTAAGTTTCTTCTTCACAATGTAAAGTTATATATAATGGGTCAATGAATTTCCCTACTGTATGTTTTCAATGTAATGAATTAAAGGTGAATGATGAATACAACTGTAAGTTGTATTATTACATATAATTAATAATATTTATATTACAAATTTGTATCAATTGTTTTGCTATAGTACAAAATTTAATACGCATATACCAAGTGTAGCAAAATTGAAGAAAATTGTAGATTCTGCTACAATCATAATTTACAAATTACTTTAGCTTACATATTCAGACAGACATTCATAAATGTCAGTATTCTGAAGCACCTGAATCGATGGACGATAATAATTGTATTTAAGTGAATTGATAAAAACAAGAATTTCTTTACAACTTCCATATATTAATTTACTTTCTATAGAAATTTTGTGAATACCTAAATGACTGTTTTGTCAAATACGATACCACATAATATATTTTGTTCCAACATAATGCAATTTATGTTTCAGAGTTGGCCTTCATAGAATATACAAAACTTATTCCAATTTATTTTATGCTAAACTTAATAATAAAGATACTATAGTCGTTATTACCAGCAAACTAACTGTAGAGGTTGAAGCGGCACTTTTATCTAATATTATATTTCGGCACGGAGTTTCTTTTAAGATAAATCTGAATATAGAATCTACAACGTTTGCAGGTGTTGGATCCGAACACTTTTCCAATTCTTTCACCACGCAGTCCTGAAGGCTGGAGATATCGCTGCGCAATAAGGTATGTTTTTATTTCTTGTATCTTATTAATGTATTCTGAACAGATATATAAATTTACTTACTTGCATTCTTTGTTTCCCAGAATTAAGGATGGGAGATTGTCCAATCCAGGCGCAGATCCATTGTTAAAATCAAGGGGAGGTGCGTAACTACCAAATGTTGTATTAAGACAGTTTTGAATTGCTTGTTGCTTTGATTGTAAACATTCTGGTCCATTAGCAGATATGAAAACTGTAAAACAAAATTTGAATGTAAGTACTGCTTGAAAGTAGCTACTCTTATAACGTTTTCATACAGAAATACATACGAGCAATACGATCTCCTTCTTTGTAGCATACAAAATTTAAGAGGGAATCGGTAATATTTTGAACGATCTTTTTATTTTCTCGTTCAGCTGGTTCCAAACAAGGCTCTATAGCTGTGGTAAAGTCGCTGATACATTTTTTAAGAACAGGGGTTTTCTGGCAGTATTTTTTGAAAACCATGTCCAAATTTCCAACAGGCTTGTTTATTTCCATTTCATGCTCTAACTCTGTAATATTAACAAACGATTTAAGGCACTGCTCCAAGCGATCTTTAGCGTTCTGGGCATTGTCGTATGCGTCAGGTCCTCCGTTTTTATCACATTTTTGTTTAAAAACATTCTTCACTTCGTCGATAGCTTGTATCACAGATGAGTTAAGCTGAGTATTCAAATCTGTATTTCCTGATATGTTGAGATTACTAGTATCTACGATATTAGATACTTTATGTAACACCTCCTCAGCGGTGGGCATATTCTCTTGCGAATAGGTGTGTCCAAGAAATCCTGAAACAAAAATTTCATATTATAGTACCGATGATATGACGATTTTTATAAAAAAAACTAGGCATAGTTAATATGTAAAACATTTTTAAAAAGTTACGTTGAAAATAATTTTTTACAAATACATATTTTTTTTTTTCTGTTTCAGATACTAGAGTTCTGCCAGTTGTTCAGGTAACTCGATTAAAAATAATTTAATAAGATCTAACTAGATTATAAAAGATCAACAGCTGTGAAGCCTTTGTTTCTTTAAAGGGGCACATACACCTAGAAATTTCAAGATTTTTACATATTCCTGAAATACTTTATTAAATTGATCTGGTAAAAATTACGTAAGTAGGATAAAGCGCGTTATGCAAGTATGCAACGGTATGCAGGGTATTTTTTAAAAATCGTATTTGAATGCCATTGCCAAACTAAATGGAAAAAAACATTTAAAAAAACAATGTTTCCAACACTCCAGCCATTCATTCAGAAACAGCTGTGGCTCCTGAATAATGGAAAAATACCAAACCGGTTACAGTTTGAATATTTAGTACTTTTTTGTAAAAATGTTTATAAAAGTTATACGTAATACATGTACTTTTAAGTAAATGTATTTTATTTTTTTGAAAAAAAAAAAAATCATTAAGATTAACTTTTTGTTAGTCTTTCTAGGTGTATGTACATGCTTCCTGAAAATTTAAGTAGTTTTATTGTATAGTCATGGACTTGTTTTAATTATGATTTTTTAATTAACACATCATCTATGAACTTTACATTGATGCAGCAAGTTGTTATAGCAAATCATCGTTTTGCTTACATGTTTTTCTAGAAAAATTGATTAAGAAAATATTTAAGTTCTACCCCCCTTTATTTCTCTTTTGTTTCATGGATAAACATAAAGATGTCCTAAATAATTTTACATTTTACATTTTCAATAAAATTTTAAATAAATGAAATAAATTATATATTTTTTGCATTTAAATTTTACATTTTATAAAAGAATTTAGAATAAAATTTTACATTTTTCTGTAATTGTTTATATATTTTCTAACAATAAGGGAAAAAAAATGAAGTGTATTTGAGACATACATCATGGGGTACAAAGTGCAGAAGTTGAATCACTGTGCATTTGTCACGTGTATCGTAACGATAAGCGTTTTACCCGGTACAAAGAAAAAGGGAACAGACAATAGACTATTTTTCCTTTACTGTATTAATCGATTATGACAATAATTACTCTAATTATATGAATAATTTACTCGTTAAATATCCTTCGTAGGATTGATGAGCATTTTAAACATGTTTAAATTTGATCGAGAATACTTCGATACCTCATTGTTCAACTAACTATCGAAACGATACCTTCTTATCGATTGTTAGCTCAAGATTATTGCTAGTATTTCTTGATCGCATACAGGGCCGGCCCTGGGCCTAGGTAGAATAGGCGGTCGCCTAGGGCCCCTATAAGACGATTTTCGTCCAAAAATGCAAGAAGAGTAATGTTTACTTGAATATTAATTAATTATACAAGCTTTAATGTTTAAAATTAAAATTTTTTACAAATAAAAACTTTAGGATTATCTAAAAATTTAGATAATTTTATTTGAGGTAATTTTTTTTATGTCGTATATCAGGGGCCGTCTCGGACCTCCGAAATCTCAGGGCCGGCCCTGATCGCATATCGAACTCGATCGATGTTACTATCGCATGAAATGTTGCACAACACGATTGCAAATCGTATTTTATAGTAAAAAACATAAAAACTTCTAATAGTTGGAAACACTTTTTGACATCTAACCTCTTTATAGTCGATAAATAACATTGGAACGTACAATTTCCAATATCTCGGAGCATAATTTTTGCACATCTAATCATTATGGATTCCCACACGTTTTCATTTTCATTTTAACACGATATTGCGTGTCAGCATTATTAATCCTGTCAACGAAGAGGAAAAATAACCAAGTAACCAGTTCATTTATTCGAACTAGGCCCTGAACTTACCAAAAAGGAACACCGCGGCCGTGAGTGTCGAGTACTTGGTCATTTTTCTTTTTCCAAGGACACACGTTTAAGTAGAAAATAACGTAAATTTATTTTCTTTTAATGTTACAGCACCGTCGATGAATTTCTTCGTAAAAAAACACACACACACACGTACACGACGGAGATGAGATGAGAATGCAACGTTTTAACTACTCATTACGTGCACTCTTATGATTTTTACGCATTCAACCTCGCTGTTTATCATGAGAAGGGTGCACCGATGCGTCAGCGTTGCTCGGAAAAATATTGAAAGGAAGTGGGACAAAACTGGAGCGAGAAACGGAGGATAGAAGTACACCACGACCGTACAAACGATACTCCGATAGTGAACCACGGAGCGCGTGCGCTTCGCTTTTATATACCCGTTCCGCTCCACCTCTCTGTCATTCTTATAATTTAATTTTATTCAGATTATGTTAAAATTTATATGTAGATTATATTATTTTATCAGTTTTCAGATACATGGATATATTGTTGAGGAAAAAAGCTATTTTTCATTCTTCAATAATATACATATATGTATACATATACGTAAGTATTTTGTGTACTGATATATTTGGAGCTTTGGAAAATTTCTGACCATAAAAGGCAGAGAAAAATTTTGCACGTACAAAACGTTGAGTATCATTAGAGTAAGAGTATTTTATAATTTTAAATAATTAAAGGTAAGCAATAAGCATTTGAAGATTACTTAAAAAATATATTAACAAGATTCCTCGGTAGTATAGTGGTCAGTATCCCCGCCTGTCACGCGGGAGACCGGGGTTCGATTCCCCGCCGGGGAGGAATTCTTTTTTCTTTTTCTAATCCATTTTCTTATTCACTCCAGCTCACGGGACTTGGGTCTGGGTAATAAATTACGGCTGACCCTAGGCCCTTCACTCCTAATAATGAAGGGTGCTATCCTGCCGCTTGCTACTGTGTTTTCCTTTACTGTCTAAACTGCATACGGAACCCTGCAGTGAATTCATACGCAGTTAGCAAGCGATCACTGGGAAGAATACAACAGGCAAGTGATACGAACAAGGAAAGTCATTAAGGATTCATTTATTAATATTTGGCATTTTAAGCAATTTTTTTCCTCTGAGACTTATAGGAAAAAAGTTGCTTTTTTCCTATAAGTCTCAGAGGAAAAAAATTGCTTTAAAAGGCGAATTTTGTTAATGATGATCTAAGGCTTAGAAGAAAAAAGTTGCTTCATATTTCATTGTTTTTGGCACCACGTCTGCCACGCGGGTGACCGAAATCAGATTCCCCGCCGGGGAGATCATAATTGTTTTCTTTTTTTTTATGCTTGTTAAGTACTTTCATTGATAGTTTTATTATGTACTTTGATTTGTGAAGGGCTATGGACAGCTTTTTCTTTTGTAACCCAGCCACGTGCTTCAATTGCTGTCAGGTAGAGAACTTTTATTACTCCTATACCTGCGAGTTCGGGTATCATGTTTTCAGAGGCAATACAGGAAACAAAATGACAAAGGTATGATTTTATAGGTTCCTTGTGTACATCAAAGGATTTCATTAGTTAAGTAGGTCATATTAACCCGTTATTTATATGTTGTAGAAAATTGTTAAACAAGCATCGGTGGTTCAGTGGTAGAATGCTCGCCTGCCACGCGGGCGGCCCGGGTTCGATTCCCGGCCGATGCAAAACTATCTTTTGGCAACTTCCATAATCACTGTATTAATCAATATTCAAAGCGTATATACATATTTTATTAGAGCACTTTACCTACCAGAGCAATCTACCACGCAAAACTGAGTAATCTGAGTACTTTGCGTGTCACAGTAATTGAGCGTTTATTATCCACAGCAAACAAATTATGTCGATATTATTATTATGAATTGATAAATTCCTGCAGTCTAAAGGTATTTAAATAAATGATAACATTCAGTTTGTATTAGTTTTAATAGTTTAACATCATAAGAAGTTACATAGAAGTACATTATTCAAAGTGTTACGAATTAAATAATTACACGATTACAGTGCAAAAAATCACATTGTAGGAATGACATATTCGTAACCGATACTGTCGAGGAAATTATAGTGCGATTTTTTGTATTTCGTTTCCATATGTGTATTATACACACGCATATTATCTTACAGTATGAATACATGTTAGTTTACTGTATTGGACCCTGTAACCAACTTCTGTCCTTGTATGCTATGCACACATTTCACACGTCCGTATGTATATGCTTAAGTAAACAGGATGGCGCAGTGACTCTCAAATATCTATCTTCTTGCAGGTAAAGAATTCAAATCCACTCATACAGATACCCACTGCGATGCATTTTACTTTTTTTAAACGTAATAATAACTTGATTTATTTACAGATAGTAAGCAGTTTTAATAGCGACTGAGGATCGACTTGAAAAAACGTTACTGATGTTTCAGTGCAGTAGCTAGTCAGGTTTAAAGTAATCGTATGTTAACCCTTAACATACCAATATGAGATTTGAGGATAGTGATTTTTGGTGATTCTGTCGTAATTATATCAACAAATTTATTCTTCATTTTTATATGTGTCCCAGATCCGTTTAAGATAAATATTACATAATTGGTGCTATAAAACGTTCGCTCAAAAATATAAAAAACAATAAAAACACACTTGGGGCTCCGGCAGAAGCTCGGTTGGTATACTGGATTACATATTTGGATTGATTTATTTCTTGTTGAATGCATTGGCATTTATGGCATGATAATGTGGTGAGCGCGGGCCCGCCCATTTATGACCAGGCGGTTCCCTTGACTTAGAAATAAAAGGGAGCTGCTGTCTTTAAGCCCTAAATCGCGTTCGCCGCGGTCAACAATGCTTATTCAACTTAAATATATTTTTCCACATCCAAAGAACCTAATTTCAGTAACCTTCCACACTAAAATGTTGAGAAATTTAAAAAATACCATGGGGTTCTCGTTAAACTTGTTAAAAAATTAAAAATATTCACTATACATAATTCTTAACATCATATTTTTATTTTATAGGCTCGGTATGTTAAGGGTTAAATAAGAAGTTTATGCTGGATCGTAGTATGTATTTTTAGTATGAATTTTTCAGCAGGCGGTACTACGTAACTGCGTGGACAACTGTCTGGCGTTATAACCGACCTTCGAGAAACCACGATGAATTGTTTAAACGTTGACATTAACCGTGAAAGCTTGGCATCCGTCCCAGAAACACGATCAGAGATTAACAGCAATAGCCATATGGGAAATACAGTGGAACGAACTGGCCGAACGATAACTTATCTTAGAACCGTGCGCTGCGTTTAGAGCTTGTACGCATTTCGCATCATCAAGTCAAAATATGCGTCGTGATCGATGCTGGCGCTGATTGCACTGTAATAATTCATGAACTCCTCCTCTGTCACCTGTTATAAACATTGGACACATTGAAGAATTTTTGAAAATAGAAGATAACACCAGTTGATCTTACAGTGCCATCTGTGGTGTCGTTCTGCTCAAAGTTCGCCAGAAATTTGTTCAAAATGCTCTCCTCGCTCTCCTCCCCGCTCATGTACCTTGGATGGGACTTAACATTGTAAACACCTCTTAGATCATCGGTCGTGATCACTCCGTCTCCAGTCTTGTCAAGTTTCTTGAACGCTTGATCCACGACGTTCTTACGGCTTTGAGACATGGGAGGCTGGACAGAAATTGATTTTTTTTAAAAATGAAAAATATTCACTGACCATGAACGTTCACCTACTCGTATGGCAACGATGAACTCGTCGACGCTGACGCTTCCGTCGTTGTCCGTGTCGAATCTGTTGAATATCTCCTGTATCTCCTCCTCTGATATCTCCAGGCCAGTCTCGCGCATACCCAGGATGAATTCTTCCAAATTCAATTTCTTGTTACCATCCTCGTCCATGCGACGGAACGCTCTGCGAGATCATGGAAAGTTTTCTTGATTTTTTGTTAAAATTTCAGGTGATATCGATGGAAGGATCGTCAACTCACCTACCCAGCCCAATGATGCCGTTGGCACCTCTGGCCAGGCAGAGGAGGCGAAGTTTCTCTATAGAATCCGTGACTGTGTGTATGGCCCGTTGGGCCTTCTTTATCAGCTCAGTCTCGTGTCTCGTCGCCGCGCTTTGTGGCCTGTGCAGGAACATCCCTGGAAAATGAAACCTCGCGCTGATGATTCACCTGGCTCCTATGACTCATGCGTCCAAGAGAGAAGGGATAATGAAACAAGATCAACTGTAATATCCTTTCCCTTTTTTCTTAAATAAGCTGAATGCTTCCTAGATTCTATATTTCATTATTTCCAGGTTGCTATCTGTTGCCGTTTGTTTTGGATCAATTTCAAAGGTGAACATCGAATTTTGCAATTTGTTATCTTTATTAGATAAAGGAAGGTAAATAGAAGATTGGGCAAAGGAAAAAGTGGGAGTTGACACCGATATTTCCAGTACCACGATTGTTGTTTTATTTCACTTTTTATGGAAGTGAAAGTTGCTTGCTTTCATTTTATTAATCCAAAGTGATTCAATTCCCACAAAGGTGTGGTAAATGGCTCGACCTTGTTAAACACGCCCGCCTCGTTTAGTCAATTAAATAGCGAGCATAAGAGCCGAGGTAATATAACGCGTCGAAATTGATTTCCGGGGAATTTGAACGGTTATATTCTTGCTGGGTAATGCGAATCGGCGTTGAAACGAAACGATCCGTATCAGCTGTTGGTATACTGAAATTGTCATATTAATCATCCTTCAACTTTACAGTTGGAATGAAACTTACGAATTGATGCTGGCAATGAAATCAACGGACATTGTTAATTAGACACAACGATACCGATTAGCACTGTTTATGAAACCATAGCGACGTTGAATTATTTGAAACGTTTCTTAATTTAGGTAAAGTGAACACTATGAAATTTATTTGTAAAAACATAAGTAACGTGTTATTTTAATTTTTACTTTGTTAATGTTTATAACGAGACTCACCTCAATTTCCAGAAAACGAGATTGAAATCTCGCGCACCGATTTTGTGAAGGAATCTTGAAGCGATAAAAATGAGATGAACATTCGTGGTACTTCTGAAGAGAACCGGAAGGCAAATGACAGTAAAGGATTCCTTTGGCGCATTCTATATAGATCGACACACATTGAATCACACACGTGTATGAAAATAAGGTGTATTCGACGTGTATGATCCGTACGATGGTTTGTAGAACATGTATCCATAACGACCGGCTGGTCACAACATGTGTATCGGCAAAAAAATTCACGCGTGATCAATCGCCAATACCAATTTCCTATCCAATTATTGAATGGATAATTCATACATGCTTACTCGTAACAGTTTTCAAACTGTTACGTGTTACCGCTGCGTGGCGGAGAAAATACCTGCAGGGTGTTTAAATGAATCTATTTTTCAACGTTTTGTTCTGAACTGTAATTTGATGATAGAGAAGTTTTATAGAAACAACATGGTAGTATTTTATTAATCTTTGCATCCTTGTGCAAATATTTTAATAAAACTTAATGTTAAATTTCTTTTTAGTTACAGCAATAGCGTTTTAACGTTCTCGAAATTAAACCATTTCGCAATTTCTCTGAAATCGTAACAATATCCAGTCTTTGTTTAGATTTATCATATTCAATAGTGTGTAGTAGTGGAATATGTAAAATATATATGAAATAGTTTAATGTATGTACTTACTTTTATATTGTTACTAAACACGAATAGGTATTACAAAGTTGGTTGATCAAATATAGGCTGTTTTACCGACTTCAAAGATGTCAAAGGTCGAAGAATTCAAAATAATTTTATCGGTATTCAAGAATTACCGATCTTTGATAACTTATCGACTTTTGATAAGTTACCGACCGAGGTAAACCCTATCCACTTATCATCAGTCGGGGATTAACATTTCGTTTTACCGATAATTTTTTAATTGTTATAAAACAAGTTTTAAAAGTATAATATAATTCTTATAATTACAACATTCAGTATAGTACCAAATATGATATAAATACAAAATGTTTATCCAATTTACGTATATATTGTAAATAAAAGGCGGAGAATATTCTAGAACAACATCCATCCGTTCACCAATCAGAATTAGACATTTGGATTGAATCGCAGCCGGCTTATTCCTGATTGGTTGATAACACTTGCGTGGGTTCATCTGATTGGTGGACGCCTGGAGTTTCCTCTTACTATATTATAACGTCGGGGATAGGTTATATGACAGTCTGTGTAAAACAGCGAAGGGAATCGTTGAAAGTGCATTTGAAGATATTTTCGCTTTTTTTCTTTTAATATTCGTGATTATCTCACGAAAACAATGAAGAAGGCGTTAATATTAATATCAATCCTGTTCTTCGTGGCAGGTAAGTTTTAAAATCATGTATTATTTTACCGTACTAATTAATCAAACCGCAAGCATCAATGTTCGTATTTGTTATTTAGGATTTGTTAGAGCGGAGGATGAAGTCGACGAGAATGTTGGAACTGTGGAAAATGATTTAGGAGCCAGTCGCGAAGGATCTCGAACAGGTTAGCTCTTTTCTCAATGTACTTTCACGGTATTCATGATCATCAGTTTCAATGAATTATTAACGCCAGCCTATAGGGACAGCAGACGCGCATATGGCACTTTTATTTGATAAAGATAATTACAGTAGATATCTTAACTATAGAAATGCCAAAAATAACTTTGTTTTCATAAATTGCAATACACCTGTGATACACAATTCTTTATCTACCAAGTAAATATATTTTGCAGACGATGGAGTTGTTCAGAGGGAAGAGGAGGCGATAAAATTGGACGGTTTAAACGTGGCTCAAATAAAAGAACTGAGGGAAAAGGCTGAAAAGTTTATGTTCCAGACAGAAGTCAATCGAATGATGAAACTTATTATAAATTCCCTCTATCGTAACAAAGACATCTTCCTGAGGGAATTGATATCGAATGCTTCTGATGCTTTAGATAAAATTAGATTATTATCTCTCACAGATAAAAATGTTCTAGACACTAACCCAGAATTAGCGATTAGGATAAAGTCCGATAAAGAGAACAAGATACTAAGCATAACTGATTCTGGTATCGGTATGACTAAAAAGGACCTGATCACTAACCTTGGAACCATTGCTAAATCTGGAACTGCAGAATTCTTGGGAAAAATGCAAGAGGCCTCCAATAATCAAGATCTGAATGATATGATCGGTCAGTTTGGAGTAGGTTTCTACTCTGCTTTCTTAGTTTCTAATACTGTAATTGTCACTTCTAAACACAACGACGATAAGCAATACATCTGGCAGTCTGATAGCAATAGTTACAGCATTGTCGAAGACCCAAGGGGTGATACATTAAAGAGAGGGACAACAGTTAGGTAAGCGAAGTGGTATTATATACAGTGAGTAGACACTGTTCAAAATAGAATACCTCGGTTAAAATTGGACTAAATAACTCGAGGTTTTTTGAGAAGCTATAAAAATTAATTCACTAAAACATGTATTTTTATCATTTTAAAAAATTACAATTTCTTGAAATCGTGAAGAAAAATAATGAATGGTAATTTTTCAACTTTTTTAAAATGATAAAAATACATGTTTTAGTGAATTAATTTTTATAATTTTTAGTCCAATTTCAACCGAGGTATTCTATTTTGAACAGTGTCTACTCACTGTATACTCTTTTAGGATGAACGAAACTAATTCATTTTCAATTACAGCTTGCACTTGAAGGACGAAGCGTTAGACTTCCTAGAAGAGGATACCATTAGGAACTTAGTGAAGAAGTACTCGCAATTCATCAACTTCCCTATTTATCTCTGGAGCAGCAAAGTCGTCCAGGTCGACGAGGAAGAGGACGAACAGGCGAAGGACGATGAGAGTAAGAAGGATGAACCTTCTACCGAAGATAAAGTAACAGAGGAAGAGGACGATGCGAAAGTGGAGGACGCGGAGGAGGAGAAGAAAACGAAGAAGGTGGAGAAAACGGTTTGGGACTGGGAATTGTTGAACGATTCGAAACCTATATGGACCTTGAAACCGTCCGAGGTTGAGGAGAAGGATTACAACGAATTCTACAAGACACTGACAAAAGATACTCAAGATCCCTTGGCGAAGATTCACTTTATCGCTGAGGGGGAAGTCACCTTTAAATCTCTTCTTTTCATACCCAAAGTTCAACCAAGCGACAGCTTCAACCGTTATGGCACTAAGGCGGACAATATCAAACTCTACGTAAGACGAGTATTCATCACTGATAAATTCACAGACATGATGCCTAATTACTTGTCCTTTATCCGGGGCATCGTCGACAGCGATGATCTGCCATTGAACGTTTCCCGTGAAAATTTGCAACAGCACAAGCTCATCAAAGTGATCAAGAAGAAACTAATAAGGAAGGTATTGGACATGATAAAGAAGATTCCCAAGGAGGAATACGAGAAATTCTGGAAGGAATACAGCACTAACATTAAATTAGGCGTGATTGAGGATGCTCAAAACCGAGCCAGGTTATCAAAACTATTATCATTCCAATCTTCCACGCAGAAGGGAATGACGTCGTTGTCAGACTACGTTTCCCGCATGAAACCGAACCAGCAGCACATATACTACATTGCTGGCTCTTCTGAAGAGGAGGTGAAGAAATCCCCATTCGTTGAACGTTTGGACAAGAAGGGTTATGAAGTTCTATATCTGACTGAGGCGGTGGACGAGTACACCATTTCTGCACTTCCTGAATTCGACGGGAAGAAGTTTCAGAATGTAGCGAAGGAAGGATTCACCCTCGACGAGGGGGAGAAGGCTAAGGAAAGGATGGAGCAGTTGAAAAGCACGTTTGAACCGTTGGTCAAATGGCTGAACGATATTCTGAAAGACCACGTCAGTAAAGCTCTGGTTTCTGAACGCCTTACAGACTCCCCCTGCGCTTTGGTCGCCAGTATGTTTGGCTGGACTGGGAATATGGAGAGATTGGCGATCTCGAACGCCCATCAGAAGAGCGACGACCCGCAAAAGGCTTATTACTTGAACCAGAAGAAGACATTGGAAATTAATCCGAGGCATCCGCTTATCAGAGAATTACTGCGTCGAGTGGAAGTCGACACCGCTGATCAGACGGCGAAGGACATCGCCCTGATGATGTTTAGGACGGCCACTCTTCGGTCTGGGTATATGCTTAGAGAGACGGCCAGCTTCGCGGACAGCGTGGAGCAATTGATGAGGAAAACTTTGGGTATTTCCCTAGACGAAGTTCCCGAGGAGGAGGAAGCGCAAGAAGAGGAATCTGCTTCGGCAGAAACAGAAGCAGGATCTGAATCGGAAAAGATAATGGACATGGACGAGAACGAAGAGGGAAAGGATGAAGAGAAACACGATGAATTATAATCAATGATTATGCCGGATAAGACTAATTTTATAGTTGCGAGACTATACAATGTATAGTTGTACACGGTTAATCTATTTTTGTTGTTACAAACAGAAATGAACTCTTGTATAGAAAGGAAAAGGGGTAAATGTACCCTTTGATGTTTCTTTGTAGCATTTCAAGTTTCTTTTTTTTTTTTACTATTGTTGATCAGAATGATACATCAAAGGATGTGATAAATACAATATCACTCATAGTGGCCGTTCGTCTAGTGAAAAAACACTGACTTTGAAGTCCAAGTAAATATCATAAATTTAATTATTTAATAAAAGCGTTAAAATAATTAATATAATCGTCTGATAAAAGGTTTAGAATATTCAATAATTTATTTGAAATTAAAAAATACACTAGACGAAAAGATTGATATTGTACACAAATACAAATGAAATTACTCATCGTAATGTATATCATAGTAGTCTCATAAGTTACGTTTTGGTAAAGAGTTATTATAATTTATTTTTATTTGATCTTCCACACTTTTATATGATCAAGAAAAGCGTAATGTCGACTGAACATAATAACTACAGTATGTTTGTGATGTGAATGAATGTATTTGTATAAAGAATATTAAAAAGATTATTGAAGTAATATAAATGATTTTATATTCAACTACGAAGATGTCTTTATCGCGATAATTTAAATTTATATAAAAATCTTGATAATGTTAATAAAAAATCCTTGTCCTTTTATCATCATCCGAAACAATAAGAAAAAAAACTAGCAGCGTTCATTTTACGCAGACTTATTTTAGGTAAAGATGTAAATTTTCAGTTCGGCTATGTCATAAAATTTCAATTTGATTTGCATTTTCAAAACAATGCCAAGTTATTAATTTCCGGTAGACGGGGCTGATTCCAACGGGCGAGCCAATGGGAAAGCTTCGTTCTCGTGGAATCGGGACAAACGACGTAGATAGCCGAGCGTAGCCGAGCGCTCATTTCCGTTTTCGAATCCGACGTCACCTACTCTCAAAGCCCGTGTGTTTTGTGTTTCTTTGGGGCCACGATGATTATCGCTAATTTAACGTAAGTATTAACCGATTTCATCAATGATCGATGGAAATTAAACGAAAAGGAATTCCCGTGGTGTCGTTCGTAAGGGAAACTGGTCACGAAACCGCGCGAATTCCTTGCGTAAGTTTTACGCGAACGGAGACCCTCGCCATGCCGGTCTATAAAGCAGCCCCTCTTTCTCGAGTCCCTTCGATTAACCGAGAAATAATAGAAAATCTTTCCTGCCCGTTGTTTCTTTCTATCAAGATTATCTTTTCGATCGAATTAATCGATTTATTGGAAAGAAAAAAATTTACCAACTTCGATGGTCGTATATAAACAAAATAAATGGCGTCGGTATACCTCGTATACCGAATATGACAATTTTCGGTTCCCGAGTATTCTTTAATTAAACGTTGTGATGCCGTTGTTTCTATTTTCGACATCGTGAACACTTTTACGCCTGGATTCGAATGTTTCTCACAATATAACAGAACAATATCTTGGTAGACTGTTCATCTACTTCCTGAAATGATGCTTTTAAATATACTCCTTATTCAAGCATCTGTCAAGTACATTTTATGATCTGTGTGTATAGTTAGTCTCTGACAGTGTGGATTGCATAAAAAAGAAAGAATCTCTCAGTAAATGGAATTAATTAATAAATGTGTTTTTGCAGGTTGAAATTATTGAAATTGAAATTAGATCTGTTTCTATCGTAAAAACATCTAAGACGGAAAAGTAACAAAAGATTTTTGCTTAACTATTAAAAAAAAGGAAAGGAAACAACTGTAACGTAATATAAAAGTGAAAGAAATTTAGTCTACTAATTTATATCGTCACGGAATCTTGAACAAAATGGGCATTCAAGATTTACAAGTCTTTTTGGATGGCAATTTTGTACAAGGAGGATCTGTACCTGTGGATCTGTTGAAAATTGCACGTACAGTTATTCAAAGACAACACAATCGTATTGGTAAAACGCAGCAATTACAGTCAGGAAAATTAAGGCTAGTCCTCGACGGAGAGTGTTGTCTAGACAGATTATACGGAGGATATTTCTCAGGTATTTATTTCTTTATTTATTTAGTAGGAAAATAAGATACTCAAAGAATGTTTTATTATTCAGACTGGGCATGCGGAGGACAGTGGAACAGAATGCTACAGTTTTTAGTAGTCCTTATTCATGCAACCGAAGCGTCAAGGTTGGAGTTAGCTGTATTCTTCAATGGTTGTTTCGAATCTCCTAGACGAGCAGACTGGATTCAGAACCAATTGCAAGTGCGAATTAAAGTAAATAATGTAAGTAACAATATTGAATCTAATATATTGATTTTCTTTCATAAATCATTAAAACTGTTTCAAACATCAATCTTCCAAATTTTTATCTAATACTAATCTAATACTTTTTACAGGTACTAAAACACATTTCAACAAAGGGCACACCGCCGCCAAAAATTTGGTGGACTCCGCCTGTGTGCTTGAGAACTAGTCTACGTATGGCATTAAGACATCTGAACGTTACAGTTTTATGTAGCATGGATGACCATCATCAAGAAGTGATCGCTTATTGCCGTGAGAACAATTTTAATGGCTTGATAGCCGACGATGCAGAGTACGCCGCGTTTGACCCACCGAGATACTTCTCGTCCGAACAGTTAAAGCTTACGTACAAAGGATCTCTGGATACGAAGGAGTATATTCTCCCCGATGTTCTGAAATCGTTGAACATACCATCCGACAGGCTGTGTCTTCTAGCCGCGTTACTTGGAAATTACATTTTAACCGAAACCGACCTGGCTGATTTTTACAAGAAACTGAACGTCAACGCTAGTTTTAACAAAGTCAACGTGGAGCATACGATTAAAACGATCGCCAATTACGTACGGGACCTTCCATCCGTCGAACCCGACGTGGTCGCGCAAAAAGTTTTCGGCTCCTTGTCGGATCCGAGGTGTTCGAAGCTGAGGCAGTCGGTTCAGTACTACATAAACGGAACTAAAGAGGGATTCTTGCATTACAAACCGGTGAAACCGAACAGAGGTAAAAAGTATTTTTATTTAAGGGGGAACCTGGTTCAGGAAACCGAAAATTGTTACTTTTAACTTTAAATCATAGTAATCAATTTAAGATCTTTTTAGCTGTTTTATTGGAAATAAAAATTTATAAAAAAAATTTTTATTTGAAACATATAAATCAAACAAATTTTTAAACTTCATGAACTTACCTTCTATTTGAACTAAAAAAAATATTAGAAAGTTGAAAATTTCTTCAATATTGAAGAAAACTTTCATTTTTTATCCACAAAATGATTTGCAAAAAATAAGCATTTTTTATACAATGATTTTAGTTTAAATAGAAGCTTTAAAATAAGCCCTGGTTCATTGAAATCCGTTGATTACAATTTGTTTAAAAAAATTCCAAATTTTTTTCATCCTCTAAACCAGGTCCCCCCCTTAACCGAGTTTCTGACGATAATTCTGTTTTTCTTATGGATACACATCAATAGACGTTGTTTCAGTACACAAAATAGATTCGAAGCAGAACGTGCAACAGCAGTCAAATTTATCAGAAACACCGTCGACCTCGGAGGTGGATTCAAATTTGGAAACGTCGAGATTCGCTTCTGAAACGGTGGAAAGCGAACGGGAGAGTTTAAACGCGTACAAACAGGCAACAGCGAACGCGAAGTCCGCCCCTCAAATTGTGATAGATCCGCCGGGTCTTCAGGGTCACGGAGACGCCGACAATATTAGAAGCGAAGACGAGCAAAGTAAATTTAAATATCGTCGGAACGTTAAATATTATTTTTACAATTTGAAATTAATAGCCGTCCGTTTTGTTCAGGTAACGGGCACGCGATTAACGGTACACACAATCTTCTAATTAGTTCGTCAAGTTCGAGTAGCAGCTCGTCCGCCACGTCTCCGTCCCATGCGACGGCCGATTCGGGGAAACAAGGGGAAAAGATAACCAATATTCCTACCACGGTGCCGGAAGTAATGCGCACCGCGTCTGAACGACATCAGAAAGGATTGATGTCACCGCATATTTATCAAATTCTCATCGCCGGCGAGATTAAATTGCCTGTCCTACTCGAGGACGAAAATCACCGTGAATTCCCATCTATTCATCTTATTTATAGACCTGTGAGACAGATGGTATACGCGATATTATTTAATCTACATCACCGAATGTATTTAGCTGCTAAGAGTAAAGAGAAAGGAGGTGAGCAAAGTTACCTTTGAGAATCATCTATGAAAATTAAATATTACTGTCTATTAGGGATGTGCGGATTCGGGCAGGCTCGGAAAAAATCGGGCGGGCTCGGGCGGGTTGACTGTTTCGGGTCAAGTCGGATAAAGTCGGACGGATTCGAACGAGCTCCCGCGGACCGCGACCCAACTCTCGTGTACTTGTTAATGCTTGCAATAAGCACGTTCAAAATCTATTTTGTCATTTCAAATAAATTCGTTACGAGTATTATTTTTCCATATAAAAATTATCTTATTCCAAAATTCCACATGAAACAGATTTTGCACATGCTTATTGCAAATATTAACAAGTGCATAAGAATTAGGCCGCAGCCCGCGGGAGCTCCCACGAGTCTGCCCGACTTCATCCGACCTGACCCGAAACAGTCGGGCCACCCGACTGCACGTATGCTCGAGCCCGCCCGATGTTTCCCGAACCGACCCGAATATCAAGGCACATATCACTACTGCCTACTGTATGTTTAATTTTTTTTTTTTTAATAGATAGTGAAAAAATAGAAGTCCCAGATGTTGTGATAAAGGAGTGGGTATGGTCCAAGTCAAATCCATACCAAACTCCTGAATTAGTTAAGGCGGAACAGATTGGCTGGGGTGTTCCTACGATTCAGCGTTTGTGGTTTGGGTAATTGTCTTTCGTATGCGTTTTGAATAAGCGTTAAAAAATTCACCTGGTGTTTCTCCGTTTATAGGACAGGTATAGACGACAAACGCCGTCGGTTGCGAGGATTCTTGACCTGTATGAGGTCGGATACGCCTCTTATGTTAAATACTTCTTACGTACCGCAACACCTTTTAGTCATGGCATGTGTACTAAGGTAAGCAATAATTTATTATATTTTAATTGTTATTAATTTATAATGATACATGTTTACAATTTTTTTTTTTATAGATATATTATGTCGTTTTCTGATAAAATAAAGATTCTACGTCGTCAGGAGTTAGATGCTTTCATTGCACAAGCATTTTCACCCGAGCTTATGAACGCTCAGTATTTACAAGATCTCCAGGTATACTTGATCATAAGAACCAAAATTCATTTCTTAAGCCTTAACATACCAAGTCTAAGTCGTGAATGTTGTTTACCAAGCAGAGCCTTCTGGTATTTTTAAAATTTCTCAACATTTTAGCGTGGAAGGTTACTCAAATTAGGTTCTTTGGATGTCTAAAAATATATATCAGTTAAATAAGCATTATTAGCTGCGGCGAATGCGCTTTTGTGGGCTTAAAAACAGCAGCTCCCTTTTATTGCTAAGTCAAGGGAACCGCCTGGTCATAAATGGGCGGGCTCCGCGCTCGGAGCCCCAAGTGTGTTTTTATATATTTTTTTTTATTTTTGAGCGAACGTTTTATAGCACTAATTATGTAATATTTATCTTAAACGGATCCTGGACACATATAAAAATGAAGAATAAATTTGTTGGTATAATTACGGCAGAACCGGGTCTCTGCCAGAACCCCAAGTGTGTTTTTATATTTTTGAGCGAACGTTTTATAGCACTAATTATGTAATATTTATCTTAAACGGATCCTGGACACATATAAAAATGAAGAATAAGTTTGTTGGTATAATTACGACAGAATCACCAAAAATCACTCTCTGGGGTCCTTTGGGGACCCCCCTTGGTATGTTAAGGGTTAACCAGAAATTTACTTATTATCAGTCTTATTATACAGCTTCCTTTAGTGACATCGCGCGGAGTACAATTAGCTACATTGTTTATGACCGGCGTCGAGACCGCTCTTTTAGCCAACGACGCCTGCGGGGCGCCTATCCCGTGGCTGATGTGCTGCCCGTGGTTGTACTTCGACGGGAAACTGTTTCACCATACGTTAGCTCGCACTATGATCGCGAAAAATTTACTGGAACTTTGCAGTGGTTACATCGATCGTGTCGTGAAAGTCGAACGAATGAGGAAAGCTGTACTGGAGGGTATTAATGTTATTTATGCGCGTACACCGTTACCCGTCTCGAGAGGTAATTCTAAATACTTATTAAAAATTAATACAAATTTCATTCTCCCTTCCAACAGCCTTAATGTGCCACGTATGTTCCGAGTGGTACATTCTCGGATTGGAAGGAGATCATATTCAGCTGTATTGCTTCGTGGACTTCGCGCATCTGTCTTAGTCTGCGAATCTCGACGCTGATACATTTGTTAACGTTCAATTTATGAGTGCAATTAACACGTTGTTGACCGGCAATTTTCTCGTGTCACCTACTATTACCTGGGTTTCATCAATTGAATTAGATAACTCGTGACCGGTCAACAATGTGTTAACATTTATAATTGATGATTAATGAAATGCTTCTTCTGCGACAGCTATTCCTGTATCGGTGCCGCAGAACATTTTAAGCGGAACGATGCCCCAACGCGGCTTGATGCGTCGCCCAATACCGTCCCGGGGTGGACAGTTAGAAATCGCTGGAGTGGTGGTGGGACAGTGGGGCCCAAATTACGGCCAACCTGGCCGCCTACCTCAGCCCCTGCAGGGACATATTCGTGGACGGATTCCGCCACAGGTAGGACGTTATGGACGCAATCATTTAAATGCGACTGAATGAAACGAAAGTTACATCTTTTCATTTTATATATTTTTTTTTTTTTTTTAAGTTTTTATAGCCTTTATGTACACAGCCTGAGAGCCTATTTTGAATAAAAGATCCCTTAAATATTATTGAAGTTGCATCAAGTACAAGTGTGTTTAATTAGTATTTTTTTTTTTATTGGTACCATTCTTTTTTATTTAATTAAAATAGTTGGTGAGTAGAATTATCTCTCTAATTTAAAACTCTGCGTTCACGTCGTCAGTTGAAAGTTATACCGTTCGAAATGATAAAGTTATGTAGTACAACTTTTTAAGGCGTACATTGTAGGTAACGTCGATCGGCGGTCTCAAGTATGGTCTGCCGCGAGGCTTCAACCCAATGGGTCGACCCACGTTTCAAACCCGTGGTACTAACCGTACGCAACTGGCAGGACGTGGGAAAAAGACGCAGATGAAGGTGATGAGATATCATGTTCGTAATTGAATAATGGTATTTTATTGAAGTGCACTAATCTGTAGTGATTTATATAGGCAACTGGTAAAAAGAAGGCTACCGTTAAAAAGAACAAAGAAAATGAAAAGAAAGAGAATAGAGGACGTGGTAATAACATCGATGGAATAACTGATTATAAGTAAGTTGAATATCTCTGTGCTTACAGTGAGAGGCAAAAGTGAGTATGGGGTTTTTTGGGAAGCTATAAAAATTAATTCACTAAAATATATATTTTCATCTTTTTAAAAAATTACAATTTGTTGAAATCGTGAAGAAAAATAGTTCATCGAGATTGGTCAACGCATTTAAAAGATATAAGTAATTAAAATTTATCTGAATCTACGAAAGACATATTTTAAATTTTCATTACAGACTCGCATAAAAAAGTTGAAAAATTACCATTTACTATTTCAACAAATTGTAATTTTTTTAAACGGTGAAAATACGTATTTTAGTGAATTAATTTTTACAGCTTCCCAAAAAACCTAGTTATTTAGTCCAATTTTAATTAAACTAAATTATTCTACTCACTTTTGCCTCTCACTGTCCAATATCAATCATAGTGTCGGTTCGTCTAGTGAAAAAGCACTGACTTTGGAGTCCAAGTTTAACCGCAGCATATATCATAAATCTAATTATTTAATAAAAGCGTTAAAATAATTAACATAATCATCTGATAAAAGCTTTAGAATATTCAATAATTTATTTGAAATTACAAAATACATTAGAATTACAAAATACACTATACGAGTATTTTGTAATTCTAGTGTATTTTGTAATTTCAAATAAATTATTGAAATTCTAAAACTTTTATCAGACGATTATGTTAATTATTTTAACGCTTCTATTAAATAATTAGATTTATGATATTTCCTGCGGTTAAACTTGGACTCCAAAGTCAGTGCTTTTTCACTAGACGAACGGGCACTATGATTGATATTGTACACGCGTTGCAAGGAAATCTGGCCAGACGTTAAAATTTATTTATCCCATCAGCGATACGATTCCAAACATGAATGCAACAAAAGATGCACTGCCAGTACCAGGTCAATTCGAGGACGCTGTTGAGAATAGCAAAGGGATAGAAAAAGGGCAGGGTGATGCGTCGCTGGTCGTTCCAGTCGTCGCTGAAAATTAGGTATTTATACGTCACCTTTTTATTGACTTTTAAACCTCCCGGATGTGACTCAAGACTGCAATTAAAATCTTAGAACGTGTAACGAGTAATCATGCGGCAATTACATTTGAAGGTTTATACACGTGAGAATATTCACCATAGTACTATTGTTTTTATGTATACACATAAGGAATAATATTTAAGATCATTTATGACATTCTTTTCACAGTTCAGTTCCTTTTATTTCTTTCTTCTTTAATTCAATCACATTAGATTTTGTATAGCCGGAAAGAACCTTCAAATGTTACACGCAGAAGGACTCAACAATGTCTAAAGCTCTGATGGGGCCAAAACTAATTAAACTAATATAGGAGACAAAAGCATCGGTTAACGCGATGTCAAGATATGTAACACAAGGATAGACCCATTTCCGACGTACACGATACGATGTCCTCACTGCCAAACGTACCATTCAGTGTGTAAGATAAGAGCGAAAATGAAACAAAAAAAAAAAAAAAAAAGAATTGTGCTTGTGTTAACACGAGCGTGTTTGAACTACTCCGCTCGGAATCACCATAAGGATGAACTCGACTGATTAGTGTATGCGTGCGCTAATTTTACTAAAAAAAAAAAAAAAAAAATTAGAAAAAAGAAAAAAAAATGGAAAAAGAAAAAACAAAATACGAGAGAGCAAAGTCGTCAGCTGTTATAAGTATTTAATTCTTAAGAAGCGTGATTATTTTTTTTACAATGAAAATATATATTTTCCGGTATTATATGAAATGCGAGCATTGACACTCTTGGTATTCTGATCTGGTCGCGATAATTCTAGTGTAAACGAACGATATATTATAATAATATAGGGAAAACGAATTTACATGGACGTTGACGGACGAACAAAATCTACTTAGGACGTGTACAGAGAGACCCAGTACTGCGGAATAGTTTACTGGTTTTTGTTTTGTAGATAAACCGCGAGGCAGGATACTGAGAATATTCATTAGCAAATGGAGACTGATGCTTTTCATATAGGTAAAATATATATTTATATATGATTTAGGTTAGAAATTCCCCCGATAGCATATTATATGTAAGTTGTGATTAAAACTCATGTGCAAGTATGAGTGGAGGTATATGTCCTAAGAGTGTGAGGATGTAAGGGAGAGAAAGAGTATTGTTTTCTTTATTTTTTTTATTTTATTTTTTTTTTTTTTTTTTTTAGAAAAAAGCATCGTTTAAAGAGAGGAGAAAATGTTGATGCACGACTGTGAATGCGAATATAGGAAATGAAAAATAAATAATGTATATAAACGTGGGATGTTAATAGCGTGTCGGTCCATGTACATGCGCGTAACATATGAAATAACGAACAAGTATCGTGTCCACGCTTGTACGCGGCCTGATCGATATATTTATTTGCTGTTGCGTCGAAAGGAGAAAGGAACGAGTGATTTCGGAACGAATTACAAATTTCCATGTATGATAAGATTTAAAAAATATGTACCCTATGTGATCCACGGAGAGTGTATCGTAAGAGTATCGGGTTTGAATTTTGGAAAGAAAATGAAAGCTAAGTTCTTCGAAAGAGCGTTCTCTTGCGGATACGCTTCCGGTATCGTTTGAAAAATATGCTACAAGCGTGTTGATCACGCGAATTTTCCATGCGTTAATCAGGGATATATTTTTCATTTGGTTGAACGAAACGAGAACCAAAGAGCGCATAATAAATTCTACCAAAAGTTTGTTTCATTTTTTTTTTTTTTTTTTTTTTTTTTTTCAACTCAGATTGAAAATTCTGAAGGGAAGACACTCGCTGTTGCGATAAGAGATTTGCCCCCTTCTGTAGCATATTTTCAAAGATATGTATGTCCCCCGTTTAATTGTACATATGAATAGTTTACTTTAGAAGTGGCGTGAGATTGGTGTACATAAAAATGAATAGCCGGCGATCGTATACTTGATGCGCGCGACGGCATAAAATAGGAGATGATTATGTTTAAAAAAAAAAAAGAAGAAGATACTATTTATGCGTAGAATAGTCGGAAAGACGTTCTATCAAAGATTCATTGGAGTTTGAAGAATGGAAGGTGTTTTATCAGTAAAATATGATAATTAACAGAGAAACAAGACAGAACACGGTTATTAAGGAAAAGATCAAAATGGTAAAAAAAAAAAGAATATTGGGAAAGATGGAGATGTGTCTAAAGTGCAGAAGTAACATTAAAATAAATAAGAGAATGAACGAGAGAGAGAGAGAGAGAGAGAGAGTTAGAGAGAACGATTGAGAGAGAGAAAACAAAAACCATTTATTGAGATAATATAATGAGAGATAAGATAAAAATGTTATATTTTTGTAGATTTGTTATTGCGTAAAATGCATTAAGACAATGAGAAAACTTTATATAATTTGAGCGACGGTTAAACTGAGCCTGAAAGAGTTATGCGAGTAATTAAGATCGTGAAGAGAATGGTATTAAAGAGATGAAAAAAGGGGTGAACAAGTGCTTTAGACGAGAGACGATGGTATGTTGAACATGTTTGACATCCGTGATTAAAAAGAAAGAAAAAAAAAAAATAATAAAATAAAATAAATATCTCGTTAATTTTTCTGTGTCTCCGAAGCGCTCAGTGATCTGAGTTGCTTGTAATAAATGAAACCTAAGAAGGAACAATAAGAAGAAAAATATGAAACCAAAAACAAATTGAACAAAAAAAAAAAAAAAAAGAAACTCAATGTCAACTTTCATTGTGAGCTATCTATCAGCGTATGCATATAATAAACAGTTTTCCCAATGCGATTCAAAGGAACGAACAGAGAAATGAAATCTCATCGATGGAACTATATTTCATAGATATAAAGAAAAAACTAATTTGCGCTATCATTTAATGATTCAATATACAGGGTGTCCTAAAAAGAGTGTTAATCCTTAAAGGGGGTGGTAGCTGGGGCGATTCTGAACAACATTTTCCTTTACGAAAATATTGTTTGAAGCTTCGTTTTTGAATTATTAAGGAAAAATAGTGGCGAATCAGAGCGTGCATAGCGCGTGGGCGCAGGATTCGAGGTTGCCGTCCCTGAGCCCGCGCGCTACGCGCGCTCTCATTGGTCAGGGGTTTTTCCTAAATAATTCAAAAACGAAGCTTCGAACAACATTTTCGCAAAGGAAAATGTTGTTCAGAATCAGCCCAGCTACCACCCCCTTAAAGGACTAACACTCTTTCTGGGACACTGTAGAACATAGATACACGTTGTTTTCCCAAGTACTGTATAAGTGCACAGATGTATGCAGAAACAAAAACAAAACGACAAAAAAAATACGCCATGTATCTTCCTTGAATATTCCAAAATTAATAATCGACGTATAAACAACTTATAAACATAATAAAAAGCTAGAAGCAGTGACTTTTCAGATCTGACGGATGAATATTGAAAAAAGAAAAAAAGAGTAAAATGCCACTTTACGCTTTTGTGTAAAGAATAGATTTTCTTTCTGAGAAATCAATCATCCTGAACGTGCAACCAGAACAAAATAAAAACTAAAAGAGAAAAAGGGAGGGGAAAAAATGACATAAAATGAAAGAAGAAAAAAAAAGAAAACCATGATGGTAACACAACGTGATCAGTTGCTGCTGCACTGATATGAGATAACGCAATAAATGTAAGCAAAGGAATAATTTAATAATAGTGTTGAAGCGAACAAAGCAGAACCATGGATTGAAATAATAAATAAAATGGAAAGGGAGGGGAAAAATGAAAAGAAAAGATTTATGATGATAATCCATATTATTGAAATATACAACAGAGCAGAAGTATCGCAAAATAAAAAAAAAATGAAACGATAGTATAATATTATTATATATAAAAGGAAGAAAAAGTGGAAACTTGTGTAAAACATAATAATAATGATCGACGTAAAAGGAAGGAACAGGTGCGCGCCTGACTCGTGCCTGCTTTTCATTGTAATAAGTAGAAAATGGGAAAGAAAAGATACACAACAGAAAAGTAGGGGCCCACGAATAATACTTTGTTTAAACGATAGACGATGTAACCACGCGAGAAAAAAAAGTTAAGGACAAAAAACGAAGCCAACACGTAAACGAAATAATTAACTCCTTGTGTATTTAGAAAGTATAAAAAACCAATTGTAATCGATCTTCGAACATTGTGTGTCATGTTTGTGGTAAACAGAAAAATTAATTGTACTTCGACGTTAAGACACATTTTTAACTCTCGCTAATTGTAACAATCATGATGCTGCATCATGAAGATGTTACACTGAGTGCTTAATAAGTGAGAAACAATTGAACTGAAGAATGTAAATTAAGCAACTGCATTTTTCTCTCTTTTCTTTTTCTCAAATCTATGGAAACATTTTTTGTGTAATCAATATGTCAGTTTTCAATAGACTGGTTTCTTCGTTTCTTTTTTTTTTCTATTTAATCAGTATTGTTGTTTTATACTTTTGTTAGAGCAAGCTTTTACTGATGCAGCGAATAGACAAAAGTTAAAAAGAAGAAACATGTATTTGTTTCTCCCTATGACAGACAGAGAAAAATCTTTGCTGTTTTGCTGTTTGTTTATCATTATTAATGTAACGTTCTTTATTTTTTTTTTTTTTTTTTTTTTTTTTTAATTGTTTTTCATTCTTTATTTGATTTGTAATCACAGTATAGTAGAACCTTAGGTCTTTTCACAAAAATTACATTATATGTGTATATATACATAGGAAAATATATATATATATAAAAATGGAGCAGATCATTTAATTTCAATGATTTGTTTTAAATGATTGCCACAAAAAAAGGATAATAACGATGCGTTTATATTATTATTTCATTGTATCATTGATGGAAGCACGTAACCAATGGGCATTAAACAATAAAACGTCTAACGTTTTCTCACTTTTCTGTGTAACGTATGCCATGTTATAGCTTCGTGCTGGTAGAATTCCAGAATTTTTGTATAGCAACCCAAGAGAAACATAAGGAGCATCCTTTATGAATGCTAAAAAATAGAAGAGCGAAAGAGATATTGAGTTGCTATGATGCTCGATACATAAATTTTAAGTTTCTCTTTTACCATAGTTTTTGCTTGCATATTCTATTAACAAAATATATTAAAAATACGGTAGCAAAGACAGTAAATAAAAAAATATTAATAAAGTAATAATAATAATAATAAAGAAAAAACACAAAAAAAGAAGACGTAATGAATTAAAAACACTTATCAATGTAGCTGCAAAACGTATGTGGGCCCCATCCTTATATATTCTTATTAAATATTACATAACGTGTATTCCGCTATTATTTTTCATAGCTAAAGGAAACAACAAGAAGAACGATGATTTAATACACAAACGCGTACAGAGGGTAACTGTTACATGTTACAATTTATAATCATTGTATGTTTCTTTTTCTGTTTTACTCACTTTTGTTTTATAATACGTAATAAGATAATTGATGAACAAGTGTGTGTTGCGCATGGAATGTCAAAGAATTTTAATGATCATGGGGAAATATTATTAACAAACGGTTTGGGTTTCAGCGAACAGAAAGATTGCATTTAGCAAGCGAATGAAAATTGATCATGGACTGATTGTAAGCGCGCTATGATTTTGTCAATGATTGTATTATTTTGAACCTATATGGGTCGGTTGGTGGTAGCTATTTCCAGAAGTAGATGAGAAACCAGTGTAATATATAAACGTTTCCAAACTACATATTTGTTGTTATAACAGGTGTTGAAACTATTGCTGTGTAATGATTTAACGTTGCGTCTCTTAATCAGCAAATATTATTCGTACACACAAGCTAGTCCAATCCAGAGCAAAGTTTTGCGCGCAGACACAATGCTGTATTAGTTGGTAATTCTCTGACGTGTTTAAAACATTTCAGAGAAACTTTCAAACCGATCCATTTGGTCTTAGACATTTTTCTCTGTAACACAAAATCACATCAATGTATTCTTGTTGGATTATTCTACCTTGTAACTTAAAGTTGTAACGTATACCCCCCCCCCCCCCCCCCAAGTCATGTCTAGTGTCAAGCAGAGCTGATTCTATGCTTTTGCTGGTTTGGAAAACATAAGAAAACGTTTTTAATGCAAAACTAAAATAAAAGGGGAAAAAAGAAAGCAGAGCGCGAAAAATTTATTAATTATTCGTATATTTGTGGATAAAATGAAAGGAACAAAGTTTTGAGTCCAATTGTTGTTGAATAATTTAAGTACAGGCGTGGTTGAAAGATAGAGAGGAAAATAATGAAAACGGAAGAATCAGTGCTGGCGAAAACACGAGGCAACCAAAAAATTATTATAAAAGTAAAAAAAATGTCACATTTAAAATACTTTTAAAGTGGATACATATTTGGAAAGTAGGAGGTAATCATTATATTAATGTAGTGGCAACTCTATAATACTGCAAAAGAAAAGAAATCAATATATTCAATAATTATTCGAAATATTAAATGAAAAAAATGCACTTTAATGGATGTTGTAACAATTTAGAGCATTCAAATTGCATCGACATATTTCTGTAAATCTGTTCTTTGGAATACAACTGCTCTGCTAGCTGATACGCGTCTTTCTTTGATAAATAATATAAGATAATCAATAATGATTACGTATTGGGAAACGAAGAGCAATCTTTTTTTCTTTACCCCAACGAGCAGAGAAGTTTCTCCAACGACAGATATTTTTTAAGTTTGTTTCTTTTAACAAAAATATATATATGATATATTTACCTTCGTTTTTCTTGTATAAATGCAAATTACACGACACACATGCAAAGTAGAAAGAGCAGTTATGGTTCATAGAGAATCTCTATTGAATTGAAGAAGATGAAAACTTGGCAGGACGCACTGCGCAGTTTGAAAAAAATAAAGGAAACAAACTTTCAATGAAGTTTTGTAAGAAAGCTGTTCGTGTGAGAAGTTCTTGGAGATGGTTGGCTTACATTTTCGGAAGTTTAATGATTTATTGAAACGTGTTGTCATGTCTTGAATACAATTAAAAGAAAATATTTAAAAAAAAAAACAAGCCCATGCATCACTGATACCACCTTTGATCATTGTACGACTTCCTTTATTTCATGTCTTATAAAAGCATGTTTATTATAAATTATTAAAATTATTGTTCTTTCTACAATAGGATATCAAAATGAATCGTACACAATATTCGTAACATTCATCACATTTTATTTTCTCATTCATTATATAAGTTGCTTAAATAGGAGTATGCTTTGAGGGGTAGCAATACAACCGGCTTTTGTATTCTTGAATATCAGTGATACAATGCACAGAAGATTTATCTTCAAGCTCTTCTGTGATAGGAAGATAAGTAAGCGGATACTTCACGTTTGCAACTTTTTCCAGTGTCGAATTAGCTGCAAAAGAAATATGAATACAGCATTTCAAGTTGTTGCATATTTGGTAAATTAGTTTCATAACTCCTGCAAGACCCGGAAATGAGGGGTTGCTGGGGTGATCCTGAACAACTTTTTCCTTTACCAAAATGTTGGTCGAAGCTTCGTTTTTGAATTATTCAGGAAAAACCCCTGGTCAATGATAGCGCGCGCAGCGCGCGGGCTCAGGGACGGCAGCCTCCACTCCTGCGCCCGCGCGCTACGCACGCTCTGATTGGCTAGTGTTTTTCTTTAATAATTCAAAAACGAAGCTTCGACCGACATTTCGGTAAAGGAGAAAGTTGTTCAGAATCACTCCAGCAATCCCCCATTTACAAGACACCCTGTATACTTACAGTTTTGTTCATTTAAATCCAATTCACTATCATTGTTTTCTTTAGGTTCAGAAGTTCCAACCACGTGGATGCTCAGCTTTCTCAAATTCTTTCCATTAAGCGTGTGAGAAATCATCCATTCTCTCAGTTCCTCTATCGTTATCTGCTCAATCATAAGTAACTCTTTTTCAATTCTATCAAACATATAATTGCCCGACACGATTTCTGGCCAGTTTCTATTCACTTCCTCCTTCAACTGAACATCGTCGCACAATTTTTGTTTCGTCAGTGCCTCTTTGATGCTCTCTAAATCCTCATCCGACATTTCTTTTAAAATACCGTTGAACATTTGTAGAAAGGCTTCGATTCTGTTAGCCGCGTGTTCTGTGGAAAACTTGTCCGCTTGAGTATGGACAGTGACGGAATATCCGAGGATACCAAATGTATCTCTTAACAGGCAAAATACATTATAACCTAATGTCTCTAGAGTTCTGAGCTGATTGAAAAGAGGCTCCTCCATGATCATAATTATTAATTCAATGATTACTGATAATCTGATGGATGTAATACCAGATTGATAATAATTCATTACCACTGAATTCACATCGGTTTTATTGAAATTCTTTACTTTGCAACAATATGAACCCAATGGTATCTGTGCAATTCTGATCTGTGGCATAGTGTTAGCCAGCAATGGTCCACATTTTAACGTTTCCACAAACTCTTTAACGTTCTTTACAACATCCTCTTTCCTCGTGTTACCCTGCACCAGACACTGAATGTAAACATGATCAGTAACGTATTTAATAAAGTTTCGAAACTCTTCGTATTGGACACTGCGAATGGCAACGTGCTTGTCGAGGGCGGGCCAATGGACTAGCATCAATATCGACAAACCCACGTCTGTGACTAACTTTTTAGGCTTTAGAAATATATTATAATACTCCTGGATTGTCTTCTCCTTCATCGCCTCGAACAGCTCCTCTGATACGAGATTCGCCGAGTCTGCGATATACTTGGCAATAATCGTTAGCAAAAGTGGTAACTTCTGATTAAATCCGTGCACCTTTAGCAGTATACCCCTGTCGCTCGTATACATCTCGGAATTCAATCTTGCAACTGTAGCTGGGTATAATTTTTCCACCAACAATTGTTTCAGTATCAAAACAAACAGTTCCAGCAGGGCTGCGCTGAAATTACATATTACAATTATTAATATTAATATTCCAATTATTAATATCGCAGTTATTAATATTGCAATTATTAATATCGCAATTATTAATATTGCAATTATTAATATCGCAATTATTAATATTGCAATTATTAATATCGCAATTATTAATATTGCAATTATTAATATCGCAATTATTAATATTCCAATTATTAATATTGCAATTATTAATATCGCAATTATTAATATTCCAATTATTAATATTGCAATTATTAATATTACAATTATTAATATCGCAATTATAAAACAAAGTTCTATTAAAAAATTCTCTCCGTTGCTGTTAATCAATTGATTAATAAATTACCTCTTGGGAGAACTGATCGCCATCGGTATTACGATATTAAAATACATATAACACTCGGGGACGCAGAATTTTGGATCAGGCCGATACCAAACTTCAGTTATATCGTCCGAATGAATTTTTATCGGATACTTGGACACGTCAGACGGTATCGGGATCAAAGTGAAATCATCGGTAAGGAAAACATTCGGTAATGGTAAATGAAACTCTGCCAGGGGTTCTATCGTTCTCCAACGTTCTATCCATTCTTTAGGTATTTCTATGTCTGTATATTTCGTCTTGAACCACGGCTCGACTTTCTCGAATTCCTCCTCGTTGAATTTCTTATCCAGAATAATTATGTTCACGTCCTCGGCTGTCAAGCACTTCATATACGTTTCTATACCTTCCGGATCGTATTCGAAGTACAAATCCCCACCAGTTAAATAATCCCTAGGAGGATAATAGTGCATATCTTCGCATAAATCCTCCACGTAGTCTGCCGGCGGTATTTCATCTAAAAATCTGAAATTCGTTTCCATTATTTGTTGCATCTCGTCGAAAATCCGTTTCTGTGGGCCCTCCCTTTGCATCAGGTTGATGAACGAGAATATAGCGTTTAATACTTCTGGCAATTGTTTCTGGCCTTCCTCTGTAAGCGTTAGGGATATAGTGAACAAGGCGTACATAGAAGTGTCCGCAAAACCACTGTCCGCGTTATCAATATCTATGTCAAGGCACCACATCTTTTTCTTCAGGTAACTCATCAGAGAACCTTTCCCCTTGTGACCCAGCACCCATGAGATATACTCGTGCGGCTTGCTTTTGTACAAATGCTGTACTGGCGGCAGGGACCACGTTAGATCCACTTGACGGACGTCTCTGATCGGTTTCATTTTATAGATCCGTCGGAAGTTCGGTGTATGGAACGCGTCAGCGCCTTTGAACATGCTAAAATCATCAGCCGGCAGACCGTTATTCCGTACGTTAACGAAACATTGTTTCACGTACGATTCCAGTACGTCTAATGGAAGTTTAGCTTGTATGGCAACTTTCATTCTGTGGGCGCTGTAATGACGTTCTCGGAATTTATGCAGCTCCTCGTACAATTTTTCCTCTGACACGTTGTCACGTAAGGTTACTAAATTACCCCAACCGAATTTCCTTGATGGATGATTTGCCTTTGCTAGACTACCAAATATTTGCTCTTTCCTGTTATCGTCAGAGGGTAAAGCCATCTGAAATTCTGCAACGAAGATTAAATATAATTGTGAGGTGTAATAAAATAATTGATTGTACGTACCACTTTCTACAGCCTCGCGTTCCCTGGTTATGGCATCCTTTTTCATTAGGGGATTGATAAAAAATTGAGCGAAGCGATCAAGCGCTGCTAAAAGATGTATCTCTTGTATTTCGAAGTAATATGTCGTTGATTCACAGTCCGTACAGGCGTTGTCGGAACCGCCTCTTTTTTTAATAAATGCATCAAAATCGTTTTCCTGTAAATTCATGGAAAATAATGACATTTATAATTAGCCTCTTGTTCATTAACACTAGAACTACTGACGTTGGATACACACTAATTTCTAAGTTGAAAATAATATAGAAAATTAAATAAATATTCTTTATCTCAACAATAGCCAACATACATTCCAGCAAAAGTACCTTGATGAAATTTGTAATTTAAAATAAGAAACTGGAAAGTAGTCATTTTTACCCCTTTGGTAGTTCTAGTGTTAAGATTGATACTCGAGACGAATACCTGAGGATACTTTTCAGATCCCATGAAAACCATGTGTTCTAAGAAATGTGCTAAGCCTGGAATTTCTGGTGGATCGCTGAAACTACCCACTCCAATAGACAATCCACACGCAGCCTATGTAAAATAAATGTAGCGGTTTACCAACAATAAAGAATGTTCTATAAGATCAGTGAGATGTACCATTTTTTCATCTCTTTTCAACCGTTTAGAACTGGAGGTTGAATCTTTTCCATCGCAGCCACATTCATCGTCTGTGCTTTCATTTTCGCTTTCGTCTTCGCTACCAGACTCTTCTTCACTGGTTACCTCTTCGTCCTTGCTAGTTATCTCAGCCCCTAAGTAAGGAATATTTTTTATTTTTACCAATTACTAAATGAATAATTCAGAATAAAATAAATGGATGAAGAAATTACACAAATCAGAGGAGATTTCCAAATGTTTAAAATGCGAAACATTTTGATATCTTTCTTTTTACCTTTATTGGCATTATTATTTTGCGAGCCCGGCGAGTGTAAATCTGCTATTAGTAAAGCAGTTAAACCATTTTCTAGTTGAATTACTCTGGAATGATGGAACAAAGAATCAGTGAAGGTACGGTAAGAAATAACAATGTCTTATTTCAATATCGTTGTTACCTATACTCCTTTTTATCATTTTCAGATTTAACTGGCGGGTCTAAGTATGTAACTTTTATCTGTGATGTATCCATTAGACTGTTTTCTTCATTCTCAACTTGATTTTCACTTTGCATGTTGTCAACCACCATTGAGGTAGAGTGGTTATGTTCTGTCAAAGTATTTAAATTTTTTATAGAATTACTAGTGCTCTGATTTGGCTTTAATTTCTTTTCAGGTGGACTTTGAAGAGATCGTTTTAGCATTCTCGTTGAATGAAAGAACTTTTTACTCCCGCATTGGAGCACTTTTGTAACGAGGTACCTCGAGGAACACGTTACATACAATTTCATATAGCTTCTATCCCCACTCTATCCTATTGCTATAGAAACAAAAATTCAAATGAACCAATGTATTAGAAATGTTTTTTAATTGATTAAATTGAAATTTGCAGTATTGTAAAAATTAAAATTCCTCTCGAAAAATGTCAAGTTAGTTTCTGCATGACCAACAGGTGGAAATAACAATTAAGATGAAAAGAGTAAACGAATTTTAGGAACAAACCTATTTTGTTTTTTGGGCTGTACTTCCGAAAACCTCCATGCTCCAAATTGGCTGAAATTTTGGGAATAGGTTTCTTTTTAATAAAAATGATAATTCCGAGAAGGATTTTTGGCGATTCGAGAAAAAATTTTGTATCATTTGGGTGGCCTTCCCTACTTTACCGATGCAATTATAACGGCAGGAATACAAAAAAATTTTTTTCGATTCGCCAAAAATCCTTCTCACAAACATTGTTTTTATGCAAAATGAAGCTATTTGCAAAATTTCAGCCAAATCGGATTTGACAGGTTTTCGGAAAAATAACCTAAGTCAGTACGTAATTAGTATTTTGCGAAGAGCGTAATTATGAAATACAACTTGATAAATAATTATGGAAAACATATTATTTATTAGGTAAAATTTATATTGTTTTTAATACGATTTTTCAATCATAGATGTCTCATGCCTTTAACGTTTTCTCGCAAGTACTTGAAGGAGTACTTAGTTTCTATATAAAGGGGTTCGAAGAGGAGTGTAGTATTGGGTCCGATGTGCCTGGGAGAATATTTGAGCATGGTTCTATAATTTAAAAGTTTCCATTAATTTGAACAACAGTTCGAATTAATCATCCTCTTAGCCCTAGGTACGACGTTGACCCTTTTGCTCTTTTTTTCTTTCTCCTTTTCATTTTAATTCATGTAACGTCTACTTAAATTTTAACGAAAATTAAATTTAAGTAATGGGGATATTAAGTACCACATAAAATCCAGTAAAATTGTTATTTATTGTTTATGCAAACGGTTATACAAAATCATACTGGTATCCCCTGTTCCTCTTCTGTTTTCTATATCTGAAAGGGAAACATCAATGAAAAGTTTTCTTCAAATAATAATGTAGTAAATACATTGTGCTTACTTTAACATGTGCATACAAAATAATTCCAATCAATGTCAAAGTTATACCAATTACTTGATTTATATTAAGGGTTTCATGAAATAGTAACGATCCACCTAAAAGTAACAGGCAAAATTTGAAATGTCCTGCCATGTTATAACTAGTTATCAAATAAGGAACCAAATATTTCAGAATCATCTAGTGCATCTAGTACTGAAGAAAGGATACGTTAATGGAGATGTTTTTCCTATTATCCAATAGGATGTTAAGTTGACAAGGAATGCTACTATACCCGATAATATGACCATGATCTAGGTATAAAACACATAGAATTATTTATTTTAAGCTTTCCATAAACGCAATTCGAATAATAATGTTTCAGTTGATTAACATACTAAGTCTATTAATGACCAACTTCTTGTCAATGTCTGTTCCACAGGTTCTAAGAATGGCACAACGAAGAATAACATAACAGCGGATAAAGGTGCTTGATAATATAACAACTGCATCGGATCCATTTGAAATTCTCTTTGCTTAATATTTATCATCTAGAAATGTCGAAATTTCTATACTTCAATTATTTACTTTAATGGTTTAGAAGGCAAAAGAGGATATTGTACCACTTGGTATAAAGACATTAGAAATACTCCCATTGATGCATATACGGTTCCAATAATATTAAATTGAATATCATAGTAAAAATTAATTACTACTCCTATCGTGATAAGAATCAGTGTTAATTTTACAAATATGCTAAATTGTTTTCTATAAAATACTATTTGCATCATTATCACGCAAGGAGTTGTCAGCATTTTAGCTACTTGGTAAGTTCCAACTGTATTGTGCTCCAAACTTAAGTTGGTCAGCACGACAAATCCACAAAATATTACAGTGATCAAGAACATTTCCTTGATCGCAATATCTTTTATACAGAAAACATCAAATTTTTCACATATTATCAATCCAATAAAAGTGACGACAAAATGTATCATAGAAAGTGTGATATTTGGAAAACCAACATTTATGTAAAGCCATTTATTTAATAATACAATTACAATAGAAAAGAAGATGTTCAGTATCAAATAAAATGCTGTAAGAATTTTTTTCTTCATGTCTTTTCCTTCACCGTTATTTTAGAAATTGATAAACAAATTATTATAGATTATGATTTATGCGGCAACTGATGCATCTTAAAATTTACGCAGAATCTTTTCATATTCATAATCATTTGCAATCATTAATTAGATCTTTTATACATGATTCGTGTACCGATTGAACACATATGAAGTTGGCGCGCTACCGGCAACGGCGAATCGAGAGTATCGAGAGTATCGAGAGCGGCAAAATAAGAAGCGCGAAGCGTGAAGCATGACACGAACGGTTGGTGCCCGCTAAAATTTCGAGCAACACTGTGATGTAATTTTAAAGTTAAATTGATCAATTGTTAGCTTGAAAATAAGGTAAAGAATGGAAGAATTCCCATTAGGTTACCGTGAAGTTGTGCCTGATCAAACAGTTCCAGAAAAATGGAACGAAGTTACATTGAACACGGGTGAGTAATTATAACCTCTTTGTTAACCGGAAAAATGAAATTATTATTGAAAAATATCTAAAACGTACGTCTTATTTCCATTCGTGGATACGAATGATTATTCTTCTTTTAAAATGCATATTACTTCAGTTATTAAGTATTAATTTTCTGTGAAAGAGGTTTCTAACCTTACTTTATTTGTATCTTGTCAAATAAACAGTTATTTCATATCATGTACGTTACAGGTGGAAGCCAAAGCACTTTACAAGACATAAAAGTTCCAGAAAGAGCTGGCGGTTATTCGTACAATGATTGCTCAAAGTATTTTACGCGCAACCGCTTTATTTATTGGCATATCTGTCACGATGTGCTAGAATTGATCGAGCATAGTTTAGATATTAATTTGGCCAATTGTAGAGTAAGATATAAATTTACAGATACACCGCTTTTGGATGGTATCTCTATACACGAAACAATTAATTCGGTTATCATATTGATAGTAACTGTTTCTAGCGTTCATAAACTATCATTTCCTCACCCCGAAACAATTCATAAAAATGTAAGTATGTACCTTCTGAACCACGAAGAACATGAATGAAAATTATTAACATCAATTTGTATTTTACAGGAACATTCGTTGAGTACATACAAAGATCTAGGTATACAGTCAATATTTAGCGAAGCATCATCACAAAATGCGAAAAGAATCAAAGAGGATCCTCACATGTTTCATGTTATTACTAGTGCAGGAACTACAAGTAAGTAATTAATTAAATGTATTAAATTTATTCAGTATGTTCAACTCATTTGTGTTTTCACATAGATTTTCCAGTGCCTCATGCAGCTGCTTCATGGTTTATTCCTCCTCAGGAAGCATTATTTGCTCTTGCGTACAATTCAGGGACTATTCTTCTCCTAAGACTAGACACGAAAACCGGTCTAGTACACACCAGCGAATTGAAACAGGATTCTATTGTGCCAAGATTTCTAAGCGGTATAGCGACTGCTTTCGGTGGCCGTAGTTCCGAAGCTCACGTAGCTATGTCTCTAACGATACACAGTTGCGGAAATGATACGTATTTGTTCGCCCTGTGTCGCGAGGGAAACATTCGCATGTGGTCGTGTAACAAAGCCCAATGCGTGGCAGTAACCGATGCAGCTATCGACCATCGTATCGCATCCCAGGGTGCCCAGGGTCACATGTTGAGGAAAACGTTAGGTCCCAATAATGAATTATACCTGGGTATCTTTTTAAAATTTAGCACCAGATGCGAGTTCAGTGTTTTAAAGCCCATTCAAGACAATGGGATATTTAAATTTATCAGATTGTGTACGAGATTCGCGCAAGACGTAAGTATTTACTAAATCAAGGTTTATTCTTATCAGTAAATCTTATCTGAATCAATATTTGCAGCAACACCTAGTCGATTTTTCTTTCACAACTACTCGATTATGGGCTGTTTGGAGGACGACCGATATGGACACTGTTGAAGTAACGCACGCACAATTATCGCTGTCCGGAACCCGTGTCAATTCCGAATGGGAAACAGCGATTCTGGAACAAACGCCGGACGCAGATTACGTCCTCGGCGATCCTGACACTGATCCGAGACAAGCATACATAGATTATATTTTTCAACCCGGACAATTTTCCTTGACGGATATAACGAAGGCGTTGAACATTTACAGAAGGTCCAATTGCATAGAGGAGAAGATCCTCAGCGTTTCCGAGTTGAAAGAACGCGTGTGCATCGCGGTGGAGGCTGAAATACAGGCTGAAATAATGGACTACGAGCTGATGGATGAAGATTATCTGGAGATCGCCAATCGTTGCTGGTCGAAATTTTATTCCTGCGTGATCCAGTATCATGCCAACAGCACCAGACCCGTTGGGTTACTATTACTACCGAACGTCTACGGAGTAATTTTACTTAAAAAATCATCGTTCTCGCTTCTGAGACCGATGGAAGCTCTGGAATATTTAATGTTCTGTAACGAAAAATCGTACACCTCTCGGTTTAAAACAACACCCGTTTTATCGCAAGACGACGATATATGCCAGGATCTCATTACGTTGATGTCGGCGCTGGTCTTGATAGAAGAACAACTATCTGAAGAGACGAAAGCAGCGATGAAGAGAGAACTGTATCATTTAAAGAGTCCGGACATCATCATCGATGATTTGTTATCAAGACTGATGTTAGAGTCAGAGGAACCCATTAGCGATTTTATTACGCATCATCCTAGCTGTCACAGGCTGTCGAATATCAGAGACATATCCAGCGCTATGGCGATGCTATTAGAAGCGTTAACGTACGACCTTGGCCAGCCGAATAAGTTGGAGATGAACGGGGACCACGATGCTTCGAAAGTTTTACTCAACATAAATCATTTTCTCAGCAGCCAGTTGGGTATCTCCGCAATAGCGAAAAGCGTAGCTCAGATAACGCTCCTGAGATTTTCAATCTGCAGAAATTTATTAATCTTGCAACAGATAATATTACTGCGACCCGAGTTATTCGATTCGCGGTCTTTGCATTCTGTTAAATCATCGTTAGCACCCAGAACGGTAGTTTTAACCCAGGCTTATTATGTTGTCACGTGGATATGCGAATCTACAGCACTGTCAGCACCTGTTCAATCACTGTTGTAAGTCAGAATTTTCCTTAAACACATCTACACAGGGGAACTACTCAAGTGTAATGCTCACTTATTAATGAAACTTTGCCACCTTGTAGAGCTCGTCCAGCTGAACACGCTTATACCCCCTTTTAGGGGCAGACGTGTAATTGTTTAACAGATATTGATAATCAAAATTTGTCCCCCTTATATTGAGAAGTATGACAAAGTCACACATATAAACGGTTAGCCCCGTGGTAAAACGCTTGACTCGTAATCTGAAGGTCCGCGGTTCAAATCTAGAGGTCCCAAATGTTTTTTTTTTTTTTTTTTTTTTTTTTAGCGCATGTTTTATGCAATGCGATTTTTAGAAAATTTCAATTATGTTTTTGATCCAGTACATTAACATTCTTACCGCATTTGGAATTTACACGCGTTTATTTGTTATGACACAAGCACTTTTAATTTCATTCATAAGTGAGCGTTGCACTCGGGTAGTTCTCCTCATTGGCAATTTCTATTTATCAAACATTATTTTTAGAGATTCCAGTATCCAACGTTTAGCAATGTTGAAGTTCGTCGACGCTAGGACGAACATAGGCTTCAGACAGCATCGATCAATGTCGTTACTAGAATTATTTATACAGAACAGTGGTGCGAAACATGCCCATAGTTTAATGGCTCATACAAATTTGAATGCAAATACTTTGATCCCCTGGCATTATGGCATGTTGACGCACGTTACGCTTATCGCACAGCTCATGTATCCTTTTTATAAAAATATTCGTTTGCATATTATAAATTAACTTTGCTTCCTTAACGAGAGCCCATTAGATGGCCAAGATCTGGGAACTTCATCTTTCCTGAATGGCTGCTGTCCAGTTGTCAGTTTCTCCTGGTTCAGGAGTACGTGAGGCTTTTAAACACATGGTGCGAATGGAACAGCGCGTCCAGGAAATTTATCCTGGCAGTAGCGTTACTGGAAATGGGAGAAGTACAGAAAGCCTGCGATCATTTCCTTCGAGCTTCTGGAGGAATTTTGACGGACGAATTCCTAGCCGATGCCCTGCTCGACTCCAGCGAAATGTCGGAGAGCAGCGCTTTGATTCAATATTATTTAAAAGTTGTCAAGTTATTCGAGGAACGCAATGCCGCCGACTGCATCGTAGAGCTCGCTGAAACGGCTATAATGATGGCCGATAAAGATGACCCTAATTTACCGACGCTGCATTCTATAGTGTTCACGCAGCATTTGAACTTAGGGCATCACACGAAAGCGTACAATTGTTTAAATTCAAACCCGGACGCTGCTCGCAGAGTTGATTGCTTGAGACAATTAGTGGTAACTTTATTTGAACGAAAGAAATTAATAGACTTGATTTCGTTCCCGTACGTTGACATGTACGAGGATCTGGAAAGGATAGTTGAGGGCAGAGCTAGAAGCGTGGATCTGATGGAAAATAATTACTACAATTTCTTATACAGTTTCCATATAAATAAAGGAAACATGCGAAAAGGTATTATTTAAAATAATTAGATGATTAACACGTTGAAAATTAATTATTAAAGCTTTAATACGTCCCACAAAAAATGTCCGATTTCACTGGGGCGTTCAACGTGTTAATGATTAGAATAATTGAGAATTGATTTTATTGCTTTTTCAGCTGCTTCTGTGATGTACGAACAAGCCATGCGTTTGAGTCAAGAATCGCAGTCGGTTCCAGTTGTATCCAGACAAGCTCAATGCTTATTAGCGTGCATTAATGCCTTACACCTTGTATCCGAGAATTACAGGTGGATCGTAAGACCTGTGATCGATCAGAATTATTCAGAGGAAATGGATGATCAGGATATACAATCAAGAAGAAGCATGAGCGACAAGGAGATCCTGAATTATAATATAAAGAAACAGATCGAGGTTCTCGAATTGAACGACATAAAGAAAGAATACTACATCGTGGACGCTAGATTGAAAGTATCAAAAATAAATTCGGAACTGCAGGTGGTCACGCACGCCGGTCCCTCGGAACTTGTCATTATTTTGTCAACTATCGGGCTGTACACAACGGCGTTACATTTGTGCGACGAGTTTAAGATAAATAAAAGTTCCGTCTTCGAGAGCCTCACCTCGCAGTGTATACGATTAAGTCGAAGAGAAGATTCGAACGCATGGGACTGGCTTATTCAGAATGATATATTCGATATCGGTCTGACTAACACGAATCTCACAAATACCGCTTGGGGATTGTTGCAGTACTTGACTCTGAGCCACGAGAAAGATAGGAGCAGCGAACTGCATAAAGCAGTTTCTAGAAAGTTACTTCAGGAAGGCGCCTTTATACCTCAGTGGTTATTAATGTCGTACAAGGTAAATCACTATTCGATTAACATCCGGAAAAGGGGGTTGCTGGGGTGATTTTGAACAACATTTTCCCTTGCGAAAATATTGTTTGAAGCTTTGTTTTTGAATTATTAAAGAAAAACAGTGGCCAATCAGAGCGCGCATAGCGCGCGCACTCAGGGACGGCAGCCTCGACTCCTGAGCCCGCGCTCTACGCGCCCTCTCATTGGCCAGTGTTTTTCGTTAATAATTCAAAAACGAAGCTTTGACCAACATTTTGGTAAAGGAAAAAGTTGTTCAGAATCACCACAGCAACTCCCCTGTATGCAATATTTAGGTCCCAATGTTTTTTGCACTTACCCAGCTTTTACTGTATTTAGTTTTTATTAATGTTTTGTTGCAGAAACGAAATGCCGCAGAACTTCTCCGTCTAATGCTGAACACCGGTAGAATATTAGAAGCTAGTGATTTGGCTGTGGAATATATTCATGCCGTGATGGGAAGCGGCAAGATAGAACATTTCGGTCTTCAATCATTCTTGACAGCTAGAGATCCACCGGTTTGGTTACCATTTAATACATTAGAAATACTTTTGTACGAGTTAAAGGAAGCCAGCGAAGAGAATTCAATATTTTCTGAGGTATTGCTTAATTTTTTTTTCGTACAAACTATTTTTAATAATAATTTGTAGGGTTGTATACGTTAATATTCTAGGGTTATCAAAAATTACAAGAAGCGTTAAATATTTACAAAGAAAAAGTGATCAGGGTATCACAGGATATGATTCAACTGAAGTTCAGCAGCAAGAAGCACTGATAGTAAGGAAAATATTTATATTACAAAAGATACATTTAGTTAAAATGATTCATTATAAAAATATTCAGTACATTTTTATGTGTATATCATGGTATAGCAAATCTTGTATCAGTCTTGATCCATAGTATTTTAAACAGACTAGAAACGATGAGACGTGTTCATCGAATTTTGGTAATAGTAATATTAACAAAAAATGTTAAGCATATATGGGAGCATGGTTGATCGACACCAATGCTGTAAATATGATAATTACACCAAGAATCGAAGCGACAATCGCGGCAACGATATGCGGACATCTTTTGAATAATACCTGAAATTATTATAAATTTAAATTTGTATTCTAATGAAAAGTGAATAATTTCTGAAAGTATTACCATTAAAAGGACTACCAATGCGAGAACAAAGATTGTTCCAATAGGTAGAAGAAACGATGCTGCCCAATAATGTCTCTGTATTTCAGGATCTAAAGACAATCACAACAGCTTATATGAATAAAAATAGAAAAAGGACTTTATAAAGAGGAATTATGCAAGCACAGTAAGAACGAAGCTGCCATTAATCATTATCCTAACGAGTAATATCTCACCATTGCGCCAATGAGTTTTGTATACTTCATAAGTGGGTACACGAATTCTTCTTATAATAGTTTTATTAGTTATAATTACAGAATCAAGGAGATTTTGTGTATCTACCGATTGTACTTCGCCTGTGAACCAGTCTCCTATAATGTACATAAACACACATTTGTCATAATAGTTCATAATCGATACTCTTGTGTGCTCAAATCTTAAAAATGTAAATTTAATTAAAAAAAAAAAAAAAGAGAAGTAGGTTTGATTTTACATAGTTGTTATTGAATATAAATATTTCAGACATAAAATGGAGAAATAGTGTTATTTATATTATGATTTACAAGTGCCAACAATATTTTAAACCGTTAGAACCACTATTTTACTAAGTTCTTGTTAACAGAGAAATGCTAATGATTTTAATATTTTTATATTAATAACTGCAATTATTTGTATCGTGTTTACTTTATTATTTAATAATGACTGTAAGATTTGATGTTTGTTTTAATTCATTGTTGCTGATCATAGTTTTTCTAAATCGTTAAGCAGCGACAGAATGCAAATTTATAATATCTACCTGCAGTAAAATAAGATAAAATTTTTAAGTTTTGATAAAGTTTCTAAGTAATATGCATTCCTGATGATAAAATTGAAAAATTTATCAAAACATTATGACAATACTTACCCCAACCCATGAACATTGCTGAATATTAAGCCCAATTGTTCATTTATATTCCAAATTTGTATTAAGGATTCAAACACAATTTTCTAACTTAATTTGTACCCTAATTTTCTCTGAAAAAACTGTATCTCTTACAAGTGAATTGTATATACTTTATTTACGTCTTTAAAAGATTTAAAAATTAATCACAATTCGAAAGAGAATACTTATGAAAAACGCGAGTAATTAAGCGTTTAAAATTGATAGATTTATGTATGTAACTTGTTACGAATATTAGTATGATTGTAAAATTCTAAGTAAATCAAATGGTACAATTATATTACTACTACAAAGTATAGGATAAGTATTACAATATGTGCGAAGCGTGTAACTACATCGAATTATCTTTAAGTCTGCAGATATCGCATATACAGTGTGTTGAAACGATGATTTTTATCAGTCAATTTTATTCGATCCAATAAGTACAATATACGCTTAAATAATATTGTAAGAGTGTGAATTGTATTATGAAAAGATTATCAACACCTGTTTGGATGTGTATGTAACAAAAGTTCAATGAAACATTAATCACCTATAGACATGACATCTGTTTATTTAAACGAATTTCATATTTTTATGTAATTATTAATAACGCATAAATATATTATTTTGGTAGAAACAATAATTTAATCGTGTGTTATTAAACACTATATAAATCAACAAGCACGTTGGAGATCAGTTAATATGGCGGCGCTAAAAAAAACCGGTTGATTTGTTGATGTTTTATAGCCAAGTCCCGATTTGAAAGAAACAATTTTGAAAATGATTAAAATATCAGCGTTAAACGAGGAATCCAGCGAAGAAAGTGAAGAAGAGGATGTACCAACGATTACAAAAGAAGCTCAAGTATGCTTTGACAGCGTTAATTTTTTACTTCTTAAAACAACTTAACCTATAAACTTGTCATTTTTCGAAAACTAATTGATTTCTATAACGATTTATATCTTTCACGCTAGATAATTCAAATAATTATACGACCTAAAAATAATATAATTGTATATTCAACAGTATTACAATTCATTGATTTATTTATGAAATGATTTTGTTATATGAATTATCCTAATGTTAGTAAACATATTACTACATTTCTGTATTTAAAGTATACATTCTTAATTCAAGTAGATCATTTTACCCCTTTCTCTCCCAGTTTCTTTGTTCAATAAAAGTTATAATTTTTTATTTGTTTTCAAAGACATATGCTCATTACTAATATGCCAATATTTATTTATTGCAGGAACAGATAGCTCTTACAGAATACAATAAAGCATTAGAGCTGTTGAAAGAAAACAAGCAAGAAGATGCGTTGAATATTTTTAAGGATCTTTTAGAAACTGAATTATTGGACGAAGTTGAAAAACCAGAAATACCCGATGGCAGATCTAGGCCGATGTTATCATTAAAATATTCCTGCTTCAAAAATATTGGCGCCATACAGGCTACATTAGAAAACTACGATGCAGCCATAGAAAATTATTGGGAGGCTGCTAACTTAGATGGTACTGATGTAACGTTATGGTATAGGATAGGCATGTTAGCAATGAAAATTTCCAATTTAGAACTAGCATGTTCATCGTTCAAACAAGGCTTGAAGTGTAATTCTAATCATTGGCCCTGTTTGGATAACATGATAACTGCCTTGTACGCGGTTCCTGACTACATGAACTGTCTTTTATATATTTCTATGGCTCTAGAGCGCGATCCCAATTATGTGAAAGGTTTGGCTTTTCGTGAAAAGATATTTAAAGACATTCCATGCCTCGAAGAGTGCTATAAATTGTACAACAGCGATTGGCAATTAGATCCGCCGCTGTATACCGAATACGACCGTGTAATTGGGGAAAAATTAATAAGAGAAGCGCAAGAAGTAGCAGGGAAGTGGGTGGAAGCTTGCAAAGCAGAATTCACAGCGAAACCATTACCAGAGCTGACGCTAAGAAAGCCCATAAAAAGTTACACCTGGGTAGATTTAGGAGAATGTTTACTGGACATGCATAAATACATAACCGAGAATGATTTAAGTTTTGTCAGTAGGATTAATTTGGCGGTTCAAAATTTTGAAGAATCACCCAAGAGTAATGCAGAGGGTGATATCCAAGAGAATAATAATGTAAATACTGATACGGAAGTATCCCAAAGTGCTGTTGTAAAGAAAGAAAATGACGTTGACAAATTAATAAGAATGGACATAGACGAAGCTAACTCTCCTTTTGAAATATCTGACGACAATCAAGTATACGGTGGTACTGACACTATGATGGATATAGATCCAGAAGATGATAAAAAATCGTCTTCCTCAGATGTACAGATAATAGAAGATGATGATCCCTTGAGGATTTCAGACACGGATGCTGCTGAAGAACAGAATCAGCTGAAGAATGATTTGGAGGAGCAAGGTAATTTTGAGGAGGATGAAAATGGAGATAAAATGATGGACGATGCTTATAACAGTGAGAACAGGATACAGAATGACAATGCTAGTGATAAGGATAGTAATAAATCCAACGATAAAGAATATGAAAAAGATTCAAAGAAGACAGACAAGGATCAATGCAAAGGGGATGAAAAATCAAATGATAAAATTGAGGAAAAGGATAAAGTACAAAAAGTGAAGAAACGACGCAGAAGTGCCCTGTGCTTTCTACAGCAGTGGGCTTGGAGTTGCAATAGTATGAGACGTTCAGCAAGAGTGAGAAGTTCAAACAGAAGGGAAGCTGAGAGAGACGATGTCCAATTAGAGGAGACTCTTAGAAGAATATTTCCTAGTACATTATTGTATGCTTTTAAAATATCTGTATATTTATGTAAAAGTATTTTGAGTCTTTAACATACTGTAATTTTTATATTCCAGACCAGACACAGTAAAACTGACCAAAGATGATCCTTCAAAAAATATGGATGATTCTATGGACACGATGGAGTTGTACCAACTATTTGCTAATCAAGAAAACAACAGTAACATTGCAGAAACGTTTAAAAGTTCGGACAGTTCGAAATCACCAAGTCCTGATACAAGGTGATCATCCAAAGTACATGGAAGCTGAAGTTTATGTTAACAAATTTTTTTTTTCTTTTGCAGTCGACAACAGCATTACTTTGGGACAGAATCAGAAGCAGCAGACGTAAACTTGTTTATTAATCAACACAGTGGTAAAAGTAATTTAATGATTATCATAGCAAGGTATACAGAATTTTTGTGTACTAAATGGAATCAAGAATGGCCAAAAGGAATGTCAGACGTATATTTGCAGGCGTATACATTTATGAGGTAGAAAATCTAACAAAACATTCATTTTAGAAAATGTTAGAATCTATATTTCTTTTCTAGGGAGCACATTCCGCATCCGTCATCGTTCGAGGAGGATATAGATGACGATGTCTTGAAATTAGATACCGAAATGACTTTATTATTTGGTGAGCTTCATACAGACAGATGGTTAAATAATAAACCGGATATCTTACCTTCCTCGACGTATGTTCAACCATATATCTTTTTGGTATTTACTACTTTCTGTATAAAAATATTGAAAAGGCGAAGCTGAATAAATAAAATGTTTTGTTTTAGATTAGATAAGCTCGGTACAGGATTACCGTCGGAGGAATTAGGGCATATCATTTTTACTAGCGTTAGAAGGGATATTTTAAACGAAGAAAATATGTTTATTTTATTAAGAGTTTTGTGGCTCAAAGCCAATGTCTTTCTGTGTCAGGGGGATACAGACATTGTCATTGACTCTTTAGAATTGGTAAGGAACTTATCAAATATTAATTTAATAATTTAAATATTAATTTGATAATTTAATAATTTAAATATTAATAAATTTATCAAAAATTTTCAGTTATCGAAACATATGAAGGAATTAGAAAAACAAAATCAAAATGTTTACCTAAAACTGCCCAATTGTAAACACAATTGTCAAATCAGTATTAAAATAGTAGAGAAGAAGCTTAAGTCTATTCAAAGGGGGCAGAAATTAGGAGAGATACAACATTTGTACGACGAGAAGAAGTACGCGGAGCTCGCCTATGTACTACAGGATACATTTAAATTTGCAAAGCAAGGAAACAAATTATTGTCCGTGAACGATAACATCGTCGATAGGGTGCAACAGTTGTCTATGCTATTGGACAGTTTATGGCAACTACAGCAGTACGAAGAATGTTACGTATGGGCGGAAGCCTGTCTGAACGAGTCATGGCAAAATTACTTGAACACCGCCGACGAGGCTGAACAAAAGAAATGGACCAGTTCAGTTTTAATGGCGCTTGAAAAACTGGAGTCTTGTACGATCGAAGTCAGCACTTTCGTCGTCAAGTATCTACCAGAGACGCGTCTCTCGAGATTGGTACAAAATTTAGTTCACATCGTTTGCCATCAGTTGGACGTTTCAGAAACCACCGTCGAAATGCCGCTGGAAACCGTTCTCCCTTGGATCCTGTTGCATTACGTTCTCCAGTACAAAGAAGACAAGGAAAGAGCAAAGGCTGAATCGTCGTACAAAAATAAGCATAGCTCTAATTATTCGGAATCGGACGACGAGGACGAAGGTGTCCCAGCGTCCATTACAATTTTATTTATTGCCCATAATTTTATAGGTAGACATTCGTGGTGCTGTTACAACGAGGCTAAACTTCTGTTCTTCACCTTGAGCCTGGTTATCCCGAAACTGGAGGCACCTCAGTTCTCCAGCATCAAGGGTAAAGTTTCTAAATACCTGGAACAAATATTTTATTGCCTCTATGGTCACTGCAACAAAGTGAACAAAGGTCGACCGAAGCACATAGAAGATCACGGGGTGCCTCAGATGAAAATGACCTGGGAAGGGGCTCAATTATTGTTCGATTTCTATAAACCCAAACAGATACCCGAGTTTTATTCGCCCAGATCTTTAACCATCAGCGCGGACACGGAGGAGTTGTTTAAGCGGATCATAAAATTGATCCCTCCGGAGAGCAATCCGAATCAGGTTATCGATGAGATGATGGCTTATATAATGGGCGAACGGAAAACAATGGTAACGGTTAAGAAACCTTTGCCTCATTCCATGTCTACCATCTATTACTTGTTAGGAGATTTTTATTTTAAAAATTGCAAATGGAGCGCCGCGATTCGCTATTATTTATTGGACTTGTGTTTCCATCCGTCGAGATTAAGCTCGTGGACCGGATTGGCGATGTCATCGGGCACTGTAATTGAAACTTGGTTGAACAGGTATAAACCGATGTAAGTATTTATATATAAATCTCTCCTTGATATATCGTTTAACGAATTTATGATATTCGTGTTCCAGCAACGAGGATAAACTTTTGGCGAAGGCGAAGATGACACAATCGAGTTATCAGCACGCCGTTGAACTGGACTCTTGCAATCATATCATTTGGACCGAGTATGGAACGTTCGCGTACGTCGTTCATTCGTTTTGCTCGCGATTATTAAAGCAGGAAACGGACACCTTGAGCATGGAACGATTCGAGGTACTGGAAACTAGGAAGGAAGAAATGTTGGAGATTGCTCATCTGTGTTTCCAATCCTGTGCGCATTTATTTATCGGCGACAAAGACGGGGTAATACCGCACGATGAGAGATGGCTTTATCAGTATATGCTTGGGAAAATTGCTGAAAAGAAGAATCAAGATCCTCCTATATTTTTAGAACATTATGCAAAGGTATACACAATACAAGTTTCTGTGTAATGTGCAGTGGCAGTTCGTAAAGGCGTTTGAAAAAAGACGCCATTGCGCTAGCGACGCTCCTCTCTCCCGCGCATCATCGCGCGCAGCTTCCTATATGCGCATGCGCGCACAGTCAAACGCCATGTCGCGGGAACTTTGAAGCGCACAGTTCCATACAAAGATTTTTCTATCTTTTTCATAAACTGGGGGATATTAAAAATTATATATTGTACAAGTATAAAGAAAGAATTAAAGAAAAAAGGACTCGTTATATTAAATGTTATCGGTAATATAAAGTGGAAATAAGGGGTGTAGCAGTTCCACAATGCCTATACGCGAGCCGCCACTGGTAATGTGTATAAAATATAAAAATTCTAATTCAGCTTTGTTTGATTACAGGCCAGCGAGTTGTTGTATCATAACCATGCACAATATCCGCGTAGAATAAGTCACAAGGGTCCACAGCATCTTTCAGTCGAGGCACTGGAAGTGCATTATCGAATCCATGCAAGTGTATTAAAGTATCTTGAGCAGCACGAAGGTAAACCATTGAAGAAATCTTTGGGACAGGTGCTTCAGTTGCATCTCGAGAAATCAGCCCAGGGGCCTTTCATGGAGCATAATTCAAAAGTAAATGAGAAGAGTAAAGAGGATAATCTCTTTGGCAGTAACAAAGGTTCAGGGAAAGAAATGGAGGTTTCAGGGGAAACGGAGAGGAACGTTGTCGCTATTAGTCAGCGTTCGAACAGCATCGAGGAAATCGAGATCGTGGATGGAACGACCAAAGGGTTCAGTCATCGCGTTGAGCAAATGAAAACAGAAACACGTAAAAGATCACCGTCGGAGCTGCCGCAGGACGACGTGAAGAAAATAAAATTAGGCAATGTATCTCATTTGCAATTGATGCAAGACGTCGTCGCTTTGATCGACGACGTGATTACAAAAGTTTGCGACATGGTTTTGCAAAAAGAAAAATCCGACGACATCATGGTGTTGTCGAGCGACGAGAGCAATGAATCAAAGTCGCAGAAAAAGAAAGCGAAGAGAAACGTTGAGAAAACGAAATCCCGAGCGAAGTCCGACGAGAGCAAGAAGAGCTCGATGAAAATGAACAACGTATTCGAAACCGAGAAGTCTGAAAATGTTCAGGATTTAATGGACGCGTTAATGAAACAAGCGATGGAAATTAGTCAGGAAACGCGTCAGTCTACGCCCGAGGATGAGGATACTAGAAAGTTTGATGGAAAATGGCTGCAAAGCGAGGATTTACAATTAACTAGCAAAGATTCGAAAGAGAAACCGAGCGATAAGAAGAAACTGCTTAAAGAAGAGATGACGATAAGTAGGAGGGGTTCTCAGGAAAGTACAACGACTACCCAAACGACTACAACAACCGAGACGAATAATTCAAGTTCCAGTAGCAGTGACGAATCGAGCAGCAGCGACGACAGTTCTGACAGCGACAGTTCCAGCGATACTGACAGCGATTCTGTTGAAAGTGACAATGAAAAGAAGAAGAAAGAGACTAATTTTGCACAGAAGGAAGAGACTATGACCGAGGAAGAAGTTGCTACTTTAATAGCATACTGTTTAGCTGGCCTAGAACAATGCATTTTAAGATTTTCCGAGCATTACAAATCTTTTTATAGGTTATCGCACTTCTTCTTCAATAACAAAACTGCCAAGGATATAACGAAATGCAGGAATCTGTTACTGGACACCTACAATTGTCAATTTTACCGGGGCGAAAATTTTCAAGGACTGTTTTCTGACAGGAAAAGCACTAATTTTTTTAGCGTAAGTATGTTATAGAAGGTGCCCCAGAAAGAGCGTTAGTCCTTTAAGGGAGTGGTAGCTGGGATGATTTTGAACAACTTTTTCCTTTGCGAAAATGTTGTTCGAAGCTTCGTTTTTGAATTATTAAAGAAAAACGCTGGCCAATCAGAGCGTGCGTAGCGCGCAGGCGCAGGAGTCGATGCTGCCGTACCTAAGCCCGCGCGCTACACGCGCTCTCATTGGCCAGGGGTTTTTCCTAAATAATTCAAAAACAAAGCTTCGAACAACATTTTCGCAAAGGAAAATGTTGTTCAGAATCACCCCAGCTACCATCCCCTTAAAGGATTAACACTCTTTCTGGGACATTCATATTATATTTTTTAATGTACATTATATACATTGATTTAGCCAATACTTAATTAACTCAAGATAATTTATTCAATAATAGTTCTTTGAAAGCAGTTACATCGAATGATAGTATAATTCTTGTGTTCTCTGGTCTGCCAGTCAAATTAGTGAAATCTGCAAGTACCGAACCTCTTGCGGTTCCATCTAGTACAGGATCCACGTTCGTTACAATTGTTCTGGTGGCAATTTCTGGTCGCAGCAGAACTGCAGCAGCCATTGTATCCGAAGAAATCCATGATTCGACTTTTGCTAAACTTAATCGTTCTGCTTCATTCAAGAAATTCATAATCGTTGAATTAACTTTTCCTAACACATTGTTTCTCCAGCCCTGTTCAAAGATCATTGACACTTTTATACAAATTTCTTGTAAACTTTATATTAATCATTGTTTGAAATAATTACCAAAGATATACTGCTATGTACACACGTATCCCATGGGAGAAGAACACTTGTCTTAGTGCGATTCAGAGTTATGTAATTGCTTTCTGGATCTTGATAAAAGTTAAACTCAATATTAGGTAGAACATTGCCAATGCCAAAAACGCTACCACCTAATATGACATGATTCTTTAAATATTTAAAAAATTCAGGCTCCAATGTCATCGTTGTAGCAATATTTGTTAAAGGAGCAAGACTCAGTAAAGTTATCTCCCCTGAAAATTACATATAAAAGTTAAGATTCATTGCAGCTGTTAAATAACAATTAATACTTAGTTTAAATGATTCTTAACCTGGATGTTGCTTTACTAAGTCTATCAATGCTATAGCTGCGTGTTTACTGTCATTTCTTTCAGCAGTTATTTCTTTACTAAAATTGAAATCTCCAAATCCATCAGAACCAAAATACATACTAGGCCTGTATACTTGTATCAATGGTCTGTCTGCTCCTATATACACGGGTATCTACAAAATCATCCATTATATTATACATTATCAATCAAAAAACATAATTGTGTTATACTTACATCGGTTCTGTTAGCAATTGTCAAAGTTTTAAGTACATTATTAACAACATTATCCAGATACGTGTTTCCATATGAACAAGTGATTGCCAAAACCTTGAACCCGTCAGATTCAGACTGAAGTGTCAAAAGTATAGCCATTGCGTCATCTGCTCCAGCATCAGTATTTATTATAAGTTTCTCCACAGCGCTGGTAGACCTTGTGAAAGTTTTAATAGTGATCTCTTTTATGATGAAGTATATACTGCCCAGAAGAATCAGTAGATATCAAATTATATTTAAAATATGTGTTTGAAATTTTATAACTTTTACCTGATGGCGAATAGCACCAAAGAAATTGTCACAATGAACATAGAAACTTTCATTGTCGCTGCCATGAGAAATCATGTAAAGGTAGAGAACTTCACCTGCATAAAATTGAAAGAACTGATGACAGTAACTTTTATGAATTTATTTAATCTTCAGGAACTACTGAGTTTTGAGTACACTAGTGTTCTATTATCTTGTTTATCTAAACTTTATTTCAGTATAGAACTTCTTATTTTAATTAATCGTTGTTTTCCTTATCTCCTCAGGGTGTTTGGCACATACCAAACAGAGAAGTCGACAGGCCAGGAAGTTTTGCATTTCACATGTCAAGATGCGTGACATTATTAATGCAAGTACTTAAGGAAACAAACGACGGTCGAATGTTAATGCAATTAAGCGTGCAACTTGGAAAAATACCAGAATCAGACAAGTATATAAATATATATATATATTATGTTACCAGTTTTATGTTAAAACAAGATGAATATTTAATGTACTCTTTTCTCCATTATAAAATCTAAATGTTGCTTTTCTAGGAAATATTTACGTGACTCGGAAAGGGAACAACTGTCCTGTCAAGCGCTAACTCTCTGTTTGCAATCTCTTAGAACAAAAGTTCAATTAATGGGAGCAAGTACTTCTGACGCTCCTTCTAATAAGAATACAGATGCCAGAACTCAAGTGCTTCTTGACACTTATTGGGTATATCAAAGAGCCTTGAAAAGTTATCATACTAAAGAGCAAACAATACAAACACTGGCTTCTTTATTGGTGGATACATATAAGACATATATTGGTAATAAAGTAAGTGCACGTTGATAACAAAATAATAACAAGGTACTTTAACAGTTTGCCTATCACTGATAACAAAATAATTCAATGATACTTCAACAGAATTTGGAAGGGAACGTTTTGGAGATTGCAACAAAATACTGTAATGATTATAACTGCAATAGAAAACTGTTGAACAAGTTCTTCTGTAATCTGGATAAACCTCTACCAGATACTCAGCCACAGCCTCAAGCAACATCCCCAGTTCCTGTAAGTTTTATACTGGGTCCAAAAAGTATTTCTGCACCATTTAAAACAGGGTACCTTGTTTAAAATTGGAGCAAGTGATTCAAGGTTTCTCGAGAAGCTATAGAAATTAATTTACTAAGATATTTAATTTACAATTTGTTGAAATCGTGATTTTTCATTGGAAGGCAGACTAGGCGGCCCCCCAAGGTCCAGGGCCCCCATAAGACGATTTTGCGTCTAAGAATGCAAGAGTAATTTTTACTTGAATATTAATCTAAATTAGTTATACAAGGTTTAATGTTAATTTTATAAATTTTATTTGAGCTACTTTTTTTATGTCATATGTGAAGGGGCCCCCGAAATCTCAGGGCCGGCCCTGTTAATTACTCGTAACTTCTAAGTGTATTGATCAACATATTTAAATTTTCATTGCAAAAAATCAGTTAAAAAATTTTAAAAATCGCCTTTTGGTATTTGTTTCCCGATTTCAACAAATTGTAATTTTTTAAAACGACGAAAGCACATATCTTAGTAAATAATTTGTATAGTTTCCCAAGAAACCTCAAGTCATTTGATCCAATTTTAAACAAGGTACTCTGTTTTAAATGATATATGAATAATTCTACCACGTTTAAATTCATTGACACATCGCTAAAATAGACCCATAATTTTCAGGTGATCGCGTCTCAGCCGCAGGTGACTTCAACATCACCTCAGTCGTCCCAAAATCGCAAACCTTACAGAAGTGGCTTAACGACCACCGGTCGGCCACGAGGACGGCCTCCCAATGTCAACAAGTATCTACCAACCATGCAGCACGGTAACCCGATGAATCAGTTTAACCCAAAAGCTAACTTCCCCAATTACATGGGGGCGTCGGGGAACCGTTCACTAATGAATCCTTACTTCATGCATCCGTTGGTGGACCCGAATATACTGTCCGCTTTATTATCCACCGGTTTAAGCAGCAGCATGATGGATCCTTTGTCAGCTATGAATTACCTGAACCAAATGGGAAATTATCAGGACATTTTTAGGCAGTACACGAACAATCTCTCTTCCCTCTCAAATTTAACCAGTGGATTGAGCAGCGCGATTGCCACCGCGCCTAACATCAGCAACGTATCTACAATGAGCACGTCAACTTCCAACATGAACGCTGCTCCCAACATGAGTCTGAACAACTTGAACAACTTGACGGTTCAACAGCTGTTAAGTTTAAGCAATTCTACAGCGACGACTGTGCGTTCCTCGCCCATGTATCAGCAAGCGGCTACCGCGATAACCACGACCACCGCGTCGATAACTAAAGACAGACCCAGCATATCGATAACTCCGGTGAACACGGCGCCTGCGAAGAGCAAACCGTCGAAGCAGAGCCCGCAGAGCGAACCTCTGCCGGTTCAGCTACCGAAATCCTTGCAAATATCGCCGCCCTCGAAGCCGGTCCTGCAACCGCCGACCACTCAGGTGTCCCTTCTGAAACCGTCCATACTTCAGCACGTCAAGACCAGTCCGCCGAAACAGATGAGCGCGCCGCAAATCAGGGTATCGAAATCGCTGACGGAGCCCCAGCCCGCCCACAATCCATCCCTGTCTCATTCTCCTCTGAAGAGCAACACCGGGACGAATCCAACGACGGTGCCCCAAGTGGCTCATTCAACAATGGGCCCGTCGATGACCATGAAGCAGACGCTGCCTATGAACGTGCCCAGTTCGGGGACCTCGTTGCAGCATAAACTGCTGTCGAAGAAGAACTCGCAGAGGTCTTACGCTCAGGCAAGCGTGCAGAATCCGGCGAGGAAAACGAAACCAAAAACGATGCCCGCGTTGTCCGGCAACTTCTCTAATATGTTAAACGCGATTCCTGGTAATTCTTCTATGCCGCAACCACCTTATATACCTCCGGAATTAAGCGGAATATCTGTGAGCGCTGTGAATCCTCAAACTGGTTTGAAAGGTCCCGCCGCAAAGTATTCTGGTTACAAGAAGCCGTCGGTAAAAACGAAACCTACCTTATCGACGGACACCGCTTCTTTACCGACGGCGTATTCTCAAGGGAATTCAGCCGAGGCTCTGTCCATGCTTTCGCAATTGAAGCAACACTCGCATTTAGAAATCATACCCCAGCAGAAGACTCATATGAAACCGAGTATGGAATATACGAAGAGCTTGTCTTCGGGTGTAACCGTGGTACCGCAAAAGGTGTCGGAGACACTAAGGTCGAATACGGATTGTATGACTATATACGATTTACCCAGAGTTAAGTCGAGCAGCGTTACCGGCAAAAAAGGAGAGAAAGGCGCCAACGATAGCGTTGAAATTATTACGTTAGACGATTGAATAACTCGTCTGCGATTAGAATGATTTTCCTTTTCCTACCAGATTTTATTAATGTATTATTCATTAGGAAATGCGAGCGACATTCGCAATTTTCAGTGGCCATGAAATGTCGTATATAATAATTAAGAATTCCTAATATCGTTGCAGTATACAGAGTTTTTTTATTTCCATCGAAAACGACTGAAATAGATCTAGCCTTCTCACTTTTGTGCCTAATGGAATCATACGTACAGTTTAGTTTTCATAAAAGAAACAGATGATAATACGATTATTCTAAACTGTACAGAAATAATGAAGACAAAATTCTTACGCAAAGTTATACGTATGTAAGTGTGAACTTTTCACCAATGAAATATGCTTCAAGATAGAGCGTTGAATATCAATACTTTTTAAGAGGCTCTGATAACAGTTCAGATAACGTACATATATAATAATGAATCTTATTTCACGGTAATTCCAGAGAAATGTTTTTTGCATATTAATAAAATGGATACATTATTTTTCTACTATGTACATTCTGCAACTGATACACTTTTCTTTATACATAGGCATGCGTAATTAGATATTAGCGAAGTCTGTACATTTTCTAATTAATAATTTATAAAAATGACCTTATGAAAGAAAAGTACGTATACATATAAATTTAATACTGTTTATTACAATTAAATAAGAACTTGAAGATAATCCTTTTCCATCTTGTAAAATTTATTTTTCTGTTTTTTTTGGAAGGATTATTACAAATGTAACGCTTTTATATATGTGTAATTTATACATTTTGTCATTCATTATTCTAACAATTGAATGTTAACAAAATATGTTTTATATATCTGTACATATGTTGAACATTTATACGTGTATCTATGTTAATTTATGTGGTAGTTTGAATGAACTTGCAGGTGAACCACGTACACCTAAGCCTGTTATAGAAAATAAGTAACCAGCATATGGTTGCTCTTTCAGTTCATTCTCCTTTAATTCAATGGTTGCTGATGTTACGTATAAAGTATCAAATTCAGGACCACCAAATGCGACGCTGGTTATGTTCTTGGCACCATTAATCTTGATGAAGCGCAACAATTCACTTGTTTTTGGATTTATTTGAATCACCTAAGTATTATATATATATTTAATTAAATAAATTAATGTTAATTATTTTTTATGATGCTTTTTCACAGTAACTAAAGGAATACTTACACCACCTCCACCAAACAGAGCTACCCAAAGATTTCCATCTGTATCAATAGTCATGCCATCTGGAATCCCAGAGATGTTATTCTTTTGAAGGTCAAACACAACCCTCTTGTTAGCTATAAAAAGAGAGAATTAAATGTAAATACACTTAAAACATAGCACCTTGTACTATATAAGATCCATGCAAATTTCTTACATATAGCTCCTGTTTGGAAGTTGTAATCGTATGCTACTACTTGACGGGTGGGTGAATCAATGTAATACATTGTATCGTTATTAGAGGACCAAGCTAATCCGTTACTTATAGTTACAGGAGTCACTTCTTTCTTTAGTGCAAGATTATTATTCATAACATAAAGGGATCCTACATTTGCTGGAAAAACTCCATCCTTCGCAAAACCCATTGTTCCTAATGGAAAGAAAATGTACTATTCATTATAATCATATTAAGATAATGTATGTTCTTGAAGAATAGCTCAACCGACCACCCCAGAATCTTCCAGCAGCATCTGTTTTTCCATCGTTCCATCTAGTTTCTGTGCGGCTGCTGTCTGCAGTACACAGCGTTTGAGTTGCACATTTTGTAAGATTCTTTTCTCCGTCCCAAGAAAGTAGAACAATGTCTGTACCGGTACTTGACAGAAATTTGTTAGTAGTACCAGCAACAGGTATGACAAAAGAAACAGGTCCGTTCTCTATTAATTAAAAAAAAATAAGGTGTCTATTAGAAGTACTGAAAACTATGAAACAATTAATTTTGTTGTATTCACCTAGAAAAGCAGATGTAATAGTCTGGGTTACGGGATCGAATCTGTAAATTTTCTGAGCAAATATATCAACGAAATAGAGCTTTTGTGAAACATGCTCCCAATGGGGCCCTTCACCAAGCTCATAGGGCCCTGCCAGTGGCTTAACAGTTACTTGTGACATCTTCCCTGTGTAATAATTGTACATATGTAATTACGTGTGTGTACATAGTATACTATTACATAAATGCCTGAATCGGTTACTTTGTGATTCTCTACAATACAAGTACTTACGTCACTATTTTTATACACTGACGATCGCTGTAACTATGTAACAAATTATAATTATTACTAAATTACACTACTTAGTAATCAAAATTAGTGTATAGAAAATTACCGAATGCGACTGTCGTACAAAAGAATTTCTTATATATAGTACGTATATGTATATATGATATCTTATAGACTGATAAGACTATTACATCTTACACTTATGTATACATGCTTGTACTTAATTAACACACCAATATAGTCTGACTAAATACATAAAATATACCGAGGTTATCACAAAAGAAACAAAAAAATAAATATCATCAGAGAAATAATGTATCACGGTAGATACATGATTGATAAAAATGTTTGGATTGATATATGATGTGATAATCTTATTCTATTATATTTGAAATAAGCTATTTAATTATGTAATAATGTTGTAAAGAAAAAACAAATACTGATGCCGATATATTATCTTTATTGTTTCATCTTGTATGAAAACAAACAAAAATGGGTAAATATTCAAAGTTTAAATGAATTTGCAGTAAAACCATGTACTCCTAAGCCATGTACAGCAAAAACATAACCAGCATATGGTTGTTTAATCTTTTCTTCTAGATTTAAGCCACGTGAGGATGTTGTCACATATAAAACATCCAAATTTGGACCTCCAAACATTGCACTAGTTACTTTTGAAACAGGAAGTTTCACAAAACGGATTACTTTGCCATTGCGAGGATCTACGTTGATTACCTGTTCATTTAATAAATAAATTAGCATTCCAGACACCTGATAAACTCCACAGTAATACTTACACCACCCCCGTTGTATAGAGCTATCCAAAGATTTCCATTTGTATCTATAGTCATACCATCAGGTAACCCAGAAATATTATGTTTTTGTAAATCAAATACAATTCTTTTATTAGCTGCAAATAAATGATCGTGATTTAATGTGACCTTTACTTTGTCTCTAATTTAGGTAAACAATTTCATACATATGGTTCCACTGATAGGCTCAAAGTCGAATGCTGCCACTTGACGAGTAGGTGTATCAATGTAATAAAGTGTATCATCCTGGAGATTCCAAGCTAATCCATTACTGTTGGTAACAGTTAATTCTTTCTTTGGTTTCAGCTCAGAGTCAATTCTGTAAAATGCCGCTTGTTCAGGTACAACAACATCGTTCACCTCTGGTCCAATAGTACCTATAGAAAAAACATATGTAAGTAGTAAAAGATGTAGTATGTATATATGCAATTAAATTAAAATTTTTTCATAGGAAACTTCAACCAACCACCCCAGAATCTTCCAGAAGAATCAACTTTGCCATCGTTCCATCTGGTACCATTGCGATCAGTATCAACCACAGCTAATGTTTCAAGAGGAGATTTTATATAGTTTTTCTGACCATCCCAATTAACTAGAACAAACTTTGTTGCTACGCCAGCTACAAGTTTATCAGGTTCTCCTTCAACAGGAACAGCTACTCCAACTGGGCCTTTGTCTAATTATATAATAAGCAAAGATAAACTTGCAAACCAAGTTATTTTCCTTATCTTAGAATGTATGCAAACAGTTTAATTACCTATGTAAATGCAGGCAACATGTTTGGAGATAGGACTGAACCTACATATTTTTTGGGCCACTATATCAACAAAATATAGCTTCTGTGTATGGTGATCCCAATGAGGTCCTTCGCTATGTTTAAACGGTCCTACCACCGGTTCAATAATCAGCTCCTTCTTTTTATCAATAAGACTCCTGTAGGTAATAAATATAACTTTGTTAATTACACCTGTTTAGTAACTTTGTAAAAGTTCAGTATGAAAACGATGCGTTTCATAACATTGATGCTTTCATTTACAAAAATTTTATCTTAATAATAATAATAATAATAATTAATAATTATTTTCATAATAATAATTAATAATAGTAATTAATAATCACAAAAAAAATAATATTCAAATATTACAGGTAATACAAAATTCTGATATTGATCTACGAGTATCCCGTGAAGGACATGACCCTAACAGAATCCTTTCACTTACCTGCCATGGACAAAGGCTGCAAAGAACAACCCAAAAGATAATAAATTGCAAATTATATTTTGCATCGTATATAAAGCAACGCAACTGATCGCAAAATGCTCAAATAGAATTGAAAAGTACAAGAAACTTGCGACTTCTACTAGACAAGCCCAAAAGAAAAGTGACGAATGAGTTCCTCAGTTCCTATTTAACTCGCCGTTTAAATACTATTCCTACGTAATGTCGATATTGTCAACAGCAATTAAATGTATAACAAAGGAACATTTGTAAGCATGTTGCAAGTGGCAAACGTTGTCGATATTGGTACTTCATTAGATTCGATAACAATCTACATACGTTTAGAAATGATAAATTTTTGTTCCTTGATACGCGACACTTGTTCAATTAAAAAGAAAATTTCAAATTACATTCGTTTAATCATTTGAAAGTTTCAAGATATCGTAGATGAAGTAATTATTATCGAACAAAACATGAGAGTTAATTAATTCTAAATGATAACATTTCTTTCTTAAGATCAATGCTATAAGTCCTTTTATTATTCATAGAGACCATTATATTGTCTTACATAAATTTCGTATGTAAAAATTCATTCAAATTTTGAACGATGCACAGGGCCGAACCTGGGCTTAGGCAGACTAGGCGGCCGCCTAGGGCCCTCCAGGTCCAGGGCCCCCATAAGACGATTTTGCGACTAAGAATACAAGAGTAATGTTTACTTGAATATTAATCGATGTAAATGCAAATCTAAATTAGTTATACAAGCTTTAATGTTAATTTTATAAATTTTATTTAGGTACTTTTTTTTATGTCATATATGTAAAGGGGCCCTTTTTCGGAGCCTCGAAATTTCAGAGCCGGCCCTGACAACGCATGCTTTCCAATGAAGAGAATGACGTTTTCCGCCTGCGCTTTTCGATCGGTCGTTAGCGCCATCTAGCGTCATTCGATGGAATTTCAATCTCGTGTCGGCCAACATCATCAGGTCACGTGACAGTGGCATATTGATACGTGTCGACGAAAGGAGCCACGACTCGCTACAGTCCAGTAGTCAGTCGGGGTATATGCTGTTGAGTTTATTCGGATTGTTGCTTTCATTCAGTATCCTGACGGTATTGTTAATTTCAGAGTCAGTGAAAAGCGTCGCATTGTCGTAATTTCATCGAATAATTATATCTCGGATCGAAAATGGGGTGTAAGTACATTGTTTCCTGTCAGTAATTCAAAAATATTTTATTTACGGTTATACTCACCCCGATTAACCATCACCGTAACCTCTTGATTTTCTTTCTCTCAAAACATATTGTTTCTTTAATCAAATTTCTAATATCATTATTTTCATGTTTCCCTTTTGCCGATGAAATAATTAATGTATTTTTAAACATTTTTCAGTCAAATTTCTAGAGGTAATAAAACCGTTTTGCAGTATACTACCGGAAATAGAGAAGCCGGAACGAAAAGTAAGTTTGCGCTGATCTATTTTTATTTTCATATTATATTTACAATTTTACTAACATATTTCATGATATTTTAAGCTTTTTGAGAAACCTTCATTGTTTGCCATCTGTCCATCACTTAAATTCAGAATTACTCTGAAGTTTTATAATTGTTTCAATAATTTAATCATATGTATATTTTTTACAGATTCAGTTCAGAGAAAAAGTATTATGGACTGCAATTACGTTATTTATCTTCTTAGTATGCTGTCAGGTAAGGTCTACTTTGGGTAACTTCAATATTTTACATCTGATCTCTTCGATTAATTATATTTCACCTTATTTTTATAGATCCCTCTGTTTGGCATTATGTCCTCTGATAGCGCTGATCCTTTCTATTGGATCAGAGTTATACTCGCGTCGAACAGAGGTACCCTTATGGAATTGGGAATTTCTCCCATTGTTACGTCCGGTCTCATTATGCAATTGTTAAGCGGTACAAAGATTATCGAAGTTGGCGATACCCCAAAAGACAGAGCACTCTTTAATGGCGCACAAAAATGTAAAGGCACTTTACACGTCTTAAAAGGGTTAACCTCACTTTTAGATTATTATTTATTCTTTGTTCTTTGTAGTATTCGGTATGGTGATCACCGTTGGCCAAGCCATTGTGTACGTAATGACTGGAATGTACGGTGATCCAACTGAAATTGGAGCTGGAGTTTGTTTGTTGATTATCATTCAGTTATTCGTTGCTGGATTGATCGTCTTATTATTGGATGAATTGCTCCAGAAAGGATACGGATTAGGAAGTGGTATCTCTCTTTTCATCGCTACCAATATTTGTGAAACAATAGTATGGAAAGCATTCTCTCCAGCCACTGTCAACACAGGTATGATTTTATACTCTAAAATTTGATCACCAGATTACACATGGTGTTATTTAATTGCTCACGTTAATGTATCTAGGACGTGGCACAGAATTCGAGGGTGCAGTAATTGCTCTGTTTCATTTGTTGGCCACAAGACAGGACAAAGTTCGAGCTCTACGCGAAGCATTCTACAGACAGAATCTTCCCAATCTCATGAATTTACTCGCTACAATTTTAGTATTTGCCATTGTAATTTACTTCCAGGTAATTTGATGCATATATTTGAATTGAAAAACGTTCCAAGAAAATTTTCATTAAAACACTTTTCTCAACAGGGCTTCCGCGTTGATCTGCCGATCAAATCCGCCAAATACAGAGGGCAATACAGCAGCTATCCTATTAAACTATTCTACACCAGCAATATTCCAATAATCCTTCAGTCCGCGCTGGTGTCGAACTTGTACGTGATCTCCCAAATGTTGGCCGTTAAATTTCAAGGGAACATCATCGTTAATCTGTTAGGAGTGTGGTCGGACATAGGCGGTGGTGGTCCAGCGCGGTCTTATCCCGTTGGAGGGCTGTGTTACTATTTATCCCCACCGGAATCTGTCGGGCACATCCTTCAGGATCCTATTCACGCTGTCCTTTACATTCTTTTCATGCTTGGCTCCTGCGCGTTCTTCTCGAAAATGTGGATCGAGGTTTCCGGTAGTTCAGCCAAAGCGGTTAGTATTTCACGTTACTTCCTTCTTTTTATTTTCTTTCAATTTTTTTAATCCCCGTATTTTTCAGGTCGCGAAACAATTGAAGGACCAACAAATGGTAATGAGAGGACACAGGGACAATTCCATGATCCATGAATTGAACAGATACATTCCAACCGCGGCGGCGTTTGGTGGACTGTGTATCGGTGCGTTATCGGTGCTAGCCGATTTCCTCGGTGCAATCGGATCAGGCACTGGTATCCTACTCGCCGTAACGATCATATACCAGTACTTCGAGATCTTTGTTAAGGAACAGAGTGAAATGGGTGGCATGAGCACGCTACTTTTCTAAATAAACTCTATGCGTATTAAGTCTATGCAAGTTGACTTTAAAGGTGAAGTTTTTTTGTTTTTTTTTTTTTTTAATTCTGAAGAACTGAATAATAATTTATTGTAACATAAGTCTGTTAGACGCTGTCAGTACTGTTGATTACTCGACAGAGTAATCGAAGGTCTTCAACATGCAATCAAAGTGCAACAATTCTCTTCGTTTTTCATTGAAAACATAGATTGATATGCATACATATATATAGTTATATATATATGTGCGTGTGTGTTATGCGATAGTTTTTTTTTTCTTTTTTTTTCTTGAAAAATTTTATTCAAATATGCCTGTCGTACATTCAATTGTATAACTATCGTCGGCGATTTTTGCAACTGTTAATTTTTATTTATGTGTCATGAAAAACAAAACCGTTTTTTATATATACATATATATATATATGAAACATTGAAAGCGATTCTACGCTGTGTCATTAATATTTCAAGACATTAAGTGTTGACACAGCGTAGAAATTCGCAGTTGACCATAATATATTAAATGCTCGAGTGTAAATACAGGCATTCAATGTTGCTCGAATGTGCTGGATTTACTTATAAGATATATCTTTCATACAACGAGCAGTGTACATAGGGAAAAAAAAAAAAGTAATTAAATATTTTCAACATTTTTTACTAGTGTTTTAGTACTCCAACCGATAATGGAGTCGTACGAGAGACTCTTGTAACGTACGATTATTAATCGTAACGTGTATAAATCGAACCATTGCATATTGTATAATCATTTCGTCAGGACGAGACACCCACCTAGGGTTATTCGTACAAAATCTACTTCGAACAGTGTTCGCTCATCATAGATATCATCATTCCTATATTGATAATGATACAAAGTAAACTGATACTTGTTTCTTGTATGTATTTAGGAAAATGTGTTTTTATAAAAATTAAAATTTATTATTTTTGTCTTTATTTCGCTCCTGATTCGACCTGCGTTATTTTCTGTTACAAAAATTGTTTGATAATTATGTTTATGATGAAGAATGTTTAGAAAAATTGTTATTTAAATATGTTCTAAAATGTTGATTATTGTTATACAATTTCACTGAAATTTAGACATATTAATCTATATACATATACATGAAATATTTAAAAGTTTATAACTTTTACAGTATTTAATAAATATCGTGGACGTGCGTTCCGTATGTGTAATTAAATAAACTAATTCAAAAAGCGTTCGTCGTGGGAAGAAATAAGCGCATAAATATTTCATTGAAACATTTCTTTAATATCAATATACAAAATTGTTATCACTCTATATACAGAAATATGTACAAATGAACGATTCGTTGATTGATTATTTGTTCTCGTTATAAAACAGGGTAGCATAAAGCGAGCCCAAGGTATGAATATTCGATAACAAAACCAAACGAAGGATTTCCGTGAATCTGCCGTTTGGAGCAGAGGTATCTGTGTCTCTCCATGCGATGTTAGCTCCTTCGCTACGGGTAAAAAGGGCCGGCGAAGGAACGTTTTCACGCATATAAGCCCACACGCATTCTTTCATTATAATATTTATCTGTACAGAAAAAATTATGCGATTATGATTGACAATTTTAATGTAAATTAACACTTTGGTCGCCAGACTTGATCACCCATATGTGGGTGATGCTTGAATTTCAATAGGAATCTATCATTCATATTATTAGGAATTCTTTGATTTACTTAACCTATTTGCTACCATGATCCCCAAATGGGGATTTGTATATATATTTTTTTTATCACTTGCAATAGGATTATATTAAATAAAATGTTAAATAAAAATTTGGCAGTTAATGGGTTAACTGGAAATACTGGTATTAGATACTTGAAATTATGGATAAAAATATAATGAAGTATTTTGAAGATCTGCGAAGGCAAAAGTAATACTTAATGGAATTTTCAATGGTTCCAGCGTGGCAATCAAAGTGTTAAGTGCTGTTTCATCATAGAAAGGTACCTGATGCGGTTCCAAAACTGGCAAAATGTCTCTTATGCTTGCCAATGGGGGTGGTAGTAACTGGCCAAGTGCCATAACGCTTACAAGTGATACACCTTCTTCCGTGTTCCAATTAGCCATAACGGTAGCAGCAATGCCTCTTAATAAAACCGAACAATAGGCCAATGCCGGCCTGTACCAAGCAGTCAACTCCAACAATGTCCATAACAATGGGACATCTTTGAACGTTCGACGGATTTGCAAGTCTCTCTCTATAGTAACCTGACAATCATTAAAATTTTCATAAATATAGGTTTATCCAAATTGAAATAAAACACAAAGTATGTGATTTTTGTATGGTTTCTTTATTTTAATACAAAGTCTACTGTATGACATTAATTATTCAAATGTTTCATCCAATTTTCCATTAAATTTTCATAGAACTGGAATTCAATTTCATCAATGACGACTGTGGTTTTGTTTCCCAGCTCCTCAATAGTCACTTTCCAAAAATCCCATATAAAATGTCTAATGGTATTAAATCACCTTTGGTGGCAATTGATGCCTCCTCGTGAAAAATTACTCGTCAAATTTGTCTTTCATAATTAGTGCCATAAAATAGACTTTGTATTGAAATAAAGAAACCAATTTGGATAACCTTATATTTTTATTAAATATACCTTTGTGAATTCTTCATCAGGCCAAGGTAGCCCATTGTACATAACGTCAGGTGAGACTAACTCGACCAACAGCAAACTGACCATTGTTAAAGCATCTAGGTTTACAGGATACCTCTCTGACTCCCGGTTATTACAACATGCCTACAAAATATAGGTAATAAATTGTAAAATATTCAATGATTGATCACCTGAAAGTTTTACCTTTATCACATCCATTAGTAATATTTTGTTCAGAGTGATGGTATCTTTGTCAAGAGAATTTTCTGGCGGCGGCCTTCGGGGACCATGGCCAATCACTCCAGCATGGAACACAGATGAATGTTTCTGAGCTAACATTGTGCTTGTCACCTAAATATGAAAATGATTTATACAATTCTTTGTCAGGGACAATTTTTCTACAAAAGCTTCACCTGTTTATGATTTTGGTGTAAAAGTAAAGTTTCCTCAAACTTCGGTTCAAACTTTTCCTTTGCTCCAAAACATTTAGCAGCATCATTGTTGATACCATGCCCTAAAAATTCTCTCAAAGCCAATACCCTGGCACAGGGCGAATAAGAAGTCAAATCCTTCAGTAAATGACAAACTATTCTTACTCCTTGCTGTTTCTTGGTAATATCTGGAAGATAAATATTCTATTAAACGTTTGCCTCAAAGGTTTTCAATGGAAAATTAATTCAGCTATTACCATTTTCTGCTATGCACAAAAAGAAATACTGAATGATGGCTCTTGTTAATTTTAATGTAAGCTCTATATTCGGTGCAAAATGATCTTTCTCGGGCATACTGAATAAATCTAACAATTTAGCGATATCATTTGCCAGATTAAAGTCACCTGTCTTCATCAGTAAAGCAGAGATTTGATACAAATTTAATTTGATAGCCTGTGAAATCATTTTTGACCTGAATATCGATGCTTTGTTTGATTTCTCCCATCTGTAAAGAAAATAAGTTACATTAATACATGGATATTATTTTGAAATTCTGTAATATGCTTACTTCAGAAGTATTGTAAGATTCTGGAAGAGTTGCCTTGTTTCTTGTTTCTCTATAACACTTTTATAATTTATTTCTCTGAGGGCTTGTTCTACCACCTGTGTAAAGTAACCATGACTGGCTAATGCATTTTCTGTTTCAGATTTAGTCGAAGAGAAAAGTACGATATTATTGGAAATAAGACGTATTAAAGCGGCCAGATGGAAAGTCGTTGCTGCTTTGACTAACACGTACGAGGCAGCTGATATCAATGTATTGGAATTTTGACTTCCAAGGAAGCACAACAATCTTACAGCTGTTTGGACTCGTAATGGATTTGGATTCAAAAGTAATGGTAATATTACTGGCAGTTCTTGTTTTATAGAATTTAATAAAGCGATATTTGCAGACTGTGGTCCATGTGTTCTTAAGAGCAAATCAATTTCTTGCAGTACCAATTCTAGGATTTCAGAGCACACGTTCTTCACACTTTGAGCTGCATTCACGCTGTGATACCCAACGTTGCTTGTATTTAAAGTAGTATCTAATAAGATATTTATTATTTGAGATGCACCCTGTTCGCATCCTAATATCAGGTGAACAGTTAAGTCTATAAGAGCTTCTGGCTGATTATCAAAGTACTTGCACCAATCTGATGCAAATAATGCTAATTGAGGAATTATATCTGGTTTCACTGTAACAAGAAGATGGAATTATAATCTATATTAACGTTATAAAATTTGTTTGCTTACAGGTTTGTAGAACATCGCTGGTTATTGCTTTTAAAAGAGTCTGCGAGAGGGATGCTAGGTTCAGAAGAAATGGAACAGTGGCTAGTTTCTGCTTCTTGGTATCTTCATCGACATTCATATCTTCTTCTAAACTCCACTGAAATTTTAATTAATATCAATATTAATTTGAACTTTTTTCAGGTACTATAATGGGCATAGATGGAGCTTAATTTTACTTTGAAAAGATCCAACAGTGCTGTTCTGATATCTTGAAAGTGGCTGCCAGCTAAATGCCCCAAAATTCCAACCACTGAATTTAATTTAGGGTTTTTAATGTTGTGCTTATGATCCATTGTAAAAAAATCTTTTAGGCCGCATGATAATACTCTAGTGATAACCGTGTTTGGAAAACAACTTCCGACATGAGCAACTACCCAGTCAAAATGAGGGCTGTGCAATACGCTGGTGTCTAATAATGCTTTTATGCAAGACTCTGTGTCCGAGTGCATAAGACACTGAAGGCATTGAGCAGTAATATCGATCAGTGTCCGGGTAGCACGACAAGACATCCACTGTTGAAGGAAATCATTGATTCCAGCATTGACAGGTAAATTGCCACGTTTTGCATAATCCGAAGAGAGTTTACCTGTAATACAGTTATCACATGTTATAAAAAACTGATTTGAAGAAAGATAGAAACTGCATACCCAGTAGTTCCAACGACCATGCTGATATAATTGGTGCCCATGCTTCCGGATTTCCATTAATGAAGCTACTTAAAACGGTATGAATTTCTGCTATAATAGTCTCCTCGCATATTGTAAGATTTTGGTTCGTCTAAAAATTTAACGTACAATTCATCAATATATTTAAATAAGTTAGGTTATGTGCTTTATTGAGCTTACTTCAATTTGACGAACATGTTTCGTTACCGCAACGAAGAACACGTTGCAAAAATATTCAAGCACCGCGTCTCTTGCTGCTGGTACATTTCGAAGCAACGATAATGCTGTTCGAGTTACATCAAGGGTACTTGTGCTATGGGTTGGTCTAACAGCACCTGAAATGAATTTCCTAACCTCGGACAGTATATCTTGCGGCGATAATGTTCCCGTTGAATGTAACATGTTAATTTCGTTATTTAGTTAGTCAAATGATGTATGATCTTGAAAGTGTAATCACATTTTATGTTTGGTATTTGAGATTGAAAATAATTACGAGTTCTTGCTCCACCATTGCCACTTAGGGCGCAATATCATAATAAACGTTATCGTCATCGTTATAAGGATTATTAATAAGGATTATTACTATCGTTGTTATCATAATATATTACAAACATATAAAATTAAGAAGTATTGACATATTAGCATGGATCGCTACACGTGAAACGTTTTATCTTCACTTTCTATACAGTGATTATATACATAATTACATGGACTACAGATCAGTTCCTCTTTTATCACACCTCGTCCTGACAACAGAAAAAATAAAATTCAGACTCTCTTTGATCTTATTTTTTTAGAAATCAATCGGAATCAGCACAAGAGCAAAAATTATTACAATAATTGTTTCACAAACTTGTATTTTAAAAAGAGCGCTATAAATGAAATTTTTAAAACTCAATTCTAGCGCCATCTATCGGGAAACCGCTGAAACTAATCACCAAACTATTTCAGAAGCCTGCCGATAGATGGCGCCAGTATTGCATTATTATGAGTAAATTATTGAGTAGTTTCAACTGCTTTGTATAAATGGCGCTAGGGTCGAATTTTTTAAATTTATCAAGTGTTTAAAATACAATTATTTCAATAATTTTTCGGTCTCCTGTTGACTTTGACTTATTTCTAAAAAGTAGAATCGAATAGAGCAGATAGCACCCATTCTCGAGACACAAATTACAGTTTCATTTTTATTTGAACCAAGAAGATATTTGTACAGATAATTTAACACATTCCTATTATTAAATATTAATAATGTTTAAACTGAAGAACAATATGTTTAATGAATTCTATAAAATGAGTTATCTTCCCCAGAGTATTTTACGATACTCTTCCATTACTTATTAAGGTAAAAATAGTAATTAGACTATTAACTTATATTAAAGTGTATAAAATAATTCAACGTCTTTTTTTCTTTTCTTGCTTTCTTGGTCTATGCGGTCTTCTTGGAGTAACCTGAGGACTATTTTCTGAGCACTCTACATCGCTTGGGTCATCCTGTAAGTAATTCATAACATGACTATAAGCTCTCAATAATCAGAAAATTTAATGATCTACATAAGAACCTTTAAAGCAGCCACATTATCAGAAGGGCCAGCTTGATAAACCACTATGGCCAATAAACATATAATTTGAAATACTGCACCAATATACAGACCAAATCTTAATAATTGATCAAATAGACTCTCTTCTGCTGGCAGTAAGAGCCGCTTCAATTGTGAATCTGCATCTGCCATTTCTAGACACAAAAGTCAATTATGTTAAGGAGAAATGTATCTCAAACAGCATTATATTGCTAAATGACAATATCTCTAATTATTATATTGCAAATGTTTTTGGATTATGGTAACGACGCACAAGATATCTCCTATTTAATAACTGTCATACATTTCTCTTAAAGACATTGTTTCTCTTTTAAAACATATGTTGTGTATACTTAGAAATCAATAACCTAAGCAATAGCAATTGTGGAATTTTCATATCGTATATACAGTCGTAACAAATACTACCAACTTTCTCAGTGACGTCTGTATCAATAATTATTTAAATATCAGTTAACTTCGATTCAGCTATTGACATAAAACTGACATTTACAAGGTCATCGAACGAAACAAACGAAACTGAATTGATTCGTTAAAAAACATGTCATACCACAATCGACGTAAAGTCAATTTTTTATTGTTATTGCCCTTTTTTACAATCGAGCAAAAAAGGACGAATATAACTACATTGACTTCACTTGAAGTTGGCAACAAAATATTCGTTCATATATTTCGAAACAGATGGCAGGTTAAATCACTAATTCGATTTCAGCGCCAACTATCAGTAACATTTGTCATTAACTTGTCGCCAATTTGTAAGGCGTAAAATTAATTTATTCTTATTTTATAAGAAGAAAAGATGGAATTAGTATCGTTAGGGGATTATTTAGAGACGCGGATGGTCTGAATCGAACTGTATTATGAATTTTCTTAGAACAAGGCAGTATATTTTTTAAAAATCAAAAATGGCGGGTTGACGGCAGCGCCGGAAGCTATCTGGGTTCGAGGCTTCATTGCTTGCGAGTCCGTGGATGTGAACCTTTGTTTTGTACAGAAGAATGGCTGCCATCTTTAGTTTTCGATGGATGTTTTCCGAAGAGATCGTGAATTCTCGTATTTATTGTGGTATTTAATAACGTAATAAAATCTCGGATAGTGAAATAACGTTGTACGCGATGTAAAGAGTGTTTATTCGTTTATTATTTAAGCTGCCCTGGTGTTAATTCCATTAAAAAATGCTTGTGTTTACATCCAAGTTTAAAGTGAGCTTCTGTATTCCTGTCATATTAAGGTAAGCAATGCATTTTTATGCATTTTCATTGCCTCTGACGACCAGTAAATTGCAACTACAGTGACAAACGATTGAGATATCATCAAATTGTTGTATTAAAGACAGTTGTAATCCTACATTCTGTTCGTATTATGAATCGTTTCTGACGTTTAAATAATCTTGTGTACTGTGTTTTCTTGTAAGTGTCCTTTGAAAATGCAAAGCATTATTGTTGTTGACATCTCTGTCGCGATTAAAATTAAATTTATTACGTTATATGACTTTAAGTCGAATTTCACTTAACCAAAAAAAAAAAAAAAAAGAACTTCGTCGACGACGCGAGACATCAATTTCGGCATCTTGGAACGGTTTCGCTTTCATTTTTGTTGTTGCATTTTTTGCAAGGAAACGAACATTTAAAAGATATCTGTTAGTTGCAATTTTTGTTTCTGAATGGTGGCAACAATGGCTGGTAAAATGGTGAGTGAGTACAGGTCAACCACATCGTACACATACTACTTTATCTGTAAAACGGAGTGTTGATTAAATATCGTACAATATCTAAATGTTTTTCTCGATTTTTCTATGCTATTATTACATTCACTCATGTTATTTCTCATAACCACAAAATATCTTCTACATGTCTTGGGTTAATTATACATTACAGCTGTCTAATTTTTATTCTCAAATTCATATAAAAATTTTCTAATTTTATTCATTCAAACTTAAATTAAGTATCAATATATTTCCAATAAGTTATTATATTATATTCTGTTACTGTTCACAGAAGAATTGTGGTTACACTCTTTCACCATTTTATTTTCCATATTTTATAGTAGATAAAAAATGTACATTGTTTTGTTTACGAATGGCTACAATTGTTAAATGTAAATGATATTATTCAGTATTTATAAAGTAAAAAGGTTACAATATGCGCATCATGAAATTCAGTGAAATGAGAGCATTTAATTGACAGAGGAATTATTAGAAATTGAAGTTTCTAAATCCATGTTTATATCCTCAATAAGCGAATAGGAGTGAGAATAATATTTAGTAGCTTATGGATCAACATAGCGTTCAATTTATGGTTTCTTTTATGGATACGCAGTGTTATCGTGTATCTTTCATTTAATCATATATATATTGTTCGAAGCTTTATATAACTAAATGTTAATTACATTTTTCTTTAAAATATTATCATAAAATTGCATAAATATTTGGTTAACGTATGCCATCGTAAAACCTTGAAGGAAATTTTGTATGTACAATTTAAACGCGTTTAAAATTGAGCATATAATTTAGAAAGATGAAATTATATATTTAATCCGAGGAAAGAAGTTTGTACGAGATAAATATTTTACGGCGGGAACAGAAAAATCTGCCAGGAGGCGCTGGTCTCCTCGGCCGCCATATTGTTTCAGTTGAACCTATCTCTTTCCCTCTTTCTATCCCCCCTCCCGTTACCGTTTGTATACGGCTTGTCTCTCATTTACCTTCATGGACCCTCTGTTCTCCTTTTTCTTGATCCTTTCCCGATCCCTTCCAATCCTGCCCTCGTCTCTCCTATTTTCTCTCACCACCTCCTCTTCCGCGAAACTCGCCGCGTTTCTCTTTCTTGTCACGCTAAATTCTTCCCTGCATGTCTTACCATCGAGTAACTCGAAGCTATCCGAAGGATCTGAAATTTATCGATTTTCTACGCTACTCTATTTCCTCATCCATTTACAATCATTGCCGTTGGAATATTTATTATTTTCATACATTTCAACGTTTTCCATGTATCTTGCATTCCTTATCGAATCAGATCTAGGTTAATCAAATTATTCGTAGTTATCAGGGATACTGGAATCAGTGTACGCGTTTGGAATTTAATTTGAAATTTGTTAGGCGGAGGAAAGGATAGGGACAGTGCCGGCGTTAGGGGGGGATGCGATCTGCAGGGGGTGCCGCAGCCCCGTGTCCCTAGTTCATCGTTTCATATTATTACCTTGTCTTTTTTCTTAAAAATTTTGAGCTCCTGAATGGGCGCCACGATAATCTTGCCCGGGGCGCCAATGTTGCTAGAACCGGCACTGGATAGGGGTACCCGTGCGGATACGGTAGTAGCAAGTGGTACCAGAGGCGTCGACGCCATTACTATGATAGAGTCTAAATTTTGTTTAAAATTAAAAAAAAATTCTACTAGTGGAATAAATAATTTTCTGAAATTTTGTCGAGGTTTAAAATTTCGTTGATGGAGTACGCCTCTGGTGGTAGCATTTACCAGCTATGAGGTGAAATCGTATCGACCGCAAGAGAAGTTCGCGGGCAGTGATGGGCACGCGCGACACACACATATAGTTGTTTTGTAGGAGAGAAAAAAAAGGATCTTTCTGATACCCAACCTTCACCGCTCGGTACAAATAATACTTTCCATAACATTTCGTTCGTGTAGGGATTTTTTAAAAATCTACTTGGAACTATATTTACCTACCGTTTTTTTAAATACTTACAGCCAGTAAATTGAAATTACCGACAAGGTAAAACAGGGTAACAAATCTGGTTGAAATAACCGGACGAGTTACTAACAACGATTTCCCAAGATTTACGCCGCAAAGAACCGATGCATTTCTTTGGGATGACGTCAGAGTGTATTAATGGTGCTTACAGTTACTATGGCTACGACGTATTCGCGATAAACACAGAAACGCGTTTCGCGCCTAAGCTAGGAATTTTCGTTTTATTTATAATTCTCTAAAAATGGGTAAATGAGTCATTACTCGAGACTGTATAGGGTATCGATTGAAAAGGGAAAGGGAGATGCAGAGAAATGCAATAAAATTTAGTCCGGTTTCGTCGGGCAGGATTGAAAGCATGAGAAAGAGAAGAAGAGATGTGCGCTTCTTGGTAACCTTGGGCATACTAGCGGAGGTGCGCAATGCCGTATCTCGCGGTCCCGTCCCCCCGTTCCTCCGAAGCTCCCGCGTATCTGCAGTTTTATCAGACGGTAGATATCTCTATATTGCCTCATCGATGTAACGTGAGATTAACTTGATTCCACGCAATCCGATCAGAAGATTTGTGTTTTCGCTACGAGTCGTTGAACCGGCATTTAAATCTCGGACACTTGATCAATTATTAGGGAGATGAATGGCCCCGATCGCTTAGGCGTTTCTATGCAAATATCAATCCACAGAATCATCGTAGTGGAATTGTTGGAAACGTAAGCCATCTTTGAGTAGTTTGCAGAACCGACGTGGTGTGCGTTAGATATCGACCGTCGCGACACTAGGAAAAGGGATTGTAAAGCTGTTGTGCGGGCAAGAGTATATTCGCAAGCTCCCATTCATTTGCATGCACGATCGAGCAAAGAGGCATGAAACTCTTGCAGAATGGAGTGGTTGTTCTTCGTCCGACAACCATCTTCACGAGTACCGTTTAAATCCTTCCTCGTTCCCTGACCTTTTTATGCATCACGTATGAGAAAGCGCAAGTTCTTTAGGGTCTTCGAAAAGTGATCATCTTTAACCTACATACAGGTTAAATACTTGTGCCCTATGGTATAAACGGTGGGGGTGTTTTACATAGAATTATAATAAAAATGATAATAAATATTATAGGGGATTCGGTCGCGGAGATATTGTAACGCTTTCCCGCAAGTGACATCGGTCTATCTAGTACATCGCATTGTCTCGCTTCTCTCCTCGTCTTCTCGACTAGTGTATCGGTCTCCTTCTTCCTCTCAGATCCGCCATGAGCGCAGCGAAGACAGCAGAAATGCGAAGAGAGGACAGCGCGATACCGGTTATTGGCGGGGACTGGCATATTTCACCGAGTGTCCGGCAATCAGGCCTTTGTATACGGCCTCACTGTACGTTGCATGCTCCTGCTCTCTCCCTCGGTATAGAATCAGCCTAGTCAGAGAAAAAGAGAGGGACATTTCGAAGAACAGAAGAGAGGTCGAACGTTTATTTAACGGCATAGAACTAGTGTTAGTATATCTGCATGGAGGACGTTGCATTCGTATTCTTGTTGGTATGGAAATGATAGCTAAACATAGAAGAAAAAATCAATATGGGTATAGTGCTTCTCTTTAGTCGCGTTGCAGGATGTTTTTAATATACCGTACAATGATAGTGTTTATCGTTCGATTTTTCATTTTCGAGATTGAACTTAGGTAGATATAAAATCGATTTCGTCACTAGTTACATCCGTGCGATTGCTTGCAATCGAGTTGGCTACATGCGCAGTAGAGCTGCGCGCAAGTCGGTAGCGAGACCCACGGTTTCCCTGCAACGTTGAATAGCCCTGCGGTGAACGGGTCAGCGGAAGCGTCAAATCGCTTGTAGACGCTGTCGACCCGTAACAATAACCTGATTAATAGCAAAATGATTATATATTTTAAAGAAAATGAAAATGTACGGATTTCCTATTGCT